GACTGGTGTTATGGTATGTAATTATGCTAGGCCTTGAGGTAAAGAAATATTTCCATAATCCCTCGGCTGTGAAGCACTGGCTCAAGATTCATCTTTCCATTCTCGTTTATTGCTTTTGGCAAACTGTGGAGTGTTTTCGGCCGTTTACTCGATCACTTATCCCATATCATATTAGTGCCCCGAACGAAGCGAAGGGTTATGGGGGCAAGAGTTATATCGCTCACTGATCGCCTACTTCATGTGGACTAGCAACCCTAACCCAAGATAATATATCAAGATATGTATGTAGAGGACTTGGCCCGTACGGGATTAGGAATACCTTGACAGGGCAACCTACACGCCCGAGTGGTCTTTTTCCATTTGGACTTCTACGGTCGTACCTAGCCAAGACCATCCGAGTTACAGCTCAGACAGCTTACAGTACCTGTAGACTCGTGGAGGGATATGAATCACTACATGTAGTCACAATAATGAAAACCGATTGGCAGCTCAAATGATGATGATAATAAGAAGATGAGAAGGCATCACGCCTATAGGTGTGATGCCAAGACTACTGGTATTACATAAGAAAGAAAACGTGCACCAAAACTATTACTTGTACCCATCACCTCTTCTCCACTCATTTCTAGCCCCAACAGCCCTCCCTTTTGATTTCAAGGAACCTAGCGGAGCTAAGAAAACGATGTCGGAAGTAACATTACCCTTCAACCTATATATATATACTCATTGTACTTGGACTGATTTTAGTAGACACATCCTCTAGATGCCACACTTGATTATCACGGAGGGGACATATTTAATTAAACCGCGTGGACGCAGTCAATGACACTTCGCGGACATTCTCTAGTGCTACCCCCGGGTCCAGCTTTGAAGACCACCATCAAAAGTACGGATGAAGGAATAAAGGAACAGAGAATAGCATAGAGGCTATTGAACCATTATTTAACTATTAGAATGAGTGCCGCGCACCGTTCACTGCATGTATATACCGGGGGTCTGATATGTTATACGCCGCAGGCGTCACCCGGGACCGATTGTTCCAATTAGTTAAGGAAAAAAAAAAAAAAAAAAAAGTAAAGAATAAATATAAGGTGTTTTTGGTGACTATGACAGTACATAATCGATCGTTATTCTATATATTCGCTATCATTCGGTGACTACTATATCGCAATTGTGGTTGGTTTTGTGAAGGTTATCAATCCCAATTATATCACTAGAACCAGTTCATTACCTACACCGGCCAAAGACTAGAAGACTTGTATACACTAACTAGAAGACTTGTATACACTAACTAGAAGACTTGTATACACTAACTATACGACTTAACCAATTACAAGCTCGCCTAAACGATTCTACCATGATCTTCGAGTCACCCAACCGCCGCTTCCCACCCACCCACCCACCCACACAAACCCACACACAAACCCACACAGTCAATCATTGACCCTCCCTCCCGAAAAACCCCATCACCCTCATCCATCTCATTCCAGAAACACTCGCTGTTACAGCATTTAACGACGTGCACGCAGACTGCGTACCCGCACCCTATCAATCGATCATGGAGTCTAGAGGTCGAGAGGGGTCAACCGGGTATGCTACTATAACACGATACGTTACCTTACGTGGTAGAGACAAAAGCTCGAGCTCGAGCTTGACAAGCTCATATGATCACATATCGGCTGTAATTAATGAAAGATACTTGACACCAACCCCCCCCCCCCCCCCTTTTCTCTTCACACCCAAACCTCAAAACGTCCGCCCGCCATAACGTCCGCCCACCCCCCTCTCCCCCACCCCCCTCTCCCCCACCCCCACCCCCACCCCCACCCCCACTCCCCCCAAACTTCTTCCACCTTCCACCACCCCCTCAAAACCCTTCAAAAAAGCTGCGTAAAATGTTCCCACCGCCCCCACAGCACCAAAAAATATAACGATGATGCCACGAGGAGGATTCGAACCTCCAAACCCCCTCAACCGACGGTTGTCAGAGTGTGTTACCGGTTACACTACCGTGGCTTGAAAGAGGTTCTTGGAGGATTGTATTCGTATCGACGGTGGTGTTTTTCGTAGGTTACGGGGGTCAATGATATTTTTGTACAGTAGGTTTTTTTCGAGTTTTAATATCAACATGGAGAAACGAATGAAAGAAAAGACGAAAGAAAGAAGATCGCGCAGAGAAAGACGAAGACGGAAGACTGATATATGCAATCTTTTCAGCTACCTACAAAAAGCGAGCAAGCGCGAAAACCAGAACCTCTAACCATTTATTTATTTAACCCCTCCCTCACTCGGAGGAAGGGCACAACTGTCTCCATTCCCTCCCACCGCATCTATGGCTTCCTCTCAAACCCAACCCACTGCCCCTCCTCCGGCACAACCTCCAACTCCTCCCACACCCTCGCCTCCTCCATCGTGCTCACCAACTTCAATTCCGCCCAGCCCTGATCCACCACCTCCTCAATCAGCCCGCCGCCAAACTGCGCCTCCACCTCCGCCACCTGCTCCGCCGACAATGGCGGCTCCACCGGCAAATAGGGCGTATCTCCCCCACCCCCCACAACCGCAGTCTCCATGGGCTGCGCCGTCTCTCCATGCTTAGGCGGCGGCGCACCTGTCCCACGCGGGTATGTCCATCTGCGGTTCTCGGCAGCGTGGTACTCGCGGATGTTCTTGTCCGTGCGGAGGTGCTCAGACGCAAACTCTTCGAGTAGGACACGGGCCTGCTTGACTACGATATCGAGTTCGTCGGCGGTGGTGCTTGCGGTGCCGATCTTGTGTTGTTGCTTGAGGGCAGCTATTTCTTGCTGGTAGTCTTCGAGGCCCTCGGGCTGGACGGAGGAGATGATGGCGAGGCGGTGGCGGGTGAGATTCTCGACGGACTTGCGGTAAACCGAGTGGGCGGGGAGGCGGGAGAGGAGCGTGAGGGTGTGGTTGTAGAGGGCGATGAGCGTTGGGCGGGGGTTCGGGTGTGTGAGGAGGCCCGTCAGACCCGTGGGGGAGAAGGGGGGCAGGCGCGCGGTGAGAAGGCGGAGGGTGGGATGCATGGCGGTGAATTTGACGGCTGATGCGGCGGCCAATTGGTTTGTGTGTGTGGACGGTGATGTCGGTGATGGCGGGGATGGGCCGGGTCGTTGGAACCTTGGTTGTTGGCGGTGGCCAATCAGTGGGGCGATTATGTCAGCAGGCAAGCTCGGGCTTCATGGGCTGTCACTCGCGGTCTATGCTGGATTGGGCAAGGGGCGGCATACAGCCTGATCTCGGGCCCAGATATTGTGTGTGCTGCCTGCGGTCTATGCCAGGATGAGCAAAAGCCTTTCGACATTGAAGAAGCTTCTAAGATACCAATGAGCCATGAGCATCTGAGATTCCCGACATACCAGACCGACGCTGTGAGTCCAGCTACTCATCAAACTGAACCAAAGAACAAGTTAACAACCCAAAGGAGATGTACCTTAATGACTAGTGAAAGCAAAGAGTAGTCCACGATATCCTCAGTCTCCCAGCGACGTATTCAGGCGACATTGTGACTAGATAATGTAAACGGTATCCAATGTCTTGGCCAACAGTATCAAGCTGATACCGCGCGCTTTAATTCAGGCCGTTGGTGATTGAGGTTTCGCTGGAAGGTTAATTCTCAAAAAAGAAAGCCCGAGCTCTATTGCCCTATTGCTCGAATGAAAGAAGATGAGCGTGATGATGATTGGATCAAGTGGATCGCCGCAGCTTCACTTATAGCATGTCAAAGCTAACACATATGCTGAACCGATTACAACTACGTAGCTGTCTGTAACGTGTCTTAACACCTATTCCGCTAACCTGCCCCACAACGCTCTATATTGACATCATATAGAGTACCATCCTGGGACAAATTGATCATGATTCAATAGCTATATCTTCGGAAGCTAGCAGTACATGCTAATACAAAAAGCTATCTGCGCCCTATTGGAGGTAAACCCGTGCCGGTAGGGTCGGTTCGACCTTTTCTCTGCGGATATATTTAGGTAGGATTGAATGTGTATATCCCCCCCAGCCCGGATGCGGACACAATTCTAAACGCTCCGTCCGCTCATAGAGCCGTTCTGGGTGAGGGTATATAACAGCCTCTGTGATTCATAGGGCAGTGCAATGTATAATGAGGAATATACACCTCGAGGTCCTCACTTAAGTTGCCAAATAAGTTCACAGCTAGGCAACTATTCCGTATTAAAGACAGGAGAACAGTCATTTCTGTCTCAAGGGCGAATGACCTATCAGAAGGATGAGAATCAACCAAAGCAAAGTGAACAGTGGTTTTATTCACCATTGATGTTAGGAAAACCACCTTTGCCTGATCGCGGAAAGTGCATGGCTACTGATAGCCCCCAATCCCGAGACAGGAGACAAGAGACAAGATACAGAAACAATATATAGGCAATGGCAACGACAGTAGTGTAGCGGCAGAGAGCAAACCGATACAAGCTAGCCCTTACCCTCAGCCCTTGCCCTTAGCGCTTAGCTTTACCCATATTTTCCCGCCGGGCCCGCAATATTGAATTGTCCAGAACTGACCATGAGCCTTTATCTCCACTAGCAGGCCCAAGCTTCATATTACACAGAGAGATGTACTTACGATTCGATCTCTCTCTCGGCGCCGGCGGAGGTTACTAGCTACATGTACTAGTATATCACCGTCCCAACCTCACTGTTGCCAATCTGTGATCCTCGAGCGTAGCTGAGTCTAAGATAAGAAGCTGGCTGAATAATTAAGCGGGCTTGTTAGAGCTCTAGTGGGTGAATTTCTTGGATTTGGTATCAGCCCCGGCCCGGAGACGAATTCATTGGGTGGGTTTACAGTACAGGGAGCGTATTTCTATGGCTGCTTGGAAGGTCAATGATTGCAGTTGAGATTGATATGTTTAATGCTATATCCAGTCTTGAAGTCACATCTTTTCAAACACAACAACTAGTAGAGAGAAAAACAGTATATTAACTCCACCCTATCTACCCCCCCCCCCCCCCCACTACCACCTCTTACACACCGTAATCATACTCTGCTCCCCCACCATGACCATATACTCGCCGCCCACACTAAACGCAATATGCCTCACCGGGCTCCTCACCTTCGGAATATCCACAAAGTGATGCGGCCTCACCAGCGCAAACGGATCCGACACATCATCCACGACCTTCACCTTCACCCCCAGCGGCACCTCCCCCCCCGCACTCCCCACGCTCTCCTCCCTCCCCCTGCCACTCTCCCTCCTAAACATCTCCGTCCTACACAAATCCCACATGTTGACCCTCCCCAGCGTGCTCCCCATCGCCAACACCGGATGCAGCCCCCGCGCCCCAAAGAACCCAAAGCGCATGAAAAACGGCTCCGTATCGCGGCACTCAAACATCACCAGCCGCTCAAACCCCGCGCCGAAGACGCTCCGTGTCTCGCGGAACTCATGCGTGGTCGGCGGCGCGCCCCACGCATCGGGGTCCACGCGGCTCGTGAACCCCTGGATGGACCAGAGCACGATGCGGCTCTCCTTCGCCGCCTTACTCAGGACCACGTCGCCGTGCCACGCCAGGCAGTCAATGTAGTTACTGTGCACCATGCTCGTGGCAAAGTGCGGGTAATGCAGCACCAGCGGGTCGTCGCTCCCCGCCGGCATCGCCGCCGGCAGCACCCACAGATTCACGATGTGGTCCATGCCCCCCGACAGCAGGTAGCGGCCCGAGGCGTGGAACGCGATGCTGAGTATCGTCTCGCGGTGGCCCTCCCCCGCACATATGAGCGCGCACGGCTGGCGCTCGTACTGCGCGCCGATGTTCCACAGCCGCACTGTGGAGTCCGCCGACGCGGAGGCCAGGATGTCCTGGTCGACGGGCGAGACCAGGATCTCCATGATCTCGTCGCCGTGGCCGACGAGTGTTTGCTGCACCTTGCCCGTGCGGATGTTGAGGATCTTGATGATGCCTGCGGCGCCGCCGACGGCGAGGAGCGGCGCGCCCGTGCGTGTGCAGCGCGTCCAGCAGGCGGAGCAGAGCGCCTCCGTGGGGAAGAAGAGGTCGTCGTGGAAGTAGTGGATGATCTCGATGCCGCGGGTGGGGTGCGGGCGCGCGATGATGGCTTCGCGGCCGCCGACGACGGCGAAGACGGGGTCGACGCCGGGGGGCGTGTAGGGGTAGAAGTAGGCGCCGTAGTAGGTGACGCCCGGGGAGCCTTTGTTGGGCTAGGAGGAGGGGGGTGTTAGTGAGTGGGCTGGAAGGGGGGTTAGTGGTGTGTGTGAGAGATGGAGGAGGGGGGAGGGGGGGGCCTACGCCGATGGTGGCTTTGACGGTGGGGAACTTCCAGTGGTCGAGGGGGCGGGGGGTGGGCGCTGAGGTGGTGATGGGCGTGGTTGTGGAGCTGGGCGTCTCGGTGTCGCGTTTTTTGTTCATTGTGGTGGGAGGTGAATTGGTGATGGTAGAATAGCTGTGGTCCTGAACGGAGCTGTGCCTGGTCGTAGGTTTATCGAAAGCAGGCTCGCAGAGGCGAGAAAAGTCCAGGAAGAGAGTGCTTGGTTCACTAGAGAGCCTTGGAAGTGGGTAACAGCTGCCTAGGTAGATGAATTAGTCAAACGGACTTCTGTTGTCAGAACAATTCGTGAGGCGCCGTGAGATGTCGTCAATGTCGTGAGATGAGGTTGAGGTTGAGGTTGAGGTTGAGGTTGAGGTTGAGGTTGAGGTTGAGGTTGGGGTTGAGGTTGAGCTAGCTGCGAGGTCTTTAGCTCAGGGCGAGGGAACGCGTCTGCTAGCTAGTGCGCACTCAATCACTTGTACATGCAGTCAACACTCACCTAAGTAATAGCTAGACGTCTCAAAGAGAGATCTGGCAAAGAATTACCTCGAGGTATTCAAGTTGTGTGAGGGCTGTCACGCAGAGTGGCAATCACGGATTGAGTGTTTTCGGAATTCATCCTGGCAGGGTTCCTCCGAATCACGTGCTCGACTCACTTTATTTTTCGCGAGTCATAGAAAAGCACTCGTGGGGGTCTTGTACATGTGTGTACATGTAGTGGTCTTTCAGTGCTCCCGGAAAGTATATGTTCATTCTGGAGACAAGTTTTGACTTCCCGCTCACTCGGAATGGCGGCGCCACACCGCCTCCTCCGTCGAGACGGATTAGAACAGGTTTGAACTGAGAAAAACGGGACTAACTAGGACTCTTCAATTCTGAGTAGACTCATTATTTCCGACGGGTAGAGTCTTTTCAATCCCTGACTGTATCCAACACACCAAAACCATAGTCTTTTGACCAGTCCCCCTTTCCCGAGGGAAGCAAGCCTACCAAGCAACCGCTGAAATAATTTAGTCCAGGCTTAGAGACTGGAGAGACAGCGGGAAATGAACTATATGGAGAAGTTGCGGGACGGGTCGATGTTAAGAATCATGCGTTATCACTCGATACCTGCACTTGCGCGCAGAACAAACCTTGCTCCCTGAGTAGTAAGAAGACTGCATGTAGCTGCATCGGCATCATCACTATGCACTGTTTTCGTCGATAGCGGTCAAGCTTTGGGCTCGAACTTGTCTCACAACCCGAGCCATCTCGGGCCAGGCTCTGCCTCTAGATCAAGCTGCAATTACGGCTGGCATAGTTATTCAGTATTTTTTTCCTAAAGATACTGAAATTCACCAGGGAAATATTAGTTTTGTAGGCTGGATCTAAGCTTGAGCCTGAAGTACCCCCTGATCCGATCTATCTCGCACCAATACCACAGTACGCTTGCTAGTTGACGGTCAGGAAGAAGTGTTTTAGGCACCTCTTATATGGTTCGGGCTTTGCCAACATCTATTCTCTCTTAGTCTCAGAGCCGGGTAGTAGCATCTACACGACTGAAAGGGGTAGCACTGGTTCATAGTAACGCGCGCGCCCGAGATGACAGCGATAGAGAGACGGAGAAAGAAAGCGAGAAAAAACGAGTGAGGAAGGGGGGGAAGGGGGATACTTGTCCTCTCGAATCCCACATATGCCCGTGTTCACACCTTACGTGTCTTACTGAGAAATAGGGCGCGTAGTTGAAAAGTATCTATTCGGTGGTGTACTCCTGCGCGCCATGCAGTTTAGACAGCTGTGTGAACCTAGTTCAGCGAATCTCGGACTCGATTGAGGATATAATAGAAGCCACAAGTCCCCAATGACGTGCGTACGCATGGCGAGTGATATACCATGATCCTCTGAATTAGCTATATAAGAGTAACATGAATGCGTATTGTCGGTTTTTTTTTTTATCGAGATACAATGCCCGTAGGTATAAGTATATATCTCATCCGATTGAAGAGCCGTTCAATAGGTGTGAGGGGCTCTGCGCAGCTAGCTGCGCTGCTGTAGGAGTGTAGGTTATGAGGAAAGATACTTAGTCTCGTTGGCCAGGCCTTTGTCGTTGCTTGTAATAACCACTCACTATGTTCTTGAATGGTCCAATGGTTCCCAGTAAGTGCGGTATAGGTTTAGTTCAAGGGTCGGCCGGGTGGTTGGGACCGTTCTCCGATACACACGTAGCAGTGCCCGCCAGTGGCCTAATTGAACTCTACGTTCTAATCCTGCCAAATATTGCAAATCCACTAAAAGAACCACTCACATGGCCACGTCCTATTCTCGATAGATTTTTATGGCGTCCTAATCCCCACAATCCGTGACCATCCTCTTTAAGCTGTCATTCTCTATATCCCCCTCGAAGCTCGGTCAATACCAATACAGCAACATAACCAACAAAATTAACCAGGAACCCTCGTCTCCACCACAAAATGGCCCGCCCCTATCTGCCAACCCCCAAAATCATCCACCTCAGCATGGACTTCTTCCCGCCCCCCACCGGCCGCATCCACTGCCTCGAAGGCTTCCTCGCCCACCTCCCCACCGGCACCGGCAAGCGCGGTCCCAAGCCCCCGCAGACGCTGCGCTGCTTCTTCAGCGAGACCACGTCCCACAGCATGCTCACCGTCAAGGCCTCCCGCAAGCTTCCCAAGAGGTTCCTCTGGGAGGGCCGCACCGTGGAGCTCGATTCCCCGTTCGTCTATCGGGATGACCAGAACTATTTTTTCACCTCTGCGTTGGGAGATGTGTTGGAGGAGGATAGGGATAAGAAGAATCCGTGCACGCCGCAGCTGGTGGCGCATGGGTTGATGGATCTCCATTTCATGGTGGTGAATGAGGAGGAAGGGGGGGAGAAGGCGCCGGGGGTGGAGAAGAGTTATCACTATTTTCACATGCCGGATGTGGTCTTGGTGACGGAGTTCTTTGGCCCTGGGTCGGGGCCTTCGATTATCACGCCGGCTGAGAAGAGGAGGATGGACGAGAGGAAAATAATGGACGAGAAGAAAAGGATGGACGAGAAGGAAAGGAATGACAAGAAAGAAAAGGCAGAAGTAGTCGAGGGGGGAGAAAAAGGTGAGGAGAAAGGAGAAATAAAAGAAAAGGAAGGAGAAATAAAAGAAAAGGAAGGGGAAATAAAGGAAAAGGAAGGAGAAACAAAGGAAAGAGAAGGAGAAATAAAGGAAGAGGAAAAAGAAAAGGGTAAGGAAAAAGAAATAAACGGAGGACCAGAGGAAAGCGAAGAGGATCCAGACCGCGAAGGTTTCGAACTTTGCCTAGGACAGGATTTCTTTCAAATGTATCCTCACCTCATGTTCAGCATTGTAGCTACTCCAGCCCTCGAACAGCGGATTTCATCTGTTCATTTTGGACAGTCTACAACACAACTTACCTACGAAGGGCGGTCGTTATCTATCTGCGCGGTTGGAACCTGTGTCGGCAGAGATTCGGGCGGTGGTAAACTCGTTTTGGAGAATGGCTTTGCGGTTCATTTTGCTCCCCAATCGGTGTACAATACTTACCACCGCCTACCTAACTTGAGACAACGAAGAATGAAGGCACCAAAGAAAGTCGATCTTAAGTTGGTGGCTCCAACTTTGGTACGAGCTTGCCTTGCCAGTCTCGTTCTAGCATTAGAGCTCGCCACATCTCTGCGTCGTTTGAATTTACCCCGCAACTTCGATGGAGTGGTCATTTATCATAACACTGACTATTTCGACGAAAAAAAAAGGATAGAAAGGGCTTATTATCTAGCGGCTGGAATTTCATACCCTAATATGGACTTGATATATAGATTAAGGCATCTTCAGGCAATGGTTAAGGACACCAAAAGAGGCAATTTAGGCCACGTGAAGTTCGTGAGGGGTGAAGAAAAGCAATTGGAAGCTGCCATGAATCTTGCGACCTTGAGCACTTGTATGATACCTTTTAAGGCCGGCCCGGGGTCGTTTGAAGAGTCAAGAATGGCTTCAGGCACCGAGCATCCCCTTAGTATCGGGGAATGGGGAATTGATTCAGACAATGACCCGGGCCTGGATCCAGAAAAGTACTTTATATCAGTCGAGGAACCTAAAGAGAATCCCCAGGATGATTCATTGGAGGCGCCTGGGACTTTGAACCCTGGGCCGACGCTTGAAAGAAGTGAAGACGGAACCTTCATCATACCGGAGAGCATGATTGTGAAGAGGTCTCCGATGTTCTTGAATTTCGGGAACACCACCACATATGTTGTTAGAGGAAAACCGATTGCTTATACGGAGAGGCAGCTGTTTACGATAGACCGGGATATCGATATCACAGCTCCACTAAGCGTAAGTAATGACCTTTTCAGATTATCAGTATGCCGAGGGCCCGGGTATTTGTTTTCCCGGGTAATTTCCTCACGGAGTCTAGCTTGCTAACTCGAGGGTTAACCAGAGCGAAATGGAAGAGGAAGCTTGAGGTCTTTCTACATATGTAGCAATTACATTGACTTTGTGGATAAATTAGGGACATTGTTTATTAATATGGAGGAACGGGCGGGAGAAAGGGGGTGGGGGGATATCTACTGCGCTGCGATCAGGATCGATCTGATATGTAGAGTAGAGCAGGAGCAGAAATTCTGCTGCAAGCATCCGGGGAAATACAGGGAAGGGGGAAAGCAACTCTTGGACCGGGGGGGATATTCAATTCTAGATGAGAGCCACGCAATAGACGATAATATGACTAATGAAGCAGGGAGCTGCAATAAACGCACCGGTCTATTACCCAGACCTAGTCAATTCTCGTACATCTTCTCGTCTGGCAATTAGAAACCGTGCAGTTCCTCTCTCCGTTCTCGTTTTCTGCTTCAACCCCTCAAGAGTCAAGGTTATGGCGATGTCCAGAAACCAAGGCGCTTGCTATTTTTAGCCCCCTTTCCCTCAGATCAGTGGCGTGGCCGCTGACCTCGAAAGGCGAGAATCCAAGAACAGAGAGCCCGGTCCTCGGTATTGTCTGACGGCACTCATATCCCACTCGAAACCTGGGCCTCCGTCAATGCCCGCGACATTTTAGCTCACGCCGTCCAAGGCAAGAAAGCAGGCAGCTCGGGGTAGGCAGGGTGAGCCCACCACGCGCGCACTCGCGCCCGAGTGAGAGGGAATGACGTGAAGTCACGACATGAAGAGGTGATGTTGTTGCATTCATCCATTTCACACATTTGATTCATTCTGCCTTACCGTACATACCCGTCGTGCGTACTGCATGATTGATTTCAACCATATTCCACGGGCCATGCAGAATCAAAGAAGAGGCCCTCGAGTCCTCATTAAATTCTTCATCGAGTCATATGTCTTTTTTTTTTTTTTTCCTTCTTCTGTCGATGATACAAAAGTGATATTCATTTGGCGGCGGGCGCCATGACCCCCCCATCCACTGCCGTTTTGAGGCTCTGTGTCTCGGTCGGTCGCGTGGGTTACCGGTTTTTGCTGTCTCACTCGATCCCTCCTAGCCTGCCTGCAACCCCCCTTCCTTCAGGGTTGGCATTCCGATTCCACCCTTTGCAGAGGGGCGGGAACAACCGGTTGGAGAGAGCAGGGCAAGGCAGGGTAGGGCTACACAGGGTGGATAGATGGATGGGTATGTACCCCACGCCCACATGTACCCCGCAAACAAGCAGTCCGGAGGTCCCGCACAAGATCTTGAGCTCTGTCTCTACCTATGGAACTAGGTTAACTGGCCCGCTGTTGGGTAGGTAGCTTCTGACCCAAGGTACCAGGTAGATACTTGACATAGAGCTCGCATCATGTACCTCTCACTCTGCCAGTGTGTCTCTCTCTACTCTAATGCTACTACTACTCCCTCTACTCTAGCTGTATGGATAATATATACAAACAGAAAAACCAAGAGATCGAAAAAAGGAATGAAGGAAGAGCAAGGGGGGGGGGGGGGGGGTTCTGATCAGAAGAAGAAGGAAAAAGCAACGGTATCTACCGATGACAATGGGCCTGGTTGGGACATATGTAAGAACCACCAGAAAGGTGAAGCTGATAGAGTACCAACAGGAAAGGGGAGAACGCGAAACTGGAAAAGAGAAGTAGGTAGACGAAAAGCTATTCCGATCCATGCCCAAACCCACCCCCCCCTCCCCTTTCCTTCCGTTTGCTTCGACCCCTCTCCAACATCGCCCCTCCTCCTCCTCCTTCCCCACTCCCTTCCCCGTGGTTATTTGGCAGGCAGCCGGACCCGACCCGGCCGGCCCGTTATATAGCTGGCTGGACGTGATTGTGATGCGAACTGTACTGTACTGGCTGGCTGTGGCTGAGGGACTGAGTGAGCGAGAAGAGAGCAACTGAACGTGGACGCTCAACTCACAGCCAGCCTGTACAGTTGGATGCGGGTGTGCAACAATGCAACCGCAACGGTCAAAAAAAAAAAAGAATTAGTGAAGTGAGCGAGTGAGCAATTGGAGTTGCTGTTTCTGCTGCACAAGGTTGAAAGCAACAAAAAAAAAAAAAAAAAAAAAAAAGTAAAAAAAAAACCCCCAAATAAGAACCAACCAAAAAAATAATAATAATAATAATAGTAAAACAAGAACGCCCTCTAAAACAAACAACTTTTTTTTTTCTCTCCTCACACTCACTTTCTGCTCTCCCTCAGCCATCTCCATCTGAAGAAAACACAACCACCAAAACAAAAAAGAGTCCCAATAATAATTTACCCGGTGAGCCACACCTCAGCACACTGCACATACCACACACGCAAACTCAAAAAAAAAAAAAAGTAAAGAAACAAAAAAACAAAAAACTCCCAATTCTGTACCATCCCTTTTTTTTTTATATGCCTCCCTCATCCTATTCCTACAGCCTTCTTCCTCTCCCCAGCCCCGTCCCGCCTCACGCCTCAGACAGCGGTGAACCACATACTCACGCCCCTCACAGGCGTATACTGACTCCTACAGGGCGTCTGCGTCTGGTGCTCCCTACGGCCCCCCTTCCTTCTCTGCTGCTGGGGCGGGGGTGGTGGGGGAGGAGTAGGGAGAGCCTCATACGGCTCGTCGTCCACCACCCAGCGCACCGTGCGTGCCGTTTTCGTCGGCTTCACGACGATGGGGGCGGGGGGCTCGAGCTCGGCGGCGGTGTAGATGACCTCCTTCTTGAGCGGCGAGGGATTCTGTGAGGGGGCCGAGGAGGCTGTGGGGGTGGTAGTAGGAGAGGAGGCGGTGGTGGTTGTGGAGAGCGGCGCCTTGGACCGGTAGGACTTGAGGTTGCGTTCGGGGCCTTTGTCGTTGCGGAGGACGTACTTGCTGTAGGGCATTGGGAAGGCGACGGCGACGAAGGCGGGGTTGGTGGTGGCGTGCTTGATAAGGGCCCAGCGGTAGGTGTCGCGTGCTACCATTTTGAGCTGTGTGGGGGTTTATAGGGGGTGGGGTTATGGGTGGGAGGTGGGTGTTTTATAGAGAGGTGGTAGCGAGAGGTAGGTGAGGTGAGGTAAGATAGGTGAGGTAGTTATGATATGATATGGGTAATGGTTTATACTAGTAGTGATTGTAGTTGTAGTAGTTGGAGGTTGGTGTAGTAATGGCGGTAGTAGTAGGTAATAGTGCAGTAATGGTAGTAGTAAAGGTGACTGCTAAACCAGAACCAAACGCGTCCTCAATTGCTGTGGATAGTGGATGCTAGCAAAGAGAAGAAGAAAGAGAAGAGGAAGAAGAACTCGAAAAAGACGGGGGTAGCAGGCCCAGTAATTATAAATGGGATGAATAGGTGCTGTCTCTGGTCTTGTCGAGAGTGATCTGCCTTTCTGAAGGGGGGGATGGGAGACGCTAGTTGGGGGGGGTTAGGTTAAGTATTGTAGGTTAGGCCGGATAAAAAAAAGAAGGAAAAAAAAAAAAAAAGGAAAATGATCCTCGCTAAATGTGGTTAGAGGATGCCATTCTTTTTTTTTTTTTTGCCTGCTATCTGCTCCTGCTTCCTCGCCGGCGGCGGTGGATGATGGTGGTGGTGGTGGTGGTGGTGGTGGTAATGGTGGTAATGGTGGTGGAGGATTGGTGGTGAATGAGCCCTTGCAGTGGCTAGCTAGGAGGAGACTGAGCTAACTGCGTCCAGGCATATATGGAAAAGAAAATTTTTTGCTTTGCTTCTGCCCGCATCGAGAGGTGCAGTAAAGAGCCGCCGCGCGCCTCCCCCCGCCTAGAAGTCGAATTAAAGGGAAGGTCGAGGGAAAACAACATGGGAATGGGGAAAGGGAAGGCGGTTTACCTACTGGTTTACAGTAACTCCCCCCCTCACCTCCCCTTCCCTCAAAGGCCCAATGTAGCAATTAGGACCGGGTGGCTCCCCCAATAACCGTCAGATTCAAAACAAATGAACGGGTGTGTGGGAAGAATTACAACTCTCCCTTACTCTCCGTTAGCCCTAGGGCAATAAAGTCAGTTATGTAACTTTCATTATTATTATTCCCTTCGGTTGAAATGGGAACTTGAAATGATGAGTAATCCCCCCCCGTTGTGTGCATGAAGCATGAGCGGTGGGTGCGAGCGTGTGTGCGTGCGTGCAGATCATACTCAAATATCACGTCACAAGGATTGTGCGGTGCGGGCGGCGAGTGAGAGGAGATGAACTTGTGACATGCCTAGTTTACTTGCACTTCTTTACTTCGCGTATGTACCTACTTTTCCATGACCTTGTCCACGCCTCATCTTTCTTTTCTTTCGTGTATTGCTCATTTGGACTGGCTGGGCTGGGTAGCTTTGAAATAAAACCCAGGTTCAAGGTTCGTTCTACGACATGAATGAGATGGGTCATGGGCATGAATGAGAGAGAAAGGTAGACTAAGATTGGAAATGCTGACTGTACCACCTACCTATTGTCATACCCACATGCACACATGCCTACATGTAGGTACATGTACGTATACCGCCGCAGTACTCTACTTCTTATTCCTCTTGTTTCTTGATGTTCTTCCATCTTTCCCCTTCGATTCTTTTTTTTGTGTGCCTTGTGCCTTGTGCCTTGGTGTTTTGTGTCGGGGCGGGATGGTTGGATGGATGGATGGATGGATGGATGGATGGATGGATGGGGATGTATATGGACGGACGGATGATGGAAGGGTTGATGGTTGGTTTCTTGGTTGGAATTGTGGAATTGTTGGCTAGGATGCGTTCCTTCTGCTTCACCCACGTCCCCACAATCGCGATCGCTGCCTGAATGCGGGAATTGTTTACACCACCGAATTATTCAATGGGCGGGTATCTAATATCTGTGTTTCCAACCGGTGCGTCCGGGTAACCAGTTCCAAGACCCCGAGCCTTTGCCCCCCCCCGCCAAACTTTAATCCAACGTCATGAGCATAACAAGAGACTCGCCCGCGGAGGCTATCATTGGCCGTGCAAAAGAGCTCTGAAAAAAATTGTAGCAAGGGCTTGGCCGGTCTGTTTATCCGGTCTTAATGACTTCTTTTAATTTTGTTACTGCTGGTTACATGTAGTTATTGGTTGTTTTGCAAAAAAAAAAAAGAAAAAGAAGGTGATAGACATTCTCGGGAGAACGTGTTTCTCGGAACATTTTATCATACCTTTCCTTACCTAGGTTTCTTTCAATTTGAGGCTCCGAAACACATCTTGTCCCCCCGCCCCCCCGCCCCCCCCCGCCACTTCAGAATCCCCAATTGTGCCCGCTCTGAGAAGAATGTCTCTCCTACGCCAGCCCACGCTGCGTCTGGCATCCTCTAAGCTGCTAGTCCAGAGGTCCAGCCAGCAGCGTCTCTCGTCTACCGCTGCCAATCTCGCCCGCCCAGGGAACAAGATCCGCAATGGGCTGATTGGAACCGCACTGGTGGGTACGGTAGCCTTTGGGTACTACTACCTCACCGACACCCGCTCGGCCATCCACCAATACCCTGTGGTGCCGTTCCTGCGCTGGTTCTACAGCGGCGACGACATCCCGAAAGAAGCCGGCGGGAAGGGCGATGGCGCAGAGAAGGCACACGAGGTCGGCATCAAAGCTCTGAAGGGCCTCTACGACATTGGCCTCCCCCTCCGCGAGCGCGGGGACCACGAATATCTTGATGCGGAAGGAATGGGCGTCGAGGTACCACACCCCCCCTCCGGTGAAAATGTACCCATCATCAGCTCGACTGACCAAGAAATAACCGCAACCAGCTCTTCGGCCACCACCTCAAGACTCCGCTCGCAATCTCGGCCGGCCTCGACAAACATGCCACCTGCATCGACCCCCTCTTCGCCATCTCCCCCGCCATCTCCATCCTCGAGATCGGCTGCATCACGCCCCAGCCCCAGGTCGGAAACCCCAAGCCACGCATGTTCCGCCTCCCCACAAGTAACTCCCTCATCAACCGCTACGGCTTCAACTCCGTCGGCGCCGACGTCGCCGCAATCCGCCTCCGCGACCGCGTCCGCCGCTACGCCCAAGCCCACGGCATCTCCGAAGACGACGTCTACAACTCCACCACCCTCCCCGCCTCTCTGTACCCCAACCGCCTCCTCGCCGTGCAGATCGGCAAGAACAAGACCACCCCCGAGACCGACATCGAGGCCGTGAAACGTGACTACACTGAGTGTGTCGGCAAGCTCGGCCGCTACGCCGACATCATCGTCGTCAACGTCTCCTCCCCCAACACCCCCGGCCTGCGCTCCCTGCAGAAGCGCGAGCTCCTGCAGGACCTCCTCGGCGCCGTCGTCAAGGCGACGAACGATACGCCGCGCAAAGTGAAACCCAAGGTTGTCGTGAAGGTGTCGCCAGACTCCTCGTCGCCGAGCGATATCAAGGACATCTCTGCCGCCATCCTGGGCTCCGGCGTTGCGGGAGTGATCGTGGCAAACACGACGGTCTCGCGGCCGGCGGAGATATTGGCGTCGCCGCAGACGACGGAGGAGGAGAAGAGGATTGCGGCGAAGGAGATTGGAGGGTTGTCCGGGCCCGCGCTGCTGCCGAAGACGTTGGAGCTGGTGGAGAGGTTTAAGAAGGAGCTGGGCGATAGGGCGGTGGTGTTTGCGAGTGGGGGGATCACGAGCGGGAGGGATGCGGTAGAGGCGAGGAAGAGGGGGGCGGATGTGGTGATGGGGTACACGGGGATGGTGTATGGTGGGGTGGGCTTCTGGGGTAGAGTGGCGGAGGAGATGGCGAGCATCTTAGAGGGGAAGAAATAGATACCTGTGACTTTGTGTGATAGACGATATACTTGCGTTCTTTTCTTCCGGTAGTGTAAATAAAAATTGCGTGCTTAGAATTTGTGCTTTGCCGTACTAGAGCGTTGGTTGAATTTGTGCCTATATTGTGGTGTTTCTTTGTTATAGAATTCTCGATGAATGATGAGCTTTAAATCTAGGTTTCCAAACCACCGGTAAAGCTTGGCTGAGCCTGCTTCCAAAGTTTGATATCCGACAAACAAACCCTCTCAGATCCGACCCTTGACCAACCACTACCAAACGGTCTTAGGGCCTGTTCGGTTGACACAAAAATCCATAAATTGGGCCTAATAAATAATTACCTCCAGAGGTGTTTTATTCAATCCATGGATTGCAACCAATTCAGTGTCAACCGAATAGGCCCTAAACCGTCGCCTTATCAGGTCGATATCACAGCCTGCAACCAATATCCATTGGCTGTGATAGGGACTGGAATAAGACTGGGGTGCTTCCGTGGCAACTTAATACATCGAAAGTCAAGAGCGAACTGTGACCTAGCTAGCTCAATATCGCCGCATTGACTGAGGATTCTTAATCTCCCCCAGGGTGTGGTGTAGTGGTCACAGTAGATCTAGAGTGAGATCATACTCACTCAATGCATACGTCAATTGAGTCACCAGGATGATCAGAAGACTGTACTACCAGGGTAGGTACCGAAGGTTGTAAGTACCGGCCGGCAGGTAGCCAGTCCTCAATTCAACAGTTACAAACCGCTCCTAAAAACCTCAATTCCTAACGTCCATTAGCCCCAACAATTAAAACCGCCCAAAACCGCATCTGGAAACTCTCCAAGGGTTAAAACCAACCCCCCCTTTCTCCACAACCCCCCCAACCCCCTCTAGCTAGATCGGCCCCCTCAATGATGTGTTTCAGCCGTTCTAGCAGCATTTGAAACCCATAGTCAACAATCTCCAACAGCACGTGAAACGTGCCCTGTTGATTGGCTGTCAGGGCCCGAGGGGCAAAGGTCCAACCATCTTGTAGAAAGGTGCGGCGTGGGGAGGTGGTGGGTGATATATAGTACATATAGTGTTTCGAGGCCAGATTTGTGCGTCATACGAGCTGGAGTACCCCCAGGGTGAAGGTTGGGATTGATGTCATGGTTGATGTGGGAGCCTGTAGAACGGCGAGCACGTGGTCGTGGGTGATGACATAGCTTGGAGAAGCTTGGGTGAAGCTGTATCTGCAGAATGGAGTGGAGAATAAAAAAAGCTCCGAGGTGGCTATGGGGTATCTCCGTGTTCTGCAGCACAGGGGGCTCCTGCTGGGTCTGAGACAGGGAGGGAGGGATGCTGTCGAGACACTAGCATGGGTGTTTCGTATATAGTAGACAACTCATTATGATTGTTATCATCATATACAACACGCAGTTCTTCAAGATAGCACTTACATAAACTGTAGTCCTGATTCGTAGCGGGTAGACGGTTTGCGAATGAGTTGAGCACTGGGACCTGCGTTTGGTGTTTGTGACCGTCTATCGGCTACGTAGGTACCAATGCATCTGAAGTACTTTATCGTAAACTCGGTGGTGCGTCGAGCACCGGTAGCTAACGGAGCTGTGGTTGCGTTGATGGTTGAATCATAAATTATCACTCGGTTAATTTAGTTTAGGTTTAAATTGGGAGAGGCGAGACCTAGTGGCAATGGAAACTGGGACATTGGCGTTCATGTGGCTGAGTTGAATGTTTGGCTCTACAATGATAGCAGAGAAGTGTGAAGAGAGGTTCTTAGTGATTTTGGACTAGATTATTTGCCTGAGAGCGACTGTGAGGGGATGAAAGGTGGATATTGTTAATTAAACAAAGGTCGTATTACGATCTCGGAGGACGGGTAGCCAACCACTACGAAACAATCCCGCCGTCAGAAAAGTTTGTTCATACCTGGCATTTGTGTAACAATTGCAACCTAACACAGGTGTTGGACTGACTTTTTGATGGATTGCAACGTCGATGTATCTCAAGCTCTAGCCTACATTCATCGAAGAAGTTTGTTCAAGGCTCGCAAAGTCCTCGAATTCAGAATACCTGGACTTTAATACATCTAGGAACATTCCTCGACGGGCCGGTTCACCTGGAGAGAGTTGGTTACGAACAGCTGCACATTAACTGCTTAAGAAGGTCATCTAGCGGTGGCAAGAAAGTAGGAGAGGTCTGTTTTAGACCTTTGCAAATACTAGTATCGATATAATTACTGATAAATAGCATTCCGGAGCTCCCGTGTACGTGTAGTGACCGACGACTCATGAAAGCACCAAAGGTGTTTGCCCTTGTGAGGAAAAACCCCCGGACGGCCCGGAACAATTATGCGCTCCTGAGCGATGCGTCAGTTTGTTGACTGAAAGCTTTCTCTATACAAAGCTTTAACCAGCATTGAGACAATAATGGAGATGCGTTTTCCCATAAGATTTAAGAAGTTTAAGACTATCTCTAGAGATTGCTGGCGGGTAAATAGTGCACAATTATTGCCTGGCAGGGTCAAGCCATGTCTGCTTATAATCGCATATGTGGTATGGCTACATGTACTTCTACTTTGTGGTTGAGAGGAGTTCTTTACTGATAACAAGCCTACATGTAGTTAAATAAATGACATAGAAAGATTTGGACCACCCAGTCAGTCTACAGAGCTAGAGCTAGCAGCTTTGCGCAAACCGTATAGCGTATTGCATTGAGACTTTTGAACGTGAAGTGTCGATGAGTTGAAGACAGATAGGTATCCCGAGAGTAGAAAGACTTTGATCCACAAGTGAGGGCATAGGTGATTGGGTATAACCCTGTCTCATGCCCTTCAGTACTTGTTCAACTCTTGTTTTACTGATTAGACCGAGAACATTCCTGGAACCATTACTGCACTTCATCAAACAGAGTTCGTGGTCCCCAGATGAAGGACAAGTTACCCACACACCCCAAAGGCCTTATGATAAATTTAACTATCAAATGACGTATATCTCATCGAGATATAGGTCTCTATTCATCTGAGACCAAGAGAGAATAGATGCCGACCAGGCTTAAAGGCTGTTGCGGGCCACGAAAGAGAAGTCTATCAATACCTCTTTCGCATGCGTCTGTTAACCTATCGTTTACTAGCATGCAGAGAAGGCCCTTGGTGCGAGATAGGTCGTCGGATCATGGAGTACTTCAGGCTCATGAGTTTAGCTCCAGCCTACAAAAGTAATATTTCCCTGGTAAATTTCAATATCTTCCGGAAGGGGGCACTGAATAACTATGCCAGCTGTGATTGCAGCTGGATATAGAGCCGGAGCCTGGCTTGAAATGGCTCGGATTATGCGATAAGTTCGAGCTCGAATTTTAACCCAGACCCACCGCTATCGATAACAGCAACGACGATGTTAATGCAGCTATAGTCTTCTTGTGATTCAGGGGGTAGGGTTTGTTTTGCAAGCATGTGGAGATATCGAATGATCACGCATGATTTCAAGCATAGACCCCCAACTTCTTCGCATACCCCATTTTCCGTTGTCTCTTACCTATTAACCAACCCATAAGCCTGAACTAAGTTATTATAACTAATGTTTGGTAGGATTACTTCCCTTCTACTATATTCAATTGAATCCGATATTTCAAAGAGCATTTGCAGCTGTCTACACGCAAATTGCATGGTTTATAAGACTACACCACTGAACAGATACTTTTCGAGTGCCCTATTAATTCTCAGTAAGACACGTAACAAGGGTGGACATACAGGCGTGTGGTCGAGGGAGAGGACAAGTAAGCCATCTTGGCCTCACTGTCATAGTTGTCTTTGTACTCCCTTTCACTTCCCCCTTCCTCACTCGTCTGTCCTCTCTTTCTCCATCTCTCCATCACTATCATCTCGGGTGTGTTACTAGTATAAAGCAGGTGGTATTCCCTGCTACCTCTTCAGTCCTGTCAATGCTCCTACCCGAAAGCTAACCAGCACATATCCTACAGGTCTGGGTTATCACCAGATCTGAGCAACAATATCCCAAACCGAGATATTTAAGAAACGGGCTGGGTTTATTTCCGGCCCTGGATGATACGGGTGATGGCATGCACTTCCCGGTTTGAAGTACCCCGACCCTGAACCAGCTCCAACAACGCATCGCTGGATTTAGAAACAATACCAACCTCGATCCAAGAGCCACGGTATTCCTGCTGTTACCGATCATCAGAGAACTGGATAACTGCTTAACCTCTCTCCAAAGCACAGTAGGAATGGGCCTCGTTGTCCATAGTCGGCAGTATCTGCATGTACGGATCAGAGATCACTGGGGAGATACTATCGGTGTTAAAGCCTTTTCTGTTCCACCGGGTTCCTGCTTTTAACACGAAACCCATGGATCTGTGTTCCATATGCACAGTCCTTCATGTATGTGGGTGGACTATTTTGGGCAATGACACTCCCGGTAGCGTCATCTTGAACTTTGCTGCTGCACAAGGGATACATATTCGGGATGATATCAGACTCGCTACGTTTCAACATGCAGCACTGCGAGACAAACATCTTGAGTATAAACCATTACCATTACCAATATTAGCATTACCAACCTCGTCCTGCATACAGACACGAGGAGATATAAAAAAAGTATACACTCTAAGGCTGAGCAGCAACAACATACTGCTTCTCCATACTCAGCCCGCTCAAGACATCGTTGTCCAAATGCAGCGTATCCTTCACCACCTGCGGGGGTGTGAGTGCCATCCACTGTCCCAAACTCACATCTTCAAACTGCGGCGCCTTCAGCACCTCGAGCAATACCACATTCTCATCTCCGATATTCTCAATGTAATGCCCCTGGTCTACGAGGATATAGCCCACGTCCCCCGCAGCATAATCAAACGTTCGTGCTGACTGTGGAGCATCAAACACCGTGATTCGTGCCCGGCCCGAGATGAAGAAATTCCATTCATCGGAATTGGGGTGCTAGTCCAATCAGAATCTACATAAGAAGAGGAATGGAGGGGGAGAGAGAAACCCAATGCATCTCCCTCATAGCACCCGGCTTTATCGTCACCACAGCAGCCGCAATACTCGTACTCGCCTTAAACGTCCCCGAGTCCACGACCTTGACACTCCCCCCCGGCACCACCATCGGCTCCTGCCTCGACAAATGGAAACTAAACGGCTTGGGGATCGTGCCCTCTGGGCTTTGCACCGCATCCGCACTCACATTGACCGCCGGGGGCGTCCCATTGAATATATAAAGCTGCTCCTTCGGCACATCGTCAAACGCCTTCATGGGGACTCCAAAATTCTTCGCCAGGACCTCCCGCGGCGTGTGCGAGAACCACTCGGTGATGAGGAACGTGTCGTCCTCCGAGAAGGCGCCGTCATCAAAGACGAGCAGGAACTCGACGCCATTTTCGAGCGCCTGGATGGAGTGCGGGAGGCCGGAGGGGAAGTACCAGAGGTCGCCCTCTGAGACGTCGTCGTTGAAGTTGCGGCCCTGCGCATCAATCGCCGAGATTCGCGCGCTCCCGTTGAAAACATAGGCCCACTCGTTTGCGCTGTGCCCTGCATAAATACACACATCAGAAGCTATCTACACAGAGAACCGCACCGGTCACGAAGTATAGAGAGAGGTTACAATGCAGCTCCCGATACGCATCCGGCCCCAGCCTCATATCCACCCCCGCCATCTGCTTCGCCGCCGGCAACACGTCTACATTCTGCTGCCGCGCCCACCCCGCGCCCGTCATGCGCGTACTCGACAAGCCCATCGGCCACTTTGCCTGCTGCACATCCCCCTCATCCGTCGTCGGCCTCGCCAGTGTGTCCGGGTTCAGCCGGTCATACGCCGAGTCATGGGGCCCCGGATCGTTGCTGCCCTCGTCCCCGCGGATTGGCTGCGGGTCGGTCACGTTCAGGAAGTCGAACGACTGATTTGCGTCGGTGGACGAGTTTGAGGCTTGCCCGGGGACGAGGTCAGGGTGGGCATTGATCGTGTTTTGCGTGGGCTCTGCGCTGGCGCCGGCCAGGAGCGGGCCGGCGAGGGAGGCGGTGGCGGGGAGGGCGCCAGAGACGGTGATGGTGTGTGTCGCGTAGGCGGGGGGAGGGGGCGCGAGCGTACCGGCACCGGTGGGGATGCTGAATGCCAGGTCGAGGAGACAGAGGAGGGGGAGGTGGTATCGAGAACTGGATATAGGTAGCTGCATGTTGGGGGGATTATTTCCGCCGGAACTCGTATATAGCATTCATTCCAATCCCACAGCTAGCTAGCTAGCTAGGCCATATATAAACCCGCCGCCCCTCCCCCATGCCGAATCGTCATCACCGCTCATGCATCGGCTGTGAATGTGTTCTCCGAGTGCAACTTTACGACGTGACATATCGTCTCCACGCACACGCCAAGCACCGCAACTACCGGCAAACTCTAATCATTGACAGGGCTACGGCCCCTGGTAACACGCGGTGATGTCAGCACAGCGGATATAAGCTTTTGGAGTCGACTTGGCACTCGCTTTAAGGAGGTGGCGGGAGAAGTCTATCTGTGGAACGATGATAGCGATAGAGCAGATTTGTGGGATGGAGCGTTGGTTCGAACGGTAGTACGAGCTAGCAGTGCAGGGTAAAGAAGCAGCTGCAATCATGAGCTCTGATTCGGCACCTGTACCCCCGTGCACCAACCACAGCGTACCACCTGCAGACAGAGAGAGACACCGCACGTGATTTCGTTTTTTTGCGTTTCTGCCTGATACAAATAAAGCTGCATACATGCAAGTAAAAAGAAAATGAAAATAAAAAAACAGATAATCCATCCATATGTATATGTAGAACTCCGGCTATGCAATGCACCCCCCTCCCCTTCCCATCCCCGTTGCCCCCTCCTCCCCTCCCCCCCGTGACACCAGTTTTTTGATTTATTTACATACAACCCCCGGGCCTGTTCCGGCCTAGACACAACAGAAACTATGATTAAACATTAAATGCCCCTCCCTCCCTCCCGCCCGACCCTCCCGACCCCGAGCCATCCGCGAAATATCCGGCTACTAAGGCATGGCGCCGTACTCTACAGGTTGTGTACGTTGTCGCGCATGTCCGTTTATGATACCAGCCGGCCGCATACCCGGTTTCTGCACAGGTACATTACCGCATGCCCATCTTTCCCCCCTTCCCCCTTCCCCCTTCCCCCGCGCCCCCGTGACCCCGCGCCCACCCACCCACCCACCCCCTTCACCCCTCGCTACGCACACTGCGCAACCTGCACCCTCTCCAGCGCCACCCCCTTCCTACAGCCCAAGCCCAAGCCCGCCGGCCCGCCGCCCCTGCCAGTACTCAGCAGCCCAAAGATCGACTCGCCGAGCCGGACGACCGCATCCCTCACGCCGTCGCTGCCCTCGTCGATCAGCATGCGCATGATGGGCTCGCGCAGCCTGATGACGGCGTACAGGAGCGCCGTGACGCCGTTGCGCTGCGAGTTGGCGTCGACGCCCTTCTCGAGCAGCAGGCGCACGAGCTGCTCGTGCGCCGTGCCGAGCGCCCACAGCAGCGCGGGACACCCGTCCAGGTCCGTCACGGCGGATTGGTGCAGCAGCGGCGTGAGCATTGCGGCGAGGTGGCGGTTGGTTTGCAGGAAGGAGTTGAGGTCGGGGACGGGGAGGTGCTCGGCGATGATGAAGAGGAGCTCGTTGGGGAGGGTGAGGAGGTGGGAGGCGGCGGGGTTGGTCATGGTTGCGTGTGGATGGTTGGTTGGATTGGGGGTGTAATGAGTAGTGGTGATAAGTGGTAATAGTAATAGTGGTGGGGTTTAGTATGGTGCTGCAGGAGTAGTGGTAGTGGGTTTGAAGGTTGACGGTTAAGGAAGAACGAGCGTGGATTGGCGCTGACTGGCAGGCAGACTGTAAAGCGAGTGAATGAAGCAAGGGAGGAAAGAAGGTATGATTGCGTAGCCGTCAATCGTTGATCTGGTTGGCTTGAAAGTTACAAAGACGGAGACAGTAAAGAGGGGAGGAAGCGGGTTCAATAAGGGGCCTACCTACATAATATGTAGGCAGGCAGGCAGGCAGGCAGGCAGGTGGTGGGTTTGTGGTTTGTGGTTATGTATGTGTATGTGTATGTGCACCTACGGAGAGATGCCCCCCTAGCTGTTGCCAAGCTAGCGTCTACACGGCTCGCGATTTAATCCGATTTTCATCCAGGGTCTCAGCTTGAGATCTCAAGGGGTTTCAGATACAATTCCCAGCGCCCGCGGGAGGCAATCATTGGCTCTCGACAGTCGTGACACGGGCACACTTGAGGGTGACGGCTTGTGCCCCAGGGGTAAAGTTGGCTGGAAATGGCTTAGCGCCCGAGATACCTAACTTTATCATAAACTCAACCAATCCAAGCAGTATCTCTCATCGATGGCGAAGAAAAAGTACATGGCAGTAAACTTGTCCGCAGTGATAAGGCAGGCAGGTAGGTCTGCGACTGAGACTGTTTTTTTCTTTCTCGTCCAGGACAACACATATTGATAGACAAACGAGTCTTTTTTGGAATCATACGAGAGCAATGACACGGCGTATTATTGTTAGATCTTCCCAAGTTTCCCGGCGCGTCAAACGTGTCCTTTATATAGACGGTTTGATTCCAGATGAGGTGCTAAAGCATCGTTATATCAAATACTTGGCTGTGATGTTTCATGACTTGTACAATTGTGGGTTCTCGCTAGGAGGCTGCAAATGCATGGAGACGGCGCCGTTTACTAGCACCTAGTGCCGAGATCTCGGCATCGCTAGTAATTTTAAGCGCACTCATATCGAGTTTAGTGTGTGCAAATGGCTTGAGTTTCTAGGCCTGTATTGAAAACCTTGTAAACTTTATTCTCCATAAGGATCTAGATCTAGATCGTGGAATGGGCGGCCTTTCTGGGGGCTGGCCCGCTAGACAGCGGGCCTCATCCCGTCCGCTTGATAGCAAGAGTGTAAATAGCCTCTCTCCCTCTGCCAATACTCATGACTGGGATGCCGAAATTCTGGATTGCACGGTGACTATGACAGCTTTCCCATTCGTCAACGTGACTGTGGAGACCAAACCTTTGCCGAATGCTATTAACACTGCGGGGAACTGACGGAAATTATCGCGCCAGCCCAAGTTTATTTGAGGTGGTGCACATGAGTCCTTGGTATATAAACATTCCAAGAGACATGAAGGGTTGAGGTTAGGAAGGAGAGTGGTATGCATGAAACGCGTGATAGGCGTGACTCGGAGTGACTATTGAAAGCTTCATAGGAGGGTCACAGCCCAGAACCTTAGCCTGACCAGAAGCCAATGAATTCAGCCATGGACTGTGACCTGCTCGTCTCCGGAGATCTATTGTTGAGCAACAGGGCCCGAAACCAGTAATAGTAGCTTCAAAGCTTCTAATAGGCCAGTCCGGGTTAAACATTGGCTTGGCCTTGCCCGGCCTATAAAATGACGGCTTGGCCCAAGCTAACGGAAAACCAATTGTTGCCTGCACCTTCCTAGCAAAAGACTTCAATGAGTTTGGATCCTTCATGGAGGAGATTTCGTTGATCTTGTACCGGTCACTAGATACATGTAGTCTAGCTAGCTATAGTCGGCCTGGCCCAGCTCATGTTTCCATGTAAATGATGTGTGGTGGTGATTAATTAAGAGACTTGACCGTTAGCTATAGTACTACTAAACCAATCAATAAATATCACGGAATAACCCAGGCGTCAGTTTGAATTTACCTGGTTACCAATAAGTCCTTCAGCCCAGATTTTACGGTTAAGAGTTGCCGGCGGGCGAATCAGACTCTGTCTTTCAAAAGGCCGAAGTCGAACCGCCCGAAGCGACTAGTAGGCATAAGGGTGAAACCCTGTACTTGTACTGTAGATTGTGGTGCGCCGCCATAGACTACGGTCTGCATGCGAGTATGAATTAAACAAAAAAAAAAAAAAAGTCGAACCGCCCGGGAAACCTTCCTAGAGCGGCTCCCCCGTCAGTTGGTTCATATATCCGTGAGTGATGAACTGATGATGAGACAACATGGATAGTGGTAGAAGGAATTCTGGGTCAGCTTTGAGGATTGAGTGTAGGTGTTTAGTGGTAGTGGTAATGGGATGTCGTCGAGCAGAGCTAGAGCTGACGGGCCGCGGTGCCGCGGAGCAGCTGTACAGGCTACGTCTACGAACCAAACTTAGCATTCAAATAGTTCTTATATACCTCGATCCGTACCCGTCATTTGTGTAGCCATCTAAACCCCATGTTGGCCTGAACCTTCCATGGGCGAGCTGATATGTCGCTGGCCGCCCTGGCCTGTACGAGCTGAGATTTGATAGAGATTCGAAAATGCCTACATGCACATGTAGTATTCAGAAGTATTCAACTATGTACATGTAGTAGTCCACTTCCTCAATGGACCAATCCGTTTAGGGGTATTCAGTTATTATGGAAAACTTCGATATGATAGGTCTTGAGATATTAGTAGCCTATGAGGACAAAACAAAGTACATACATGTGATCAATCAGAGACTTCTTGAAACCGCTCAGGGTCGACGGAATTTCACGGTTAATTCATCTTGTCGCACAAAGCTTGGACCCTAGGCCGGAGGCAAACTTTATAGGTGCTGGGGCTGGCTAGCCTACGTATACTTGTGATACAAAAACGGCCAGCTCATTCCACCTAGTAAGAAGGACTATTTTAAGTAGACATGTCGATAGTTATGTAACTTTAACTATCGGGATCCTGGGGGAAAGAAAAATCGCTCAAGATAAAACGCAATCCACCAGGTAACAGAAACCGGCTCAAAACTGGAGCTTAGCCCGCATGCCGCATCTTTCTTCTTCCCGCAACGTCTCCCCACACACATGTATATACCACCCAAATACCAACAACCAACCACCAACATACCCAGGTATTATCCAACCACATCCATCCATGAAGGAGTTCGATCATAATATTTCTTCTAGCCGGGCAAAATGTCGCCCACACTCAGTCTCACATTAGCGGGATACTCCGACCTAGATGGGGTAGGATTTCGAGGCTCACAAGCCAAAAATCTATCAGCAATAAGTGTTTCTCACTAAACAACTAGAAGATTCTTTGAGCACACAATGTGTTCCACTTCGTGTCACCTCGTTAGGTAATCTTCTCAAGGCTAGGGGAACACCAGTTTGCGTAGTCTTGTAAAGTTCGTTCGGTCTAAGACGATCTCGATAATAGGAGTCTCGTACGAAGTTCAGGGAACTGGCTCGTAGCGTCTTGTAGCTATTACCTGTTATCAACCACTATGTCTTCGGAAAGGAAGAAAGATCGGGCTCAATACCACTAGTGGAATTCCTAGCTATCACGACCTTTAGGGAATTTTACAAAGGAGCTCCTGAGCTAAACAGACTAGCCCCTTCTTGGACTTATTCTCGCAGAAAGGCCGATTTCTCAACTTGCCAGATACATGTACCTCCATCAGGATATCTTGCATTGGCATACAAGATGTATGCGAGTGATGATTACCACTATTTCCTTTCAATCATGGAACACCTATTATTTCCCACTTAAATTGTGCCTATTTGAGCATCACTAGTAATGAGATCATAAAGATCACGAAGGCTTACGAAAAATGGTCGAGTACGTACAGCTCATCATCCTAGATTAGCCCATTATGGCTTAATAAAGAGATGCAGATCTCGGACCCGTCACAAGGAGAAATGTCACGAGAAGAAATGCTTGAGATATCACCATCATCTCCGCATCTTTAGATTTTTTATTCTTTGTACTGGATCATAATAGACTAGACAACAGGATGGGCTAAACGGACTAGGCTAAATTAGAATTATTATTCAAGCTCAACTATAGAGCTCTTAACCAGATTGACCGGACAACTCAGAACCGGCCTTTGTGTTAAAAGAATATGGTCCATGTGTTTCCCAATCCTCCGGTTCCAGCACTTTCTACTAAGGAAAATTTAAAGTAAAAGCATTTCAGCGATCAATGCCCACCGACTTATGCTCCTCGGCAAGGAAAGAAATCTTCTCGGGCCTTGGGTTACGTGAACGAAGCTGCTATATTGGTGCCCTCTATATAGACACCGAACCTGGATGACTTTCGCAGGCTACCGTCATATTTCGGCTAACAATATATCAGTGATAGGAGGGCTGTGGTATGCCTATGCCGACTATATCTCTCCCCAAGTTTAAATAATTTTTATCAGGAGCCTCGAAATATCGCCAAGAAACCTTACAGGACTTGGGATATTGACTGGCCTTATCCTAGATTACAGAGACGCAGCTTGATGGGGCCTCGGCGCATACGAGATATTAAGGAATATATCACTCGCTCTCAGCAGATGATTGACAAGGACACCAAGAAACCCGACCCAAGTACATGTACCCAACAGAACCTCGATACGAGCTCTATACGTGTATGTTCCTGCTCAAATCAAATCGTGAGACCACGAATACAGTTAAAGATCTTCGTAATTAATACAATCTTATACACCTACTGTCACTCGCTTTAATTTCTAGGAATGACTTTAGAAAATGTTTATATCACACATGGAATACATCACAATTATACATTACATTCAGGTCCTATATTCGTTTATTCGTTCGTATCAACACGGGTCATGAACAATCACCAATTTCATCATAAACCCTTCCGTCATGAGTTCTCACTCGCGGGTGTGATCACCCCTGAATTTTATTTGGTAATGAATGGTGCCCTAAAATATAAGGAGATAATCTCCACTGCCTCCCGTGCATACCTATGCTGTTATTTGTTTATGATATGTTGTATATCGTACAAATGAGCTGTAAAAAAAGCACTTGTGCATGCCAAGGATAATATGAGGAATCTTCACCAGGCGAGAGGCCGTTAGGGTCGGTTTGGCGCCATTTAATTCCGCCACTCATGTTTGGAGCAGGTGTTACTAGAATAAACACCAATATAATTGAGGTACAGATATCAATGTTTTAGGGATCCATGAGAAAGGTTTTGCGTATTACTTGAGGTACCGGATGCGTGATCGATAGGAGATCCTGCATGAGATGGTTTAACGGCCAGGTACAGTGAGCTCATGGGCATTGGCATTTTGCCAAATAAAAAATAAAACTTGAGTTCGTTACCCAGGATTCCCACGTGGTCACCCACCGCAGTACTGACTAGGCGATATGTTGGTTATGTATGGCAGAGCGGACGGGATGCCCAGTTTTCAACATTCTATGAACGAACACGTGAGTTTAATGAATTTTTGCCATTTTCAATAGGATATTTTGGCCTCAGAGTCGAGCTCAAATTTCTAGTTCTGGACGGTGGGTAAGACAACCTGTACTGCGCTGCACGCCAGAACTGTTCTCTCCCTCCACTGCCGTTGGAACGGGCAAAAAACTAATACTAGACTCCAAACATGATTACTTGTAGCGTGCAAAGAAGGCAAATATACATAAGCGTTTTTTGACCAAAAAGAGTTAGCATTATTTCGATATAAAGCTCTATTTTATATAAGCGTTAAAAGGGCTCAAATAATCTTTAAATCACAGTTTTTGGTAGCATAATTATATGACGCTTATTTATTTTAGCTAAGTCTCCAGTAATAAACTCCGGCCACTAAACATTATCTCCAATAATGATTACTTCGATTTTAGGCTTATTTTTAAATAAGAATATGTACATGGTGACAAAAGGAAAAGAGGGGGCCCATAAGCTCTAGCCGGTGGTCAATGATTAGAAAAACAAGATTTCCTTCAGCCAAATGGCAGGTATGGCCGATATTGTGATTGGGAAAGCAGCTAGAGTGATGAGATAAATAATTGAAATGGGCGTTCCAAGGGCTAAAGGTATTTGGTGGCCCATATATCTCCTTGTCAGAGCCCATATCTCTCCTTCTTACAGTCCCCATAACCCCTTGGGCTCAATGGTTTGAGCTCAAGCCTAGGCTCGATCGAGCCTTGACGGAAAAAGCTCAAGCCGGCTTGTGCTCGCTGAATGATGAGGCTCGCTTTCAACAAGCCGAAAGCTCAAGCGCAGAGCTCGAGCTGGCTCTGCTCATGGACCCAGTACTAGGTTCGAGTCCTGAGACTCTTAATTCTAGATAAAAGTCAGAGCCGTTGAGGAATTCCATCTTTCACACTGGCTACTTAAATAGAATAACCTCATCTTTCCGATGCAGATTCGATTCTTTCTTTTCCCCTCATGTCTCATCCTGACCCTGAAATGACTTGGGTCGCATCTCGGATTCTCAGTAAAACAAACATAAGTCGATACAAGAACTCATCCCAGCAAAGGCCATTCAGCTCACTCCTAGAAGTAGTCAAAGTCAAGCCTGCAAATCAAGTCTATAATTGGTCATCCAGCTGCAGCCAGCTTGATCCTGATCTCATTTGTCGATCTTCTGATACTTTGCCGCCGGGCTACATTGGAAATGACCCACGTTCCGGATCATTCAAGTAAACAAAGCCCTTCACCCAACGGACCAGGCAAAGTAGCACCAGCGTTGCATGCTCTAGATTGGAAATCTACCAGTTTACCTTTTCTTAACGTACCAATCACCTTTAACTGTCCGGCGGATGGGTTGTGTCCGGGTGAAAGCCTTCAAAATTTTCGAACCTTTCTTCAAGTGCATACTTGCAATTAGAGAAAGATTTTCATCAGCTGTTTCTCCATATAAGCCTCGGATAGATTATGTATAAGGATGTTATAAGGCCTAAATATAAGGCTGTAATAATAACTCTCGTGTCCGATGTAAATACGTAAGGTTTGAACTAGAATGCCTCCCCCCCCATCTCTTAATCTTCTATTCGAGAGTTCTTACGTACAAGTACTTATCACTTGTAACACTTAGTATCTCAATTTTACAGTCGTGCTATAGCCAAGGGAGGAGAAATATCATGATTCAGTCATGAACGTTTCTCTAGCCAGTTTGACAACCACCTCACTCTCGTTAAAGCAGAAACAAGAATACGTTCACTTGTATACCCTTTTAAACTATCAATATTACTTATCTGAGCGGTGGCCGTTTGAGTGGCTAAAGAAGGCGTCCAAATCGATGAACGCCGAGTGTTCGTTTTTTGCAAATAATGATATTAACTCTGAGTCATAATACTTCAACAATTCAAGATTTCACATCTAGAGTACGTGACTTGAGATGGTCCTGGGTTCGATTCCCAGTACGTCCATTGATTCATTTTTTTCACTGGGAGTAGTTGAAAAATCCTCTACCCTCTGCTGGTGTGGTGCGTATGCAGGGACCCACCGGGATTGGCAACGGTTAAACCCAGTCTCGTGTCACCATCAACTTCAAACTACATATCTAATAAGTATATAGATATACCGATATGCAATGTGTTATTTAAAGGTTTTGATTGGCCAGGTTTGAGGGGTTTTCTTTTTCTCTATCAAATATGTTTGTCAGTAAGTAGATATTCTATCAAATATGTTGGAGTTAGTAGATATTCTATCAAATATGTTTGAGTCAGCCAGTAGATATTGGTTCCAACATACCTTGAGTCAACCAAATAGTATATCAGATATGTGCACAGGGCATCTTGGGGTTTCAGTGATCTTAAGCGTTGGTAAACTGATATTGTTTAAGCCATAACAGTTCCTACTCCGGCCAAAGGCCGGAAAATGCTTGTATCTTCGTCGAACTACGTCTATGTATAGATAGTGGTACTAATAGTAGTAATAGTGGTAATGATGGTAATCAAAGTCGGTTAAATTTTCTAGGGCGGTTTTTTTTTCCAATTAAAAAAGCCAGTAGGGTTGAAACTTTGAGGCTTGAGTGCCTCCCGAGAGAAACCAAAAGTTGAAAGTGGGACTGACTTTGGGTTTTTTTTAGAGGCTCTTATCTTGAGTCTTGGGGGGTTAATTTCCTTAGCTTCATATTCCCTGCTTCCCGTGGTGCACTATTCTTTCGATGCTTTCTTTATCCTCTTTGTCGAACTCAACTCAACTCGACCGTCTGAAAACCAGTTGAGATTTTTTTAAGCGCAGTTGACCTTTTCTCAACTGGCTTCAGAGCCTGATTAGATCCAGTCGAGTTTTTTTTTGAATCGCAGCCTCGCCACAAAAAAAGCTCAACACAACCCGACCCAACCTAACGCACTTTAATTACCACTATTATCCTATTGATGACATACAATTGGATTATCTGCCGTGCGCATAAGGGAAAAGGGAAAGGGAGTCCCCAAATCGACATATCATACGCTTGCGCTTCAACGAAGAACGGAGAAACAAAAAACAAACAATCACATGCACATGTGGAAGAAAAATAGAGACGCGGGGAATCGAACCCCGGACCACCTCTATTCAAGTTGAACATCTTGCAATCCTCAGTTGCTAAAGAGGTATTATACCACTAAACCATATCCCCTTTCTCTTCGTTCCTTCTAACTAGATATATGTACTTCAACAATCACGGCACAGATAGTTCTAATTTTGTGTTGGCGCTAGGCAATTTTCTTCGTTGTTGAGGCAAACGCCTATAAGAGTTAGCAAAACTAGAATATTGTGCAACGTCTCCGAATCCTAAGCGTAACATCTACGTAATTCAATTTGAATATCAATATCCGATATTATAGACATGATCTTCGAAACCTCAACTACATAGACTCGGGGTGCGGGTTTATCGGTTTTGGGATCATTTCAATATTAGGAATCCTTCGAGTTTAACCCCCAATCACATCGAGAGTGTTTTAGGCCTTGCACAGATCTTATTAAAGACGAGGCTATTTCGTATTGAAAAGAATGTAGGTTCTAGCAGAACGGATGCTACCGACATATATATTTTAGTTCAAAGATTCCACCAACTAAGAATTTCACCGGGGATGTTTTGTTGATGATAATCGAGTGATATTCCATGAAAACATTGAAGACTCAGTTGTCCGCGGTCGGCGTAACTTTTAGCACTAGTCAGCCAGTGATGTCTCACAATCACGGGCCAGCGCCCGCAGTTTGGGTTGCAGCTGAGTCGAATACCTAACCACACCCCACCACATCATCTTATCCACTTATCAGAAGTCTTGTATTCATCCATCAATCATCTCGCACTCAACCGCCGTACATATTTCTCTCAGACGGATATTCCTCTCTGCCTTTTCCCACGTCATCGCCTAATTATCATCAACCTCTCTTACAATAATGGATTTCACCAAGAACATTGCCAATTTTGGCAAGAACATCTCAACGAGCTTCACTCCCTTTGCTGCTCGTACTCAGCAGTTCGTTCGGGAGCAGCTCACCCAGGTCGAGGATAAGGTCTCCGCCCCCTCTCCCGCTCCCAGTGCTAGTAAGAGTGCTAGCACTGATGGCCCAGCTGATGCTCCCGTCGATGATGCCACTGCTGCTGCCTCTCCTGATACCACCAACCCCACTTCCTCTGCTTCTTCCCCTGACTCTGATGATACTGCTGTCCCTATACCCGATGCTTCTGCTGCTTCCCCACCATCATCATCTGCCCCCGGCGTTGCAGCTACTGCTGCCTCCGTCTCCACTGCTGCTGTCAATGCTACTGCCAATGCTACTGCTTCTGCGGCTGCTACTGCCAGGCGTCTCGCGGAGCTACTCAACGAGACAGCTTTGGTATTTATGATCCGCAGGAAGCTGACTGAGACCAAGACTCAATTACCGCCGGACTACCTCGAGCTCGAGAAACGTGTCGATGCCTTGAGACTCGTTCATCAGCAACTCTTGGCTGTAACGTATGTCTTCCCCGCCCGCCCTGTAGATACTTTATCCGGTAGAGTGTCACGTGCTAATGTTTTCTCTTACAGTTCTCAATTTTCTAACGAGGTAGAAACCCAGTCTGTTCGAATAATCTATTTTTAAACATGCTAACGAGATTTCATTTCAAATAAAGTCCTATGATTACCCCTCAAACTACGTAAGCACCCCCTCCCCTCCAGCTCGGGGCAGCCAAACTGATTCCTCCACAGCGCGAGTCCGTTGTCGATCTTTCCCGCACACTCACCGAGAAGGTCCAGCTTCTCTCCGCTGCAAACACCGCTACTGAGGCCCAAAACATCTTGACAAAGCCCGGTACAAAATCCGCCCCAAAGACCTTTGCCCACGCCATCGCCCGGGCCTCACTCAATTCTGCGCATGCGCTTGAATCGTCTGAACCCCTTGCGACCGCCCTCGAGAAATACGCTCTCGCATCTGAACAGGTCGGAGAAGCCCGTCTCCAACAAGATGCACAGATTCAGTCTCGTTTCAACGCGGCATTCACAACCACATTGAACACGAATATTATGTTCGCACAAAAAGCGCGCAAAAATGTGGAGAATGCTCGCCTATCTCTTGATGCAGCTAAATCTAAGGCCAAGAGCGGTGGTGGAATCGGGTTCCCTAACCTTGGCGGTGCCAGACAACAAGACCCCCATCACGAGGAGCACCTGACCGATGAGCAAAGAGTTGAGGTTGAGACAGCTGAGGATGAGTTTGTCGGCTGCACAGAGGAGGCTGTTGGCGTGATGAAGAACGTCCTCGACACCCCCGAACCTTTGAGAAATCTTGCGGACTTGGTTCAGGCCCAGTTGGAGTTCCACAAGAAAGCTTTTGAGATTTACTCTGAGCTTGCACCATTGATTGAGGGGCTACAAGTCGAACAGGAGGTATGAATTCTTTCTTCCTTCTCTCCTGTACTTTGCACATCTTCTTTCTTTTGTGTGGGCAGCTGATCGGAGCTGTTGGGGTTGGACGATGTTATGAAGGCCAAAAGAAGTGAAGATTATGGGGATGGGATGAGCGACTAGACTACTTTTCTCTTTCTAATATTTTGGAACAAATAACGGAGAAGACTAACAGGGACGTTAAATAGGCAAGCTACAGGAAAAACAGAGAAGGCGGGGCGTAAATTTGCACATTTGGAAACAAACTGAATCCCGGAGGGCTCACATAATTGGGTTCCTTTTCTTTTTTTCATTTCTCGTTCGTTCCTGTCATTTTTCCGTTTAGGGCCCCCTCTTTTCGCGTTTCGTTTCGTTTCGTCTCAATTGAAATAGTGGTCTTGTCCAATCACGCGGTGCCTTTGTTGAAATTTTTGCTTTTGAATCAGATTGTAGCTGATTAAGAGGTAAGTTGGCTGTGTTTATTGATTCACAAATCTGACTATAACCTTTTGAATGAAATATTTTGTCTTTGGGTGCTGGTATGCTCAATATAGGTCAGTCAAGATAGCAAGCATGAGACCTAATCTGGGTATTTATTGAAATTTGAGATATTTTATGAATTTGGGCTATTTGACTGAATCTTTTTATCATATAAAAACAAAGAGTTCTTGTTACATGCCCACCGATTTCCTTGAAGCACTACCGGGCTATACAAGAGGTTCTTCTTCCCTTTCGTTTCCCGGTACATGCATGTAGGGCGGAATACTGGGGAGAATATGTATCTGCATTGCTTCATTCAACCTCTTCAGTCATTAGGCGAGCACTGCTGTGCCTAGAAACCGTTTTTACCCTTACAATGGGCGCTATTGATGATAAAAGGCGCGCGTTGTGATCATTCTAAGAATATTTAGTCAGTCATGTAGTAGGTGCGTACAAACTTCTACTTGCTCGCTGTCATCCACAGTGACTGCCAGTTATATGTATGTCATGCGATCCAGAATATATTGAACGTCATGTGATCTCAAAACTTGGGTGAGAAATCCCCCGGTAAGCAGCTCGCCGCATTTCCCAGTCTTTGGGGTACGCCGATGTGCCATAAACTTCGCATGTTGCTGCCCTATCTTGGTCAATTGCTTCCAGTCCAATCATGCAGTTGACAATGTCAGGCAACCCAAAATTTGCCTCCACGTTTCCTGCGGCTGTGGCTCGAACCCGACCCGACGGTTGAACATGGCTGAGCACCACTTGACGCTCGTGCCAACCCAACCCACCAATCCCTGCGAACTGTGAGTTCCAGCACGTTCGATCTATCGTTCTGTAAGCAAGCTTCGTGATCCTCTGTTAAGACTATAACCACCGGCACCGGTACCACCACTTTCTTCCCCTCTCCCCTTCGTTCGTTGCTCTGTTCCTATCCATGCGATATTTTTGCGATCTTACTTTGTTTCAGCGTCACTTTACTGCATAGCGGTCATTCATTGTCTTGTCCAGGGTTCTCCTGCACTAAATAGACAGCAAGACTAGAGTTAGATCGTCTGTTGACCGTTGAGCCGCACACAAGCCATTGTAACTCTAGATTAATTCTGTTATCTACCTACACACACTCTCTCTCACTCACTCCTCTACATCCCATCATCCTCAATCGTTTCCGACTTTATCCCCGGAGAGATTCAGTGTAGAGGATAAGGGATTCTATCTATCTCTAGCCGGATCGCTAGGAAAGAGAATCAACTGGGCTCCTCTTTGAGCCTCTTTGAGCTCCGAGCGGAATCGGGAAAAGGGTGGATTTCGAAAAGGAAAGGGAAAGGGAACAGGAAAGATACTGAGTAAAGCGGAGAAAATGGCAATGAAAGCGGACGAACTGAAGCAGAAGGGGAATGCGTAAGTCTTTCGCTCTTCCGGGAATAAATAGATAGATGGAAAGCTAATGCGCGGGGGACGCTACAGGTGCTTCCAAGCTGGCGACTTCTCTGGGGCAGAAAAGTTTTATACTCAAGCGTAAGCCTACTCTCCATCTGTGCGTCTATCTTCATTAGGGAGGATCGGAGGGGCACCAGTAAGTGAAGTCTCTATGGGTAAGTACATGTAGGTAAGTATACAGGTTGGCCTGCTTGATGGTGGTTGAATGGGTTCGGGATCAAATATATTTCAGCAGCTGCCTATATACAACAATCGACCTGGCTAACATCTAACCCCAACAGTATAATTCGCGACAGCACCAATGCTGCGTTCTTCACCAACCGCGCTCTTGCCAGGCTCAAAATGGAGATGTTCGAAGAAGTCATTAATGACTGTCTTAAAGCCATTGAGCTCTCCCCCTCAAACAGTCAGTCACCCCATCTATCACCCTCCCCTGCCTTCCCATCCACATTCTCAAGCTAACACACCCACAGTGAAAGCATATAGCTATCTCGGGCAAGCTCAACTTGCGCTCAATCACCCCAGCGAGGCCCTCCACTCCTCTATGACCGCCTACGAGCTCGCAATTACGCAGCGCTCCCCTTCTGTCGCATCAATTGCAGCAGCCTGTCTCGAGGCCAAAAAAAAGCGTTGGGAGCAGCGTGAAGAGAAACGTAGGGAGAGAGAATGCCAGCTGATGCGGAAGATGACGGATATCATTGAGCGCGATGCTGATAGGGCAGTCGACGAGCTGTTGAAAAGGGGTAGGACAAATGGAAACATGACCATTTCCGAGCAAGAAGAGGAAATTAGGCACGAGGCGAAGGAAAGAGTCAGAACTTTAGAGGACGTGTTCGGGAAGGCAGAGGCCGTAAGGTGTGCCAGAAGGGAGGTTCCGGATTATCTCATCGACAATATCACTTTCTCCATCATGTTGGATCCAGTTATCGTAAGCTCCCCACGTTTTCTTGGCTTATTTTCGCTTATATGAGTTAACGGTAAAATAGACGAAGAATGGGCATTCTTACGACCGTGCAACGCTTCTAGATCATTTGAAGCGCTCGCAAACTGACCCGCTGACCAGGGAGCCTTTGAGTGAGAAAGATCTCGTCCCGAATTACGCACTGAAGGCGGCCAGTGATCTATTTTTGAAAGAGAACGGATGGGCGGTTGATTGGTGATAGAGGTATCGTCGATTTCATGTCGCAAAATACTTTTTTCTTGATATGTGCATATAATACCCTTTTGTGGTATCAGGATTATGGGTGAATGAGTAGTTTTAGCCCTACCTTTCCGCCACTACTTTTCACCTCATATTTCTTTTGGTTCTGCTATTTCTTCCCCAACGTTTCATTTTTCTGCCAAGTTTTTGTCACGTTTTCAAATGTTTTTCGTTGCTTGTTGCAGGTGGATCAAAGTAAACCACTAAATCGGAGTCCGGATTTCTTTAAAGCTTTTCTGGTTGTTTTTTATACAAATTTCGGGGGTGTTATTTCTTTGAGCATAAGCTATGGATTGGAGTATTAACAATTTTCCCTACTTAATTTCCTTATTTTTCTTATTTAACGCCACCGCTGAAGCGTTAAGAGTAGATTAACCATATACCAGCTACTAACAAAAGGAGGAAAGGTGGCGACAGTGTGTTTATACTGTTTTGTAGTACTGGCTTGATTGGGTGGTGTGTGTCATTTTATTAGCTGTCTATTGTTATTAACGTGTGGAAATAAGAATTTTATTGGCTATATATCTCCACCCCTCCGGACTAAATACCGCAAAGACTCGATAATAAAAATCGGGGACTGAAGGGTGAATACAGTTTTCTGGTTTGTTAAATTGGCGTTGAGCATCAATCGCAGCCGTCAAAAGAGTAAATCTCCACGGTCCTAGCAACGTATGTACAGTACTTCAGTCCAGATTTTGCGGTACCCTACTGCGACACGACACTTGACGTCTCTCTATCCAATCATCGCACTACTACCGATTTCTAAGCGCAATAGGCCGGATAAGCGAGACCTCTATCTATTGGCCATTTGTTCTAGGATAGTTTTTGTTACATAGCCGATCGAATCACTTCTGGTCACTCATATTTCTTTTCGCCGAGTGCTTTCTAATGACTTGGGGCGCCACAAGACACATGCCTCGCTAGCTCAATCGGTAGAGCGTGAGACTCTTATTGTAATCTCAAGGTTGCGGGTTCGACCCCCGCGTGGGGCTTTATCAAAGCCTTCATTTTTGCACTTTTATCGTTTAGAAAGTCGTTTCATCCATTTGATGATGTTCTTTCATTTTACATGACTTTGCGAGGTATGAGCAGAACCAGAGGGAAAAATGGAACGTATTCAAATTGTCGTACATTAAAGCCGGAATGTTTAAAAAAATACCCTTACTTGATGAATAAGAGGGATCCGATATAAAGACTTAAACTACTTGATAATAATTATGAATAAGGCATATGTGTGCCTTATTCTGGACAAGCCCTTACACAAAATAGATCCTTATACCAAAATAATAAACTACCCTCGTCAAAAAAAACGCTTATATACGCCTTTTTTGCACCCTAATCATTACTGGAGTCTTGTTTTTTTTGCCCCCCTAGACGGTAATTTAAATAAGCCTTAACACCCCAAATAAGGCTTTTTTTTCCACAATACATTTGTTAGAGGCTTATTCACAAAAAAGGTATATTCTACACAAAATATTTGTTTTCGCCTTGTCTAAGCCCCTCCTGAACCTCCGGGAGCCCTTTGTTTTAATACCCGTTCCGGCCCTAAAGTAGCTAGATTAGTGTATGCAAAAATTCTTCACATCAAAAAAATGCTCGCACCCATCTAGGAGAAGTTTTTCGCACTGTTGTGTTGTACGACCAGCAAGGGACTCGAACCCTCAACCTCGGTCTTAGGAGGACCACGCGCTACCATTGCGCCAACCAGCCATAGTAGAACTAATGCTGCAAATACATTTAGTAGGTTTTTCACTTGTAAGACAATCGAAGCTCTGGACCGTCGTTCTCCCAGTTGTGCTTGTTTGTATTTTTTCCAGGAGAGAAGAGGCCAATAAGCCTTCTATAGCGAAACCTTGCTAGAGGGATATGCCCAGGACCAGGATTTGGTATAGTTATAGGGAGATTACTTACGTTTATAGAGGGGGTATCAGCGCTGAAAACTAAAGCAAAGGGCTTAAAGCGGTGCTTTTGCAGAGACTACCTTATATCAAAGCCTCGCCGTAGACGGTCTAGTGTAATCCACAAGGCATTAACGCTCAAGGCCTCGCCTCGAGGGAGCTCAAGGCATGGGGGTCGACGAGGCGCATGCTCGAGGCAGACCCTCTTGCCCGCCTCGAGCTGCTCGAGGTTTACTTGTAGGTAACCAGATGACCCAGTATTTTCTGCACTAGAATTGCGCTCGTTGCTTCCGCACGGATTCAGTACTGGAAAAACCGAATACAGCCAGTGAGTTGATTGGAAAACCCGAGCTTGGATTTAAAGACAGAGTGATAATCTGTGATCAAGCCACCACGCTGTCACAGTCTATGGGGTAGACGACTCCGGATAGTTGCCATAACAAGAAGATCCTCTTGTAATTGGCTTTTTACACTCTTCTCAATCAACCACCATCAACTGTCCGGGTGTCCGGGTGATTCTTTGGCGAGATGAAACACCGACAGTAATCCTTATTTCTCAGTGCCCAGATCAAGCTTTGACTATTTTATGATTTATGTAGCAGACCCGTAACGCCAAGACCTTTAGTAAAAACATGGGTTATAAGTCTTGGCGAGTCGGTTGTCCGAATGGTTTAGTCCTTCAAACAAACCACTCGCTCGTTCCAAACCCTAACCCTACCATAAACCTGGAACCGAGCAAATAGTATAGGCGTTTAAAAAACCATTACCCTCGTTCCCCACCGAGCGAGTTCACCACCTACAGAGTTTGAGATCCTCTCCCATACAAAAAAACTGGCCGCTAAAGCTGCAGCGAAGAAATACCTATGTGCTGCGCCCGGCAAGCGGTGAACCCGCCGGCCCGTAGGGAATAAGAGTAGGCCGTAGCAAAACATAAAGCTCTAGGAATATTAATCGTTTTAGGGAAACTTTTCAGTCTTATGAAATACTTAAAACATGCTTATATCACACTTACGGGAGGCTTATCTACTACATGTAGTGAATGAGCTTCAACTTTTGAGGTTTTACCATTTCGGGCAATAGACAACATCCGAGTGATAACCCATGACACATATAGACAACTAGTATACACCAACTCCTATTCCAAAGCCTTCAGTAGTTCTCCGCAACACACCACGCATCTCGCCGCAAATTTCTACGCAGATTCAATGATTTCTCGTTTCCAGTCCAAAGGAAAAAAATCCCGGTAAAGAAAAAACGCCCTCCGGGGTCCGGAACAGAGCCTCATGCCGGAAGTGTTAATGCACTTGCACGTGCAGCATCCAGGGACGTCATGAGTTATTTCCCTGTATAACTCTATATCTATATAAGGGACCCTGCAACAAGTAGATCTGGGAAAATACCCACCAACTTCTCCCCACCATAACCACCACAATAACCCTCACACAATGATTCCCTTCTGTAATCCCTAGTAAACCCCCCCCCCCTTTCCATTCTTCATCCCCCTTAATAAAACCCAAAAGCACTAACCCCTTTCTCTCCTAACATAGCAATCCATCCAGCAACCTCGCCAACCTCCACAGCTTCCCCGTCAAAGAAAAAGAAAAAACATCCCCCAAATCCGTCCAGCGTCCTAAATCCCCCCTCTCTACCCCCGCTACCGCCGGTGCCACCAACTTCTTAGGGGCCCACAACACCAGCTCCGGAAGCGACGACGAAGAGGAAGAACAACAACCAGAACGACAAATCGTCCCAGAGGCAACAATCCAGTTCTACGAAGAGGACATCGCCGAGTACAGACCAGGCGGGTACCACCCCGTGCAGCTGGGCGACATGTTCAACGCAAAATACGAGATTGTGCGGAAGCTGGGGTTTGGCAAGTTTTCGACGATATGGCTCGCGATTGACACTACGTGAGCTTGGTCTACTTTTTTCAGTGATTTTCCGTGGGATGAGGGGTTGCGACGCACTCGAGTCTAACACCGAGGCGGCAGAGTTGAGAGGCCGGTTGCACTGAAGATTCTTAAAGCCGATTCGCAGGGGATAGAGCTGGACGTGCACGAGCAGGAGACTATGAACTACGCAAAGAGCGACGACCCAAACCACGTCATTGGGTATCTAGAGCGCTTTGTCCACAAGGGTCCCAATGGGGACCATGTGTGCCTTGTTTTTGGAAAGTCGGGGAAAGGGGCTGTTGCTGGCGGGGAGCGGAGCCCAGATGCCGGGAGGGGTTGGTAAGGTGTTGTTTGATAACATTGCCGGTTGTGTTAGTATAATTAGTGCTTGCGTGAAATATGGGGGTGTCCTGGATACATTTGTATTTTAGCCTTTTCTCTCTCTTTGTTTTATGTGGCGGGATTAGAAATTCGAAAATCTTTTTTTTTTCTTTCTTTCTCTGGTGTTTCGGGCCGATGGAAATTCTGTGGAAGAAGAGTGAGGTTCTTCAGGTGTACCAGTCGCATGGTATTGATGACAAGACTAGATTATTCGAAATAGCCACCGGGGACTAATGTGTGCGGCCACAAGCTGACCACTATAGTACTACTCCACTTACCGGGGACCGAATAAGGAACCCGTACGAAAAGTATCGTCATACTGCAGGGCTAAGGCTTGAACCCATGGTGAGGGGCTCCCCATTCCCCCCCCCCCCTTTTTATGGCGTCCCCGAGCCCCGAGTGATATATACAAGGTACATATAGTAATATAATCCTTTTCAAATGTAAATACATTTTGTGGTTAGAAATAAGTGCTACCTTTTTTTACATTAACCGTCACAGCATTGCACATACAGAAACCATCCTAAAAATTCAAAAAAAAAGAGGGGGCTTGGTAAGCGGTCTCTTTACCCATTTTTAAAACTTTGCTGAAGTATTCAAGGCCGTGGTCGTTTGGATCACAGACCATCACTCGCATACAAATCGACCTCCAAATCTTCATTTAGTAGCATAAAAGAGTTATTACTGAGAGAGTTACTTGTAACTCTATTCCATCGCATTTAAGTATCTGTTCCCTGACAGTTACCTTGCATGAAATACAATATGAGAAGGCCCTAATGACAACCTCATTGGCCACATACAAGTTTAATCATACACATCATTTAACTCTTGCTCCGGTTGTACTCTCAGTCAGGTCGAGAACACAACACCTCGCTCTTCCCTTTCAATTACTCGCGTGTTGTGAATGTAAAAAACCGCCCCTCCTCGCCACGCCGCCAGGTGGGCCTTATAGCTGTATGTCAGATTAATCATGATTTCAAAATTTATTCACGGAGTAATCTATTATTGGGTGGTCTTATTAGGTCGGTTTGTTCCAAAAATTCTGGCCCCAACCGAGTACGTCGATTCACTGAATTTCTCGTACTTCGTTGCGTTACACCTTCTCTTTGCGGACGTAGTTCCATCAATACTCCACCGCGTTCATGTAGCTCTGGATGCCGATAGTTGACGATTATACCATGATTAGGGTTCTCTGTAGTCTCCGGAGAATTAAAATAGGTTTCTACAGGTCTTGTAGGTATTTCCTGAAGATGGGCAAGTAGAGGATCTAGAGATAAAAAGGGGGATCCAGTTCCAGGCCTTGGTAAGGTCAGCCCAGGCGGTGGGCGCAAAACCGGAGTTATATTAACTGAAGGTTGAAAATTGCTTGGTGAATCATCACCAACCGACTGAGTGTTTTGTATTTCCAATAACCTAGGCGCCGCTCCCGGATATGGTAATATATGTTGTGAAGGTGCTCTGCTCTCATTTAGATGGCTTGATTGTCCATTTTGTATTTCTATTATTTGACCTATATCCTGGGGATATGGTTGTAAGCCCGGTGGAAATGTCCTGTTTTGTATTATTGGCTCACTAAACTGCCACTGTACATCTCCACGGGGCCGTGCTCCTGGTACCCACACTCTAGGATATTCTCCACTTGGAAAAGGTGGTTGAGATGCAGGTAGACTAGGCGCTACTTGACCTATCATGGATGGGGGTTCAGAAGGTAATATCGGCCCCCCAGGTAGACTAGGCGGTATATAAGGCGTTATGTGCCTTTCAGGTATATTAGCTATATGCGGTACAGGAGGTACTATCGGTCTTGCAGATAGACTAGAAGATGTCTTCCTAGAACCGTATTGTTGACTCTGGAACGATTTGCGCGTGTCCTTTTTCTTTTTCTTTGCTATCGGATTTTCAGTTACACTAGGCCGTATAGAAGGTATCGGTACTCCAGGTAGTAGCCTTAATTCAGTTGAGAAGGGCACAAGCGGCCGTGGTGATAGCTCATGCATATCCCCCATTAATCCAGGTGGTGGCCCAGGTGGTGGCCTAGGTTGTGGTTGTGGCGGTGGTAGTGGTGGTAGTGGTAGTCTCCCTATCATTTCAGGTGAGGATGGGACTCCAGACGCTTGTAGATCATATGGATGCCGTACCCCAATTGCAAATGAGGATTGTACATGTGGCATACGTGTTTGTATCCCGTATGGATTCTGTACTCCAAATGAGGATTGGGATATAGGTGTTGGTATTCCATGTGAATGCAGTACTCCAGGTGGTGGGAAGAGTCCATATTGAATGTGCGGAGCCCTGGGTAGTCCCTCTAATGAATAATATCCCATGCCTGACGGTGGTGGTGTGAACTGTGAAAGTTCTCTGGGTCGGGATGCTGATGAGTCAGGCGGTGCTACCAAGAAAGATGATGAAAATGACATCGATGATATTGCCTGGCCAGAATTTTGAGCCGTTCCCTCTGGAGCTATGATATTTTGAGGATAGTCTAGCAGAAGGGACCGCTCAGGTGCAAATTGATGATTTTGCATCGGTGTAATATTGACTCGGCCTGATGATGTCCCGCTTACATTATCCACCAACCAGGTGTTAATAATATCTTCAATCGGAAACTCTACCTCTTTGGGGCTTGTCGTTATAGGTGGGGCAAAATCTAATAACTCTAGATCATCATTCAACCACTCGTCCTCTTCACGCTCGCGACTCGCATTCGAAGCGGATCGGTTGGTGGATGGATTAGTGGATCGCTGTCTTAATGCACGTAGTCGGTCCAAACTTGAACCAATTCCAGTAGTTACACTTCCCCGTTCTGATTTCGACCCATAGCCAGGACGTGGTTCAAGTTCCAAATCTCCTGGTAGAGATTGTGTAGCCCTACCCATTGAGCTGGCTTCTAATTGTTGCTGTTGCAGATTGCCCAGCTGCAGTCGGGACCTTGATGGTAGGGAGGGAGACACCGGGTTATGCTTTGCTCTACATAGACAGTAACTACATATTAGATTAAAGTCTTCCGGGGCATAACCCAGTTAAAGATACTTACAAGTAATTCGAATTTCCCAGCTGTACAATCTGGCCGTTTATTCCATATGTCGGCTGTGAATATGATCTTATCATTTCAGGAGGCTCTGAGCATGAGGAATCGCTCGGTCTGTCCATCTCATGTCTAGATTCTTGGTCTGTTGGAGCAGTGTTTAGGCTAAAAGGCTCTGCCAGATGGGCTGATGGTACTGTTGGCGATTGAATAAACCGTTGAAGGGCGTAGTTTCCAGTAGGCCTGTGATTTGAAATGGAATCAAGATAGGCCAGAGCTCTGTCCAGCGATGTTGCTTTTACGGATTTTGGCACGAGATGGGGATCCGGGACGTATAACAATTCATTTCTTGAACACAAACCCCCAAAGTCGTCAGTGATGGCGTCCTCTCCTGTTCCATCTGTGTCCCCTCTGTGCCTGCCTAAATCTCGATCTAGTGAGACTCTGGCACCTTGGTCTAGTAAGACTCCTTGATCTATTGAGACTTCTTGACCATCGTCCTGTAATTCTTCGCTCTCAATCCCTTCTGCTTCGGTTACCTTTTCACGATAAGGGAAAGGGTTTCGATTCGCCATGTGCTCTTAATTCGAGATTCCTAGAGAAAGGAGAGATTAACAAATAATAGAGAAATTTTTGAATCGTGATTGATATGGATCTTATCCTACCAAGAAATCTTCACAAGGTGAGATATATCGGGCACAAAATTATAAAAATACTTAAGATCCTCAGTGATGGTAAAGAAGAAATTAAGGGGCTTGTTCCAATGAAAGTCGAAGAGCATAACGAAAAGGCCAGACCTTTGTTTGCGCTGGGATATCCTCATATACGTGTTAGATTAGATTAGAGGTAACTGTAATGTATGTAGTACGTACATGCACTGATACTTTATAGGAAGCCACAGATACATCGAACGCACTGCTAATTGAGTACAATGGTGGCTCCTATTTCTTCCAGAACGGGCCTTTGTGTGATAAGAGGCTAGTATATGTACTTTTCGCATGGTGGCACTATACGCTAGCATGGGTCTGCTCACTCTTACGCTTAATGGAGTTTAGATAGATCGATGATCCATGAAACCTTCTAGTGTACTAATTTTTTTCAACAAATCATGCACAGAATTGATTATCCTCACGGTTCTGTGGCGTAGTGGAGGCGCGTCTGCTTTACAAAAAATCGCAGAAGGTCGCAGGTTCGAACCCTGCCAGAATCATATTCATGGTGCCGTACCATTATTTTTTCCTTGATCGATTGTCTGTGGATGATTCATGATGGAATTGGGATATCAATATATTATGGGCGGAACCGATTTTCTTATAAGTCTCAGATAAAACTACTATCAAATCCTTAGAAAAGGTACATTAGCGTTTTCAGCACTTGTATGTACACAAATCCCCTTTCGACGATTTTTTCAGTCTCATTTCGTGGGCAAAGAAGATTGTGGTAATGGTACTATAATTTAGCTAAAGAATCAAGTACATCGTACGTACTTGTAGTGAGGGTTATTTTTGTACCCGTTTCAGCACGTACGCAGGTGCTGGTCTCATTCAATACAGACTAGCCTAATTAAAGACTACGGCTTCAATCGCTTCGCAAAGACCGGACCGAGTGATCGCACATGACCCCATCCTTAGAGGGTTGTATTTTCGATCCGAAAATCAGGGATATGAATTCTTGCCTATCTAAAATGAAGAAGACGAAGACTGTTTTCTTCATGTGAGATAACTCGGCAGTGGAAGGAGAAAGGGGAGGATCCTACATTTTCCAAAAGTTCATGCATGAGGCGTGATCGTGAGGAATCGAACCTTGAACTATAACCTCTAAGCCACTCAAAGCTACGCTAGTAATACGTTTTTCTTCTTCTTTTGATTAAACATTATCAGTCCAGATTTGTTGTAATCAAATTTTGTCATCATCGAAGTTGTCATGGTAATTTATCGAATTTCAACATGACATCTCCAGTCTAAAGGGTTGATGCTGAGGGAAACGAATGTTTCTATTTTCAAAGGAGAGGATGATATATTTTTCCACATCCAAACATCCACGCTGAATGCACAAAAGGTCATATAAAACGGTCACAGGCAAAGGAATACAAAAACAGCCTTTCGAGGGCAGAAACCTATTTGACATACCTTTTAAGAATCGATAGGCACTGAGTATCGTATCTAGTTACGGGTTACCTTATATCTCCTGATACAAGTATTGATGATGTGAGCCATACGATAAGAAGCATCGTTGAATCGAAGCATGAGGATACTATACATGTACTAAGCAAGTGGCTACAAAAACTCGCAATACCGGGAGACTGGCTCTTACAGGATGTTGAAGACAATTCTTCGATTCGTCCGCCTCCTCTCGTGGTAAATATCTTTATTTCACGAAGTAATCGATACTTGTAAGCTTGTCAGAAGCTTGTCGTGGTGGAATGGAAGACTACAAGTACTAAACTACATGTAAGAAGCGTAGTGTCTACTTCGACTCCGTATGATTGAGGGTCTTGAACACGGAATATATAGCAATTCAATCTCACTCAGATCAGTAGCATTCCTTCCGGGTCTTCCCTTCCTTCCTTCCTTACCCGATACGTAAAATATTTATTTGCTGCTCCGGATTCCGATTGACTACAGTACGAAAAACGGGGTGAAATCAGTAGTGAATAATACGGAATTAAACCGGCATTACAAAAGGAATACCGTAGTAATGCCGTATTCTTGCTGCATTACTAGCGCATTAACGGGAATAACGTAGTGAATCCATACCTTTTTTAGTATTATATCTAGCTACACTTGCCAAAGCCAAAAAAAAGCATACTTGCCACAGAGCGATGTTCTCTTCGTCCTACATAGGGGAGCTGTGAAAGTTATGTAAAGAAGGGTTCTTCTGCACCTAAGCTTGATTGAGCTAGATCTGATCACACCAGGGGTCGAACCTGGAATCTCTTGATTCGTAGTCAAGCGCCTTGCCATTGGGCCATGTAACCATGAATTTTTTTTTTTTTTTTTTTTTTTTTTTTGTTTCATAGTTTCTGTTGTTTCTGGGTACATGAATATCGCATGGAGCCTAAGCTATGGCGTGAACAAAACCCCTCCTATCCCCCACCCGGTCCCTTGTTATAGTAACTATGGTCTGATACCAACCGCATATTTTCTTACAAAGCAGACGACAAGAAACTTCCCCTGACCTCCACAAAACGAAAAACACAACAAAGGAAAGATAAAAGAGTAACCAAATGGCTAATATAGCTGTACCACCTGATGGGTCCACGATCAAATGCAGTGTAATATCGAAGGGGAACTCCTCCCCGTGGGGCTGAGCCGGTGTCAAGAATTTAGCCGCTACCCGGCCGGTAGAAAGAGATTAACCGAATTTAGCCGAGGTTTGGTTCAGTTGTTGAGAGAGGAGAGCTGCCATGTTTACTGTTTTCCACAGTCTCGTAGGCTGCACTATCTTCGCGTTTCTGGTGAGGATGCGTTACTCGGGGAGAGAAAAGAGGTGGAGTTCTTCGGTGAGGAGGAGGCTCCAGTTTCATGGATCGACTAGTTAGTACACTGGGTTACGAGGAGTTGGATTAGTCAGAAGGGTTCTATTGAGTTCTATCGGGTTCTGTTGGTCGTAAGCGCATGAGTCATTTGGGATTTGTCATCGCTAGGATTTCCTTGGGTATATTAGGGGGGTTTTGTCTTCGTTTCTGTTCTCTTTCTCTTCTTTCTTTTGATACGCAACGCCTTCTGTACCTACGCTGTCTATTACAATACAATATTATTTTCCTCTACTTTACTCAAGAAGACCACCGCTTCGCTGCCCCTTTGTCCCGTTGACCCTTACCAATGCTAGAGTCCCTCAGGACCCCTATTGCGAGTTCCCACACCGACCTCTACTACCCCCTTCGTACCCTGCGGAATACTCGCTACTCGCCCCCTTGAGATCCGGACAGAGAAGAAGAGTTCAACCCGAGGAGGAGACGGCCAAGAAGGTACATTATACTTGAGAAGGAGGTTATCCCCAGAGGGAAGAAGGAGGGAGAGGAAGGACTGGCGTTGGCAATGAAGCCTAAGCAAAGTCTTTAGAGGAGGTGTGACCCCGCTCTTCGTCAAGTCTTGGCGGAGTTGAGGAAGGGTGTTGAAGGAACAAGAAGGGATGTAACCATGTTCTTTTCCATGTTAACATTTTATATTCAACCATTTCTAGGCCCGTTACGGTGAAACATTCCCATTGCCGATACAAAATCTCATAGGCCTCGTACCCTCTCCTTTAACTAGAATTCTATATAGATTCGAGGCCAAAAAGGAGTGAGAGAAACCTCTGACCCATAATAGTAGGAGCGCTTACTACTTTACTGTTGAAACGGGTAAAAAAAAATTAATACTTGCTAAGGGTTATCATATCATCTAAAAAGACATACTGTATTGTAGCGTTTTTTTTGAGGGAAAAACCGGTGGCATTAGCCTTGTCTCCATATAAAGCCCAAAACTAATACTTGTAGCTACGTATCATGTACTGAAATAACATCATCAGCAAACTCTAGGTTCTGGTCAGACGCTACAGACGCTCCGGGGCTGTGGGCGCTCAGTAGGAAAACTCCAACTCCGGAGATGCTACTGGCATCTCAGGGCGCATCGGGCGCAGCTCCTAGCGCCCCAGCCCTCGGGGCGACGCAAACCATCTCCCGGCACCTGATGCTCTCTAGCGATTGTGATAAGCCCCCAATATCCCTGGCGCCTCCACCACTCTTCTGAAGGCCTCTGACCCAGTGTAGTGCTATTCCTGACAGCGCACATCAGATGTATGTGTGTCCTTCAACGCCAGACACTGGCTTTACACTTAGCTACGCGCCTGATGCTCTCTGGACATTCGGCACCATTGCTAGGGCTCTCTTAGTATCATCCTGCATCGTCTGGCGCATTCAATAAACAATTAAAAAAATTACATAGTTGATGAAATTTGTAGTAGTGTGTCATGATGTGTCACTCGGTTAGGAAATTTTTCGTCGGTGTCTTGGCGCCAGAACCCCAATTCCTTGATGTTTTTCGCCTACGTCAAATATTCCTCTGAAAGTCAACCTTCCTATGTCATTTTCTACAAACAAGGGGCGTGGCTTTTTTTTTTACAGGTGTAGTAAAGGGACAGCTAAACTTGACCTAAATGAGCTTGGCTGGGAAATCGAATTCTTTTGTGGGCTAGAGTACCGGACTGTCTCTGACATGAAGCATCCTATTCTTTACATGTAGTCAATAATTTTTTATTGAACTGTAGGGCTAGATCTACACATGTCTTTGTTAAGAACTTTCTAGCTATAGGAAAATAGCTCCTAGCCGATAAGACATTTCCCAGTCGTCCAAATCTACACTTCTCAAAAAAAGAAATAAGAGAACCGCCCTACACAATTTCTCCTATCCTCCGATTCCTATCAACCCCGCCCCATAAACCTAAATATACCTTTCAAAAGCAGAATTTTCATCCTCGATCCCCTTGCCCTCTTCTTCTTTGCAATTTCCAGCTCCCCCACAAGCTCCCCCTGTAGCTGGCTTTGGTATACCAATGTCTTTTCACCGAGTCCCGAGCTCACCAAGCGACAACCCTTGCAAATTTAATCACTTCAGTTTTAGCGTAGTCTCAGAATTAAAATTGAGACTCTCCTCAATATCATATGACGCTCGCGTTTGACGACGGCAGGAACCAGCGCGTTGTCATGTTCCAGTCGACCTCTAGCAATCTTGGTTCTCGAGGCGGTTCGCATGATAAGTTATCATTGGTACGGATCATTACATGCACCCAGCACCATGTAACAAGGTGAGACTTCATGTCGCTGTGGTTTTAAGAACCTCAACCGTCTATCTAGAACCGAACAGATACAATACCTCTCTATCACTTCAACACTAAAAATCATCCGGAGTCACCTCCGAGTGACAACCCATGATTATTAAACCGGCGCTTATCCATAATCCCTGCATGTTCTCACCCAACTAGCCACAAGCGCCACCACTGACGATCCCCGATGCATCACATCGTGACGACGACGACGACCGATTAGTCTATGTATTCGAAGACAGTCCGGTTGAGTTGTCGATCGTTGTGACAGTTGTCACTCGTTTCGGTTACAAACGCTCTCGAACCAGTCGCTGGCTGAGGAGTATTTTTTGTGGATCGAAACATTCGTGCGGGGTAGGTTTAACTTGGAACTCATGTGGTAGGCCGGTATCTCACATATCAAAGTATATTGTCGTCTCGTGATCATAGCTTATGATGAGCTAAGAGTCAGCAATAAACTTTATTTGTTGAAGTAATGGGCACGAGACTAGTAAGACAGTTTTGCCGTCAGTGACTTCTAGATTGAGGAACTCGGATATCTGACTAGACTCACCATCGAGTTTGACCCTCCTTTAGAAGTGGATGGTAAATATCAAAGGCAGTAGTAGTGTGAGAGTGGAAGTGTAAGTGTGTAAGTGGAAACGAGATTTATTCCTATAATTTTTTTTGTTCTCCAAACACCCATCATCCCAAAGAGAATCCATGAAATAGCCAAAATTAAGGAAAGAAATGATCCAATGTAGAAACAAACTCCAGAGAAATGTCACACAAAAAATGGGTACAAGAATTAAATCGCGTCCGACTAGGAAAAAAGACAATCAATGCAGTAAAACAATCAGCCACCTTCGTAAGACTAAACAGAGAATGAAAAAGAGTATCTAAAATGCTCAAGCAAACAGGTGCAAAAGATCATCGAATGATCACAGTTTCACCTCTTCGGAGCTTGGTAGTCCTGACAGTCTCCCTCTCGTCCCTGTGCCTGATTTCCTTCTCATCTCTCTTTACTCTCTCCCTCCACTCCTTATCCTCAAACTTCTTCCTCTTCTCATCTGCCTTTACCCTCGCCCTGTAAGCATCATGTTCATCTTTTGAGTTTCCAGTAGATTTCGCGACAATAGCTAGTTTGTGTGCTTTCTCCTCGGCCCGAATTGCCTTTTCCTCCGCTCTGCTTAAGCTATCTTGTGGTAATGGAAAAGAAGGTGTTGTGTATGTTGTCTTGATCTTCGTCGCTCCATGAGATTTACCGATGATTGGGATCAAAATAGGTTCTTCAGTTGTGGTGGTAGTAGTTGTGGTGGTGACCTGAGAAAATGAGGAATTTTGACCCTGGTTGTTGAGATGTGCAATGTTTTCAGATGTTAATGGGGTGGATGGGCGTTCTCCGGCGTAGTGGTGGACGACTCGCTGCTCAGTAATGACCGGAGGGGGAGTAGGAGCGTATGGGATAGGGTCATGAATTATTGCCTTATCGATGAATGATACTGATTTTCCGGATCCACTACGACGACCTATGGGTAGGAAGTTAGCCTTTACTCAATTGTGAGAGGGGGGGCTCTCAACGTAGGAAAGAGAGAAATACAGTGGACTCACGTCGGATCTCCTCGGTTAGATCCACCAATCGTTCAATTTCAGTTCTATCAAGTGCTCTCAGGACGACAAGAGCTCCATCGGATTCCTCGGTCCACGGAAGGCCCATTTCCTCGACTGCCTCCTTGCTAACTAGCTTGCGTGGGAATCTAGTGCGTCCCCTACGTCCAACTTCGGAGCCAATGGAACCGACCTCAAGGGACTCGTCGTTAAGGTGCTCGATGGCATGGTGGTATTTAGTGTAGCCACTGCGGGACCTAGAGGCCGAACGGTGACGATCAATAGAGGATGCTGGAACAATCAAGGCGTGGCCGGAATGGTCAGAGCGGTATCCTCGATGCTGAGCCAGAGGAGCTGAGAGTGGAGCTGGACCACCGCCCTGGCGAATGATCAGAGGGGCTGGGCGGCCTCTATCATGGTGGCTATCCATGTGATGGTGGCCATCCATATGGCGGCCATCGGAGTGGCGGCCCTCGGAGTGAGTGGAAAGACGCCTAGTGCGGGTGCAGACACGCTCAGTCTGGTGACTCTGGTCCAATTGGGTTCCCGAGCCAGACCATGGGGTGTTGAGAGGAAGAGAGGAATCGCATGATGAGCATGTAGAGTCTGCTGGGGATGGAGGTCTAACGGGAATGAGAATCTGAGTTCGTGGAGGAGAACGACCGAGGTTCAGGCCTCCAGTGGAGTTCCTGTAAGGGTTCTGGGCTGCGTAGTAGCTCATTTTTGGTGTATCTGGGGAATGCCTTGGGTCCTTAATGGTTACTGATTTGTAGAGATGAGCCGGTTATACAACTGAGTATGAGTGATATAGTATGATGGAGTTTGATGATGCTGCTGGATGATGCTGCTGGATGATGCTGCTGGATGATGAGCAGAAAGAAAGCTCGAAGGGGTGGGAGAGGAGAAGTTTTATACACCTTTATCCTCACCACCCTCACCCCCCAAACTCCATTACCTAGCTACGGGAGCTACATCTGGTGTGACAAGCAGGATTTCCCCATGTTAGTGTTTCACTTGACAGACCACTTAGCATCCTGGGCTCTTCCTCGAGTTCTGTCTGGGAAAAAAGAGGGTGTGCAGCCTGTGGCTGGACAGTCTGTCTCAACCGAGTGACGGAACGAGGCTTGCAGGGGCCACTTCCGGCCGCATTACGCCCTCTACGCCATAGGGTCTGGGGTATCATGAAAACAACGATGATGGGAAGAAAAAAATAGCGCAATTTCTCTATTATGCGAGCCATTCAGAAAGCTACATACCCCAGAGTAGCACTACAGAGTACTCTAGCGGTGCTGAACAAGGTGGTCCAGAAATTCAAACCCAGAGTCATCCATTGGTCTGGGAGCCTAGAATAGACCGGCAATCTGGCATGTCTGGCCGTTTTCTCAACGATATCAAGGAAAACCAGAAAATCACTATTTCCCGTAATGCAAAAACGCACGGACTGGTATGTCTCTGTCTACCTGAACCCCCCAGGGTCGACGGTGATGATTGATGAGTTGGCAATCCCAATTCTGCATGTCTGCATGATGTCGCTTGTACGGAGGGCGGCCGAAAAGCGTCAGCAAGAACCAGGCAATGGTGGATGCGCAGGTGGAGTGCGCGGTAGGGGAGGGGGTTGAGTGTGGGAAAGAGGAGTCGATCGCCGTAACCTCGAAATTTTAGTCTTAGATCTTGCAGGTTTGCCTTGGAAGTTCAGTTGAGGCCCTGGCTAGCGCCCGTGCGCCGAGAATGAAAGATAACGCCAAGATCAACATCTCATGACGTCACTTTCATCATTATCTCATTTCTAGTGTGACAAGCTTTATCCTAACCTTAGCTACGCGTCACCCCTGTCTATCCGCTTGTGCGCGAAGTTCGGCAGCGGACCTCAAGGGTCTCCAGGGTCGCCAGGGTCTCTGTGAAGTTAACAACCACAAGAAAGGGGAAAAAAAAGTAAACACAAACGCACATAAAATTTTAAAACCCCGTTTCATCACGAAACGGCGGCTCTTCTCGCGGCTCAACCAACATGTGTGATTCCAAATAAATTCCCGGAGCTCTAAACATCACGTGAGTATAAAAGGCTGACTGCAGAGAAGATCCAATGCCAGCTCAGCCGTTTTGGCGTACAGAAAGCCTACTTTCATCCACCTCTTCCTTTAGGGACCTTCTCCGATGGAAACACAGCCTTCACAATGAGATCATGGCTAGTTGGGTCCGTTCCAAATAGCAGAAACACATGTATCGTGAGGTTTGAAATCCTTCAATTTGACAGGTGAAATATACGGATTGGGCTAGGTACTATCACGAATTTGACTGACTTAGACACAATATACTCTGCCCCGATGCTGCACTCACGACAAGACATGGCAGCCATGCACTCAACCAAGGTTGAACTAAGGTTTTCGTTTCGGTCTGGATGACCGAATCTCAGCCCACACTACAGGGACGCGAGCAGGGATCCCATGCCCGGAATGGAATGGCCCGCATTTATCTCCCGCAACAATATCAATCTTGCTCACAGGTATTCCCCTGTCTGTAGTGATCCGCTCGTCCCTCCTATTGGTATCACTCGGTTTTGAAATTTTTTTCACTCCCCGTACCTTGGTTATCTTTCCTCCTCCTCTCTGGGCCGCACATGAGATGACTGACAGAAGCAAGGTCGATACGCACAGGATCTAGGCAAGACATTGAGGGTTGGTTAGTACTAATTACCGCGGGTTTGACCAGATCTGGCTATGGAATTTTTGAACACTACCTACTCATGTACCTGCGCTGCAGTGTAGTTCTCTTGACGCAGCCCATCTATCAATATGCAACAGGGGCTGATCCCTCCACGTCAATGTTGAACGTCCCTGCTTCCGCGCAGGAACTAGGTATGTACTCTATCAAAGGTAAAGGAATCTCCGGCGCCCGGTATGGCAAGGCACAGCTGGACAGCGCACGATAACCCATGAACACCAACAAAAGATTTTGGAGCGCGAAGCGCGAGGCGGCTCAATTCTGGTACATACGCCCTAACATGCGTTTTGCTCCGGGGTATCGACATATATGTGCATGGACTTACACAGCGGGGAATTTAGAGCTGCTTCCGGGAATAGCAACATGCAGTACTCTACCAGAGACAAGTCAATACTCGCGAGTACAACTACGACATCCTTGTTCCTAATCATCTGTGCCTGGACGTCTTCAGTCGAATCTTGAGCAGGGTTTGTCGTATTAATCGTGTTGCTGGATGAAGGAAATATAATGTAGTTTTCCTTACTCTACGTATTCAGAGCAGGCTATTCTACACTAGCTATGTACCATATTCCTCAATTCGATCTCAGGGATAATAAGGGCTGAAATGCAGAGACCAATTTAGATGACCAAGAGTGCAGTCATTGTGGTACTTCAGCTTTATTCTAGAGTAGAGTGGTGGTAAAGATAGCCAATTCTGGCGTGGGTTTGCACAGTAATTATAAGCCTCGTCGAAATATCTTCAGCTAGGGCACTTTGCATCAATTCATCAACCTGTGAGTACGCACCCAAAGCCTCAAAGACACATCTCACGATCCATCCATCTACTCGTAAATTTTGGCTTTCTCCCCACATCCAAATCTGGAAAGATCTGCGTCACATCGTGTTTCTCGAACGCTCATCCCAAGACTGAAACGATGATCATCTCGCCACCTAGCATATTAAAACGAACAACTCATCACTTTCCCAGACACCCTATTCGAGACTTGAACCCTCCTCCTCTCCATACTCCATCCTCCGGCAGGCGGGGCAGAAAACCAGGAAATCAGACGAACCAACGTCCGGATGAATTCCGACTGACAACACATTTGAGAAACACAAGCAACAACTCAAATTAAATTCCAGATGGCAAGACGCACCCCAGAGGCTGATCATAAAATGCGTGGTTATATGGTATGAAGAGTTTTTTTCTATCCGCAGGGGGTTATTCTCTCTCAGATTTTGGAGGTGACAGGAATGGATATACTGCATTTGTGCAATTGCCTAGGCACTTGATCGATGGATAGCGGGAATAAATCTCTAGACCCTTACTCTAACTGTTCAGCGTTGGTTCCTGTCGTCGACACCGATGCTCAGGGACCAAGTGCTTCGTTATGATGATCATCACGAAACTTTACAAATCTTTTCACATCAAGTACTGGTGACCAATTGGCAAAGCAATTCCTTGCCTCTTACATCAATACCCAAGAAAAAGCGGCCGAACAAGGCAGCAGTTGGGTCAGTGAATGCTGATAAACGTCCGTTTGTTGGTCACCGTTTTGCACTTTGCTCCGGTCGTATGCATCGTGGATCAAGTTTTTGGTGTTGAGCTTTTCATGTCGCAATCCATCCAATGAAATGGAACGTCCTGTGGATAGGGTTCCCTGCGCCGGACGGAGCCTCCCGTCAGCCTGCAGACCATACTAATCAACAAGCGAGGGCTTGAGGCTGTTTCATGATTTCAAGGGTCCATCTACAAGTTTCTTGTTTTTCTTGTTGTCTGGGCTCCCTTGGGTTTCCCCTCTGTCAAATTACTTGATCGACCGGGACCCCAATCGCTACATCCCTAACAAACTCGCATGTATGCACGAAGGACTTGACACTCCACCACTAAGTACTCTTTACTATAGCTGATAAATATAACGAAGAAGATCTTGAATGCATCTCATCACCTTGAGTACCTATGGTCTTGGCAACTTCGCTTTTCTGAGTGTGCAGCAGGTTCCCATACGGAAGAAAAGACTGACAAACAAGGTCCCGAGTATGTGTCACAGAACACAAACAAAGACAGAAAGTACATTATGAATCTTACATCAATATGCTGGATACGTGGCAGCGGTGGCGATTCATTGAATATTCAGCTCGGCCGAGCCTTGTGAGAAGTGGCCGCATAGTAGGTATCAATAGCACATGACTGTATCTTTTTAGGTGGATATGTGCATAACACGGACGCAATAATGCATAGCTAACTGATACGACTTGCATGCCTATAGTTACCCATTGATATGTGGTATTCATTAAATTCAGATCCTTGAGTGTATCAAGTATGGCGATGATTCCAGAAATATAGCCCAATATTTAGATTTTAAGTTAAAGGTTAGTAGAAACTCCGAGAAATTTTTTCTTCACGCGTCATTAACCTTTGGCAGAAAGTATGTAGATCGAACCCGAATTCTTGTGGGGAATTGAATTTCACTTTGTGTGGGCCCCGAGATCTGGGTACAGGTAAAAACACCGGGTCTGATATCTTTTTTGTACTACATAGTCATGATCATAGTTTGTTCTCTATCTCATAATTATCCGGGCCGGAATCTTGTGGTTAAAAACTCTATCGCCAGCAAACAATCCCTTAATTCGATTAAAATCTTATCCGATATAAAGATTATCTGCTTCCAATTAGCAGCCAGATATCAAACAGAGACCTGGATTTTACGGCGAGTAGTCAATTGTTTCTTTCAGAATCATCAACCCTACTCCGCCTGTGAATCCAATCCATTTGATATCTATGCTTACGCAACTAGATAACACCAGGCAACGAAATAAACGGATGTGAGTTATGATCGACTCCCAACCATGCACAGAACAAATGCGGAGTGACGTTACAGAATGACCTGTCAACGAAAGGAATAACCGTTAGCGTCATTCAGTGCGGGGAGTTTTCGCTGTTTACTCTGGAGACACCACCATTACCACCATTACCACCATTACCACCACAAATATGATTGCAGTCGAGCGTCCAGAATTCATTCGGCGAGACTCACACTACATGAAAAATATCTCCATCTTGATAGATTGAATCAGACGTCACGATGTGGACGTAGATTCGAAGGCTGTGTGATAACTCTGGAGATCGTTTTGACGCAACATTTTCTTTAGGTCTGGATCGTTTGGGGAATTGCGGAAAGGGCTGTGTAGCTGGATTAAGCATGTTCCCTCGCCCAGCGTGTCATTGGTACACGGCAGAATCATTCGGACCAATGAGATACCGTCGTCTAGGAAACAGGAATCAGAAGGTCGCTCATAGGTTCCTGGAGTACCAGAAATTACGTGGCGTCCGTTGTGGGATATTGGTTCCCTTTTCTTTATCGTATCTCCAATAGTTATGTCATTCGGTGCATACGAATATACATACAACTCGTTACATACTTCGGGGGTTGGCATGTATCGGTATTTCGTATTCGTACGTATCTTTCTTTTGTGTTCGGCTGGGTTCTTTTAGGTTCCTCTAAACCAATCCTACCATTCTTTCCTTCGGAACCCCCTCCAATGGTTTTGTTCGTTTTGTCTTACCCCGGCTTATTCCTTCGATATGTTGTGGTGTTTGTTTCAAAGCGATCCTCCACAACTGATATCTATTCAAGAACATCTACAGAAACGTTTTGAGGACATTTAGCTGCATACTAATCGCTGCCTAGTGATTTCCAGGGCGGCACGGCCCGCGAATTTGAGTGCTTTTGGCCTCACGGCTCTACTTATTCATCGGAGAGGGGATATTGGAGAATCTGTTTTCGAAGTTGTCCGTCTACATAAAAGCTTCAGGGTCATTCAACACTTCCATTGCAAACAGGTCCAAGAAAGCAACACATGATCAGGGATGAAAATACTTCTACATGACATAAGAAACTCATTACACAATTTAGTGTAATATTAATTTCGAGTAGTTAGAATTCCAATATAAGTTTCGTCATGTGTAAGTCAGCGACTGACCCTATAGCACCAATATATATAAGCCTATTGTTTGACTCCCTTCCGAACAGAATTCCGACTGGTTGTTCCCTATTCGGGTTCCTCGGCATGTCGGCTTATCGGCATTCTGATCACTAAGCTTGCTTGGAGTCCAGAAATCCAAACGATCGGTCATTAGACAACCCATAGTAAATCACCCCAGTAAGACCTCGAATTGGGTCTTTACCATGATCCCCGTTGATTGTTCTCGGGCACCTTCCAGAATATAGTTAGGTCCATGCGATAGGTTTGTTGTGGTAGATCAAAGTAACGATCGATGTTTAGTCATGAACGATAAGTTTGTGTTGGGTATAATCTTGCAGCAGATCTTCGGGATTGGTGTTGCGGAACTTTTGATGTGAATCACAGCCTATCACTCGTTATCGGATGCGGATCGTGAAGTTAAACTTGATACCAAGATATTTTTCTACGCAGATACTTTAATAGAGTCCTATGTGTAAATTTGATATATGTCATGTTCTCATACCTGTTTAAGTAGCTTTCTTATCCAAATGGAAGACATGTTAATCACACGGTATCACTCGGTTATAACCCTAACCCTTCTAAGTTATTTTGGATACAGCTCCGCCTCGAAAACTCACGATATACATAGCAGTTTTGATACCAGGCTTGGAGTGGATGCCGGGGAGTTACGTTTCTTATGTTTCCATCTTAAAAAGTGACAGCGATTAGGTACTTGAAGACAGTATGTGAGTTGAAATTTGAGGTTTGGTGACTTTCTATAAAATATTATATTGATTCCTGAGGTTAGTAGTTACGATCATCTCTTCGCCAATGCTAACCTACATGTACCTCTGGTACCAGTGGAGATATATGGTTTCCATGCCAGGCGTTGAAAAATCTTCCTTTCACCCCAGACCAGAATCTCTTTTTTTTGTTATGAGCACGGGATTTGGTAGCTCGGGGTAGGTATTCTGCCAAAAACTTGGCTCCGTCCGAGCACTAGTACATTTATTGTGTGCAGGGTTTTGATCCTGAATTTCTCTGTATTTGAGTTCGGAGGCCTTGAAACTTTTCTAATTCAGAGCCCTGTCTGCCCGCGCCCTGACCAGCTCTGAGTTCTACCTCAGAGACGTCTTCCCGTACATGTCGAAAATGTTTCAATGGAGCTATTACTACACACCGCTCCTCGAAAAACAAGTCCTACTTTAAATCCCCCAAACCACTTGAATTACTCTACATACTAATATTAATATACACAGACATAGGCTACTTACAACTGAAGCCCGGTGGAATGGTATGCTATTGTTGAAGATGGGCAGACAGATTTTTGACCTAGGATGAGGTGCTCCTCGGCGAAGGGCTGTTATTACCCTAGACTTTACCTACCTTACATAGTCTACGGAAATCGCAATTACTATAAAACAACACTAAACTATACTGGTAGCTTATGAGCACCCTGGGGAGCTCCAAATGGGCTGGCTCATTGCGCTCTGAGAGCTACGCTATTGTTATGACGTAGGGTTGGGCATTATCCATCTACAGCTGCAAGCATCCTTTGATCGATCAGGAGGGTCATGTCTTTACGAAAAATATTCACGGATGAAATATGTGCCTTTCCGGTGGAGAATGCACAAACATAGCTGGAGGTATGTTGGATCCAATACCAATACCCAAGTCCGTGGCATTCATAGTCATATCCTTCTCAATTGCCGACTCCAATAAACCCGTGGATAACCTCCCATCCTGCTTCTTCCCTCTCCCAGGACTCCAATCCCTTGCATATCACAACACTAATCTGACCCAACTCGATGATCACCGGAAAAAAGCCAGAGGATGAGGAAGCAATCTTTGAAATTCTGCGTCATTAAAAACCGCACCTCGCAAAAGCAAGAACAAAAACAGCAAGAAACACCCTGATCCCTAACAGATTTGAATTTATTTTTATTTGGCAAAAAGAGGAAAAAAAGGAAACCAGCCCCCCGACCGTTTAGACCTCGGCGATCTCACGGAGACGACGGATTGTTGAGCGGGTGGCAGCGGCAGCGGGGGTACTATCAGACACACACAGATTGTCAGCTAACCGCGGGGGAGCCGGAGTAGAGAAGGTAGAGGAAAACACATACGAGACAACCCAGGCGCCCCCGGCAACAGTCTTCTTGCAAGACTTGCACTCCCAGATACCGACGGATGTGCGCTTGACGGTGGTCTTTCCGCAGAAAGTGCAGGTGTAGCGGGCGTGCTGGGTGATTTCCATCTTCTTGACCTGCTTCCTCAGAGAGGCACCATATCTGTTTTTCCGTTGTTAGCTTCGGCTTCTTCTGCACCGGCTTCGTGGCTCGAGGTCGCAATTCCGTGCTCTCTGGCTCTCTCGCTGCACGTGGCTCGATCCGAAGGGTATAGCGCGGGATGGTGGAGGGATAGTGGGGGGTTATCTGTACCTGACACCGTATTTACCGGTAACTATTCACGCCATAAGATTAGCTTTCAGTTCCCCAAGACCAAAACTTTCAATATTTCCCCCTCCTCCAATTCCTCCACCACTTCCCGGGGAAAAAATCTCGAGAATTCGATGTTTACGTACCTCCGACCTTCTTAGTGCGCTTGGTCATTTTGAGTGATGATTATTTTTTTTCCTTGGGATAATCTTTGGAGTTTGGCGTTGCGGTCGGTCCGGGTGTATGTGGGTTGGGAATTGTTCGTGGGTGCAATCCTCCTCTGGCGCCGTTGTGTGTGTGGGGTATGGGTTGCGTAGTAGGGTTTCCTGCCCTATGGCAGTCCAGCCGTAGGTATGATGACATAATCGGGGAGAGAGGATGCGCTGCAGAGCCTCAAGTTTGGTTACCCGGTGATACGAACAATAGCTTTGTTGTGTTAGACTGTTGCGATGACAAGACCACCTACCGAACAGGGGCGGCGCGTTCACGACGTCAATACTTTGCTGTGCTTTCCGAGCTAAAGATCTATCTTCAAAAAAACACCATATCCCATAAAACATACTACTACCACAATGGCAAACGGGTACCTTCCCCCCCAACCCTCTTTCTACGCACACCGAACCCCCGACTGACACCTAGAATAGCTACAGTCTTCTCGTCGGCTTCATCGTCGTCGCCGTGATCTCCGGCGCGGCCTGGTTCTTCTCACCAAAGGGCGAAAACCAAACGTCCGTCTCCACCATCCTCCTCCTCCCTCCTCCTCCGGAAGCTAATCTGTTCACTAGTGTCTGGCGGAGCTCCTTGATCTTGACCTTTGTCGCCTGCTACCTCATGTGGTGTATGTAGCCCTTACCCGTAGAGTTGTAGCTCTTGAGATCACTGACTAACTGTCGTTCCTGGGATATAGCTATAACGTTGCTTGCGCAGCTCTACCCCCTTATTGCACCCCGAAGGTCGGATCTGAGACTGGAGGAGGACTCGAACGCTATTCGGTTCGCCTTGTAGGGCGCTCGCCGGCGGGTTATGGCTTGATGGACTGGGTGTAAACACGGTGGGACTGTACAATATATCACTTTGTGTTATTGCGGGTTTGGATTTCGGGTTTCTTTCTGTGCTTCTGTTTTTCGCGTTATAATGGCAATGCAGCAATTGATATTTTTTGGCTTTAAAGTTGTGTTTTGTGGAGGTAGAAGTTGGGGAGTGGGACGGATGTGGTTCTATTAGACAGCCTTTTGAGTTTTGAATACTCGGGGTATTAGTGTGGATACTTGCCGAGAGTCCGCAATAGATAATCAAGGCATCATAGTCCTGGAGAACTACTATTGCGCACAACACCCCACGAATTACAATACTTTAGCAAAAACATAACGCTTTCAAGCCATTTCTCTACCACCTCTTTTATAATAATCGAAATAAACGTAATCCATATCATTCCCAATGAAGCTCTTTAGAAATAGATGGCTTCCTTCAACTCGTAATTCTAGTCTGAGCCGTCAGTGAGACTACATTATTATAAACATCGGCCCGTTCCAATGAAACTGGGCTCCCGGCCGCTCCACCCGTGGATTTCTCATTACCCCGTCCCTTAAAAGCCTGTGAAGTTCTGCGTCCAAAACCGATACTTTATAACCACTACGTCCTCAAAACACTACTTGTATCGTGAAGCTCCTCGTTAGATCAGTCTTTGGAATATAAGCGGTTATTACAGCCTTATCTACTTAAAGCCTTATAATATGCTTTTATATGACTTACCGGAGGATTATATACTTACTAAGGTGTAGGGGGGGGTAACGTTAAGAACCGATTTTCTAGGCAAGGCATACTAAAACGTGCCACGGCTCGACCCAAAGTGCTGAGACTCGGAAACCAACGTCCCAGCTCAATTCCTCACTAAAATGATCAGGCACCGCTTACTAGTACGGTTCCACCGAGTACTTCGTTGAAACGTACACCCAACCCTCTCGACAAGGATATTTACTAGCCTGCCTGTCCTCCCGTGCGCGACTTGAGCGTCCCACCACGACGATTAACACGAAAGGGGATGTGGTTTAGTGGTATAATACCTCTTTAGCAAGTGGGCGTCCTTTCAGGGTGTTCAATAATCTAGAGGTGGTCCGGGGTTCGATTCCCCGCGTCTCCATTCTTTTCGTGCTGGTGGAGTTGTTGGAAGTTTTTTTTTTCTCTATGCCAAGGCTTCGGCGGGCTGGCGGGGCAGTTTGAAATTTCAACCACCAAAGCGAGGTGTTTATACGCCCTTTGGAACTTCCTATAGTGCAAATGCGAGGCTTCTCTGATCTCAAGTGTAAAACACCCTCATTCGAAAAACTTAATCCCCAACCAAACCCAACTCGTCTTAGCGCCACAACCCCTAGAAATGATTACTCAACCGAGTGACACACCATGACACTACTACTTGAAAAGTTTTATTTTCTAGCGTCAAAGCCAAGAAGGGGATGTGGTTTAGTGGTATAATACCTCTTTAGCAGTTGAGCGTCCTTCAGGATGTTCAATAATCTAGAGGTGGTCCGGGGTTCGATTCCCCGCGTCTCCAGCTTTTTTTCTTCTCGGGGTAGTAGGCCCGGCGGGTAGCAACTGGCTTTCTATGATGTGCCACAGTACTTTTACGAGGATACAGTACTGCTCTTTGATTTTGTAGTCAAGTTCCCTATTACAGCCGTGAGGGTGTCTGGAGCGGTGTGGGTGATTTCTAGGTAACTTAGGAATCGCATTTATTTTCGCGCATAAATTGACAGAAGCAGCATAGCAGTTTTGCAACGAGTTTTCTGATCTCGGGTGCGATATCTCGCTGGTGGTGGTCAGCGTCCCCGCCAACGCCAACACCCGTAAAAAAAATCATTGGCTCACCCACCCCACCTTCCACACCGCCCTCCACCCCACCCCACACGCGCACGCGCAGCCTAGTCTAAGCTCCGCTAACACCGCCCTCCACCACCACTCATCCTAAAGCCACATCACACACGCGCATAGCTATGAAACAGTGTATGGATGGAATACATATATGTAGGTAGTGCTCAAAGCAAAATCCGCCGCCCCGTTTCAATTCCAGCCTTACCTTACGTTCTGTTACATTATGTCACGCTCTCATCATTTTGTATATCTGGCTCGTATGAACGGACCGGGTAAATGTAGATTAGCCACAGCCGAAACTTACCGGTGGGATCGAGTGAGAGGCCATGATGGGATGAGATGGGTTGGATTGGATAGGCACAGATGGTTGGCTTGGATTGGATTGGACTGGCACTATCGTCCGGTGTAAAAAAAAAAAAAAAAATGACATAGGTTCACTCTGTATCCAAGAGGCTCGCCGGAACCACGTCATCAGAATATGACTGAACTGTGGTGCTGTGTGAGTCTTGAGAAATCACTCGTGGTTGTTACGTTACATACATGCAGTTGTGAGGAAAATACTGGTACCCGAGCAAATCAAGTGCTTGTCAAATTTGGGAGGAAAGCTAATTCACATGTCGATAGATTCTTGCAACAGCAACTCGACATGATTTGAAGTGGAAACAATAGAAACAGAGATAGAAATAGATGGGAAAGGGAAAAATGAGATTCGTTATATGTAGCAAGCCAATTGTGTCCCCTGTCATGATAATGTCGCCCCGTAACCTTCATTACCCCTCTATTTTAATACCGGTAAGTTGATCCAGGCAGATTCAAAGGAATTTCAGGATAAACCATATTATGGAAAAAAGGAAAAAACAAAGAATACCGTAACTCCCACATTTTCTGTTTGCGTAAATCCAGCCACTGACTCCTACACGTCAAAACTCCTTTGTTTCTCCACCCCATATGTCCAAATCACTGAAACAACAAACTGGCGGCCATGTCGACATCACCCCCGGTAGCGTTCAGTGCAGCCACTGCCTGTTGCTTGGAGAATCCTAAATTCTCCAATTGCTCTACCGCCTCGGCTGTATAGCATGGCGGTGCAGCTGGTTGCTGCGGTAGCTGTTGCGGTTGTATCGGCTGTTGCGCCGATGATTGGGCACTTCCACTGCCACTTCCACTCGTACCCCCGTATCTTGCTGGCGTTGACTGGATCGATGGTTCAATTAAAGCTCCAGTCCGCCCACCAACCTTCGCGCCACCGGGTCCCTCGACGGTTGGCTCGTTCTCTGCTTCCATCTCGTGGATGTTCTTTGGGATCTCGCTCTCTCCAAGAAACTCAACTTGCTCATCTTGGATCACCAAGCATCCCTTCCTGAAGTCTAGCATTGCTTGATGTCTCTTTAACATGTCCAATCCAAGCAAAAGGTCCACATCCTTGCCTTCCATGACTGTAAATGAACACGCAAGAAAAAGATTTCCAATCCTGATTTGCGCGGAATGAACTCGTCCAAGAATTTTGGCTGTTCCGACACCGCGCGCAATACCGGCGAAGCGTTGATCAACAAGACGCATGATTCCACACCTTTCAGCACATGAGGGCGACATAATGGTTGCTTGTGCACCAGAGTCTACAAAAGCCTTGACTTTCATTCCATTAACCTCAACGGGGATGTACAACATGGTTACACGACCGAAAGCTAAGCATCAGTCAGCATTCCGATCCCAAAAATAAGACCTTACAGGTAAAGGACCTTCTGGATTGTGCTCTAGGGCGCTCTGTAAATTCTCCATAACGGCCTCCTGCCTGATAAGTTCCTCAATCTTTCTTTGAGCCTCAATGTTGAATGGTTCCTCGTTCAACATTTGCTACCGGGTTAGATTAGTTAATGAATTTGTGAATATTAAATTTAATAAAACTTACGATCTCTCTTTGTTTCTGTCTTTCCATCTCGGCTCTTTGTTGTTCCAGGTTCCGAAATGTTTGGGCGAACCTCTCAGGATCGTTCACCGCCGCCACTAGCTCTGGCTGCGATTCCCGAAGCTGACCCAACAACCGGGGGTCTCCTAGAACCTGTAGACGAATAAGCTCTGGGTCATGCCCACCGCCCTGCTGCTGATGTTGTGGTTGCTGCTGCTGTGGTCTCCGAGGCACACCCCCGGCTTGCTGCTGTTGCTGCTGGCCGCCGGGAGCTCGAGAGTGTAGGACAATTAAGTCATCATTCACAACGCCGTACTGCTGTAGTGTTCTCGTTTGGTCGCCCAGCAATCGCCCATTGTGGTACAGATGCTGGGCGTTTGGTGGGACAGTGGGGAGCTCGGAGGCGATAAGAGCCTTAAAGTCCTGGACTGGGATGCTCTCGGGTACATCGAGCGTTACGATTTCATTCGTACTGATGAAGGAGATAGTAATGCGCCTGTAGGGTCACGGTTTGTCAGTCGTTCGAAAGTGAATAGCTTGAAAGGAGTTAAATCATCAAAAATAAGTGGGGTAGTTTTTCTTTTGGTTTTTGGCGGGTAGTGGAAGGGGTGGCGGGGGGAGACAATTATTACATTTCCGATAAGATTGTGGGGAAGTTAGGTCAGAGCTATTTCGGGAGAGAGATTGAGTTGGTGAGAATGAGGATTGATGGTTGATGATGGGAATGGATAAGCGCGGGGTAGTTAGGCGGGGAGGATGGGGTGTGAAGGATGTGAAAAAGAAGAGGATGGATGAGAGAGAGAGAGTGAGAGAGAGAGAAGGCGAGGGATAGAAAGAGACAGACAGACAGAGAGAGTCAAGTCAGGATGTGAGAGAAGATACCTACGTGTAAGAGGGGCGTTTCGAGCGTTACTCTTGTGGCGGACGGCGTAGGAAAAAGACTAATGTGATACGCCGCCGCAGAGTAAGCGACAACCTGGACAAGCCACAAGCAGCAGCAGCAGAAGCAGTAGTGCCAAACCAAATAATATTGGCCCTACCTTCCCCAATCCGATCTCTGACCGCAACTGACAGCTGCACCAGGCAGAAGGCAGGCAGATCTCCCCCCGCTTCATTATCGGTTGCAGCGCTCCTCCTCCACCTAACTCTCCCCGTTGAGGGGACAGACATGATGCACTGCAGCAGACAGAAAGCGTTTTGCTCTCTGAGATAGCTCCGTTTGGGGAGGCCTCTGCCTACAATTCATGCATGTCGTGAGTTTGGTAAAAATATCTGCAGGCAGATAGCATGCAAAAGAATCCGGGAATTGACTCATGACCTTGACCAGTGATAATTAACGGATTGATGGATCTGCATCTATTTGCATCCGTCTGCAGCTGTCGGAGGTGGAGGACGACGATAGGATGGTGAGTGTGTGGATAAGGAGCTCTCACCGCCGGCGCCGACTGAGGCTCTGCACCTTGTTGGGTCATCAATATCATCCATTTGCAACTTTACTTATCTTCTCGTCCAGCATGGGTGTGGTGTTATCCAATCCACAAAAGCATCGTCACCGGCCGAAGCATCCATCGTTGGACGTGAGACGTCCTCAACCCTTTAATATAAAAAAATGGCTAATACTTGTTGTACGAGTATCATACCTGTGTTTGCCCGTATTGATCTATTTTCAATTTCAATTTCAATCAATCAATATATCAATCAACCACTCAATCATCACATCAGCCCTCAGCTGCGGTCTTTCCGCGTCATCCTGCCGCCGGCACGTCACCAGGCCCTGTTCTGTACGAGTACCTACATGAAGTGCGGTGTGGTGCAATGGTGCAATGGTGCAATTGGGGGGGAGGGGGGTTGTCTGGATAAGCTACATCATCCTATGGGTTGCCGTATGCATAGGATGCTGGGAGCAGGTACCACAATGTGCTCTGTCGGACCTGACTTGTCGAGCCTTACTCGCTCTACCAGGTACTATTACAACTACAATCTACACCACCAATGTTACAACTACATAGAACATCGATCACCTATTTCAGAACCAGGGGTTTTATTCACACCATCCATCTAACCAAGCAACCAAGCAACCAACCATCCTCCTCCTCTTTCACCTCCGACCACCCCCCTCCAAATCCCCATCCCATTCCCATGGACTGATTTGATGTGCGCCATCCATCTGCGTGCGGCCTTTAACCGTTTAATTCTCCGATGGTTTTCCCCAAGTCATGTGCAGACTTCTCTTCCCCCAGCGATTCGCTACACACCCCCTCACCAGCTGAAAGCAACCCCTCTACCAGGTAAGTAAGCTAAGCCCCCTTATTCACGTCCTTCATTCCACCACGCTCCACCAACCCACCAACAGCAACAGACGGTGTCCCCAGCCCCGTGCGGTATTACCTAACCCATGGCATGAGGGTAGAAGCGGCTGAGTTCTCTGCGGTCGGTGGTACTGGGTTGCTGGCATAGCATTGGAGGGAGGATTGCATATTGTCATTGTGCAGCAGCAGCATCGCCGCCGTCGATGATGATGACCCGTCCTGTCTTATCCTGTCCTTTCTTTTTTTTTCTTTTTTATCCGCACGATTCGCCGACGCCCCCCCCTCACCCTCATCCCATCTTGCTTCGGCCGTACCTACATATGATCATGTATGTACGTAGAACCCCTCCATCTACTCTACAGGCCATCTACCAACCAACCACACACCCCATCCCATCCCATCCAATATATATCTATAAAAAAAAATACCTTGCATCATGCGCCCTGAATGGACAGATGGATTCTTCTTTCTTCCCTCGCCCTAGTCCTTCGCCCTCGCCTATGTAATGTACGATGTACGATCGATGGCCCTAGGCTGGGTGTGAATAACTAACATACACATACACATGCACACCACCACCACCACCACCGCACGCCTCCTCCGGCCGAGCGTTACATGAGCTGAGAAACACACAGAACCAAAGCTTACCCTACATGTTACTGACCGGTGCAATAAAGCAAAGAAAGAGAAAAGCACGCACCTCCCTACCAGCCAGGGGTGGAGGAGGGATGGAGGATTAGACGGAGGGGAGCGGTGGATCAATAGTAGTCTGCCAACCTCTTTTTTGCAATTTGCTTGTTTGCATTTTATTAATCCACATGTACGTACCTGCCTGTCAATACCTACTTCGTGGTGCGGCTATTAAGAGTCACAGTCTGTCCCTAGCTAGCTTGGTGCTCATCCTTCACTTCCAACTTCAGCCTCTAATAGCTAGCTACAAGTACTTGGCCCTGTTATCATACTTCCCTTCCTTACTCTACTTACCACTCATACTCTATCTATATAGATAACACGGCTCCCCCCCCCCCACCACCTCCCCTCCCTCCCTTCCCCCCACCAACCTTCGTTTTTAATAATTCTTACGTTCGCTGAGATTCTGTTCACTACTACAGCCTGGGTTTCTACAGTCGCTCTTTTTACCTACTTACCCACCTACATATCCAGCTCGACAGCTACAGCTCCTACCACAACTTCCAAAACCTCACAACCTTTTTTTGCCTCCTACCTGCTCCTACTACTACACATTCTACCACCTACTACACCTTCCACTGCTACAAGAACCTCTCCACACACCTCCCCCCACAAACCGCCACCGCTAAAACCCCAAAACCTTAATCCGCACAAAGAAACCTCCCATATATCACATCAGCCCACTCTACCACCACCACACCGCACCACCTTTACGTACCCGCATATCCACGGCTGCCATACCCGCTACAACGATACCTACCACATCCACCACAACATCCACAGCACCCGCCACAATGGTCCTCGACCCCAAATCCCTCGTGCCTACAAAGGCGGGCAAGGAGTGCATCTACGTGCGCCCGCTGACGCTGAAAGACCTCGACGCCGTGATGCTCGTCGAGACGCAGGCCTTCGTGCCCGCGGAGCGGTGTACCAGGAAACAGGTACATTCCCCCCCCCCCCCAAACCCCTCCTCCCTTCTTCCTCAATTCAACCACTAACACTATAATAATTACAGTTTCATGCACTACTCTCCACAACGACCTCCCCCCCGCTCTCCCTCGGCATCTTCGCCTCCACTAGCCCCAGCCAGGGCGCCCACAACCCCACCGAGCACCTGCTCGGCCACGCCATCGCCTCAAAGATTACAAGCAAGCTCATCACCGACTCGTGCTACAGCTCGGCGGCCACCAGCCACACCACCGGTGCGACGATCGCGCTGCACTCGCTCGCTATCGTGCCGGCGTGCCAGCGCCGCACGCTGGGCACGGCGCTGATGCGCGAGTTCATTGATTACTGTCGCGAGATGGCGGGGGCGGTGGAGCGCATTGCGATCATTGCGAGAGAGGGCTTGGTCAGGTTTTATGAGCGCTTTGGGTTTGTGTGTTATGGGTTGAGTAGTGTTGGGTTCGGGGGAGGCGGGTGGAGGGACTTGGTGTGTGAGATTAAGAAGCCTAGTAGGGGAGTGGTGAAGGCGGGGTGTGGGGGCGCGGTGGGCGGCCTGACGTGGAGTGCGCCGTTGGTTAATTAGTGGTAGGGGGGATGTAGGTGGTTTATTCGGTGTTCTCTTTTCTTTGGGTTTTTTTTTTCTTCCTCTTTTTTATTTTTTATTTGGGATTTTTTTTATTTGTTTGGGGGTTATTTTTATAGATGGGGGCTTTTTCTCATTATCATTCGGCTTTTTATTATTTTTTTCTGGGTATTCTTTTTCTACCTCTTTTCTCATCTCTCTCGTCTCTGTATGGTATTCGTTTTTTTTTTTATTTCCCGGTTTTATCCCCGTTCTTTCTTCACCACTTAATTTTCCCCCCAGCCCTGCACTTTTCAATGGTTTCATCAGGAACGTACCTCATCCCATTCTTCCCTCATCTCTTTCTCTCAGTCTACCTGGGTCTTTTTTTCTCTCGCAATATTCCTACACATCACAGCCACAATTTGTTGTTTGGCTGGACCCAGCAATTATCCTATCCACCCAAAAGTATAGTACTTAATGAGTCCTCCTCACTACTTAGTTACCTAGTTACTTACTTTGCGCGCTGCTTGTATTTGTAAAATAAAAACCAATCCTAAATTAACTGATAATAACGCCGTCCCCTGCTCCCATAACGTCTTTTGGCATACCGCCCCGCGCGCGCCCCTCGGACCTAGGTCTAGCTGCTAAACCCAGATTGAATAGAAGCACCACCCATGACCTCTCTTGAAGGGGGAATGCGACGCGTTCACATGGGAATGCCATTTTTTTTTTTTTTTTTTTCCTTTGCCCGTTGCCTCCCTCCCTCCGTGGGTGCGTGTGGTACGCTGGTGGTACAGCGTGAGGGAGAGAGTACGGTCGGATCCAACCAATCCCAATCGCCCGTCTGTAGCCGTACTTGTTAGTAGTTGTAGTCAGTGAGGTAAGGTGAGTGAGTGCACATGCGTTAATAAATTAATAGCAGCCTGCCAAATATAGTATACCTTAGCTAGGTATATTGCACAACTCCAGATAGCCGAGAGAGCGGAGAGGGGGAGGGGAGGGCTTAGGTAAGATACGACGTGAGAAGGCGTGCGGATAGCGGCAACCCGCGGATCTGGCGGTGCATCGTGAATTTAGACAAAAGGGACCTTTGTGATTTGCGCCGGGGATGTGGTGTTTTTTCGCATTCACCTAACCCTTGGGGTTTGGAATGCGTGGGACGCTCAGCTGGCCAGCCAATCAGACGGCTGGGAAGGGCGCGATGGGAAACGGACTGTGTGCTGAAACGGAGAAACAGAAAAAATGACCGCTTTGCTTTCCTTCTCTCCATTCCTTCTGCCTTCGAGATTATTGCCCCCTCTTTTTCTTTTTTTTGGTTGCCTCCCTTGCTACGCCTACTTACCCGCTCGGTTATGTTGCTGTATCCTACTCTATCATTTTTCGCTCTTTTGTTTCGTTTTTTTTGCTGTTTTTGTTTTTAACCCCGAATGTTTGGGAAAGTCCAACCCAACCCCCGAACGACGCTCAACCTTGCAACGGTGTGTGTGTGTGAGTGTTTTGGTTCGAGCGAGCATGAGGGAATTATGTTTTCTCACCGAGAAAGGTGACAAAGTTGTACGTACCATACCGTATTTCCCCCATCCCCATTATTTTTGCGGTTCGAGCGAGCTGAGAGCCGCAAGGATGCTGATAGGAAAATAGGAAAAACTCACACTGGTCGTTAGAGGGACTGTGCGATAAACATATGATCTGCGTGCAGCCTGCGCATGCTATCGGATATGTAGCAAGGTCTGGACTAGAGATCCTGGACGTGATGTTGGTTTGTAGATCATACATCCCCGCCCCCAGCTCCTGCTGTCACAGGATTTTGGGGGGGGGAATTTAGCAGGGATCACAAGATATCACTCGTGCATGATTTTATGTGGGGTTCAGCAGACGGTTTTTGCGGGATAGGATTCTCCAGCGTATTGCGCCATCCAGGAACCACGGACAAAACCCAGGATTTTGAAACACATGCTAGCGAACGCCGGGGATATCCGCCGTCCAATGGAGACGCCCAACTGCAAAAGTCGCACCATACGCCCCCGCATAGCTGTGATCAGGATGGTGGTGGGGCTGTCAACACACACACCACCATCTCAGCTTGGTTTTATTTACTAATCACTGAAACTGATCCTTCGACTGGCTGTGACCTCCGTTTTTGGGGATATTATTACATGTATTTGAGACATGTCTTTTGTGCGGGGTCAGCCTTGTGCCTGTTCCAGCGACCAAAGCTGCAGGTTTTTTTTTGTTGCCTTCTCTGTGGGGCGGTCGGAGGTGTGCCCCTAAACCTTAAATTTAGACATGTGCTCATAGCTCACCGCGCTAAGAAATGTGGCGGGTCATGGGCCATCACTCGGGGGTACCAACAAAACTTGCTTTTTTTGTTGTAGCTCCGCGAACAAAGGCGGACAGGTTCTGGAACCCCCAGTTGTAGTTGGTAGTTCTGGATAGTGTTGTGGATCGCACCGTGATTGATTTGTCGGATACTCGTTCCATAGCCTTCCAGTTGGAATGTGTTGGGGCCAGGAATAAGGGACGGAGCGGGCAAATGAGTGTAGAGGGGCGGCCGGGACAGGTCTGATTGGCCAGATTGAGCGATCAGGGGACCCTGCCATTCTGTGTAGCGAGCCAGGAGACAGGTAAGTGGGACCATATTGTTATCGATATCAGCAACTTGCACAGTGCCACTGACCGGCCTGGACTCCCGAAACTCAAAATAGATCTGGCCAGACTGGCCCGGGCCTAGCCCTAATCTTACGATGGTGGACACATCCGGCCCGCCTATTCTGATCCAACCGGGATGACCTCGTGTAGAAAGTTTATTGCATCGGGCGTCCCATACATGCAACAGGCATGCAAGGGGTCAAAGCTCGGATGGGTGTGCTGCAGAGAAGTTATTGACGAGGTGTGGATAACAGATCGACTGTATTGGTATCGATAACGGTCACAATAGAATGTAGAACTCACCTTGGAAATTCCAGCCACTCGCTTACACTGCAAATGCTCCCCCGGCCGCCATCAGTCAGCATCGATCCGCCATCACCCCGTGAGTGGGTGTAGTGAGCTCAAGTTTGGGAGAAGAACGGAGGGAAGTCCTCTCCGCCGGGCTAATATACTACTTGTACCCTAAGGACACATCTGCTTTACCCGCTGTGCCACCTATGGCACATCCATCAGGACAGCGTCAACAACGCCTTCCCCTCCCTGAAGTTGTTTTGAAGCTGTTGCGTTCCACTTCCCTCGCGTTGGAAATGATCACCCCAGGGGCTATGTGGCTCTCCGCGGTGGCTGAAGCGGGAGACTGAGCTGACAACCTGGCCTAGGCCATTATGCTGTAGCTACTCGAGTGGGCTACATGTACCTACTTACATGTGTTAGAGAGGTTTCGCAGCGAATATTTTAAATTCGGATACCGCACTGTAAGTGCCTGTTGCGATTGGAGGAAGGACACCGTAGTGGAGCAGAGTAACCAGAAATCTTCCCCATCCAGCAAATATCAAGCTAAATTCCACCGTCAACCTAACATACAGACTTCTGGCGAGGCTTCTGTAACTGCGAATCCCAATCTGTAGTTTTAAAAGTCTCCACCGGTCGCCAATACACCTATCACATCAAAGAAATCTGGCTCATACCACACTTCCTTGCTGTATCTGGCAACCCTACCCAAATTTAAAATATTTAGTGCGAAGCCTCTCTATTGGCTAGAAGGAGAAGAGAATTCCCCGGGGCGGCCGGACCACAGGCGGGCAGATCTTCCCGCTTATGACTTGAGATTAAGTTGGCTCATGGTAGCTATATAGGTCAACGGCAGACAGCAATCTGAATCCTGGGCTTCACTACATTGCAATAGGACTAGAGGACGAAGGAGAGCTCATATTCGTTCTATGCTTATATATGTATTGCCACTCGGATATCCCCGGAAATCTGGGACAAATCATTATGCGGGATCTAGATATGTATTGCCACTCGAATATCTCCGGAGATCTAGGACATATTATTATGCGGGATCTAGATATATATATATATATTGCGCATGCATATTATACTCTTTTATGCAGCAGTATGCCTGATATTCTACTGTGGGCAGCTTAATGGGGTGGACTCGAGCTCCCGAACCCAGTAGGCTGGAATCAACCGGTATAACCACAGCTAGGGATTTGGCTACCTTTCTCACTCGATACTTGTAAGGGTTTCACTCCGAAATACATAGCTATTCGAATGGAAAACACAAAACTGCACTACTAAACCTCTGCGGCACTTGCCCAGCTTTCAAGGAAATTAACCTCACATATCTCTCCCCCCTCTGCACACAGAATACCTGCCGCAAACCCAGATTTCAACAGCGTCAACACCAACACCAGCACCACCAAAACACCTGCAGCCAGCCCCACACCCTCACGCTCACCTACACCCCCACCTCCCTACTCCTCCACCACTCCTGCACCGTCACGCCCTCCGACCACATCTCCTGCATCCCACTCATATAGTCACACGTCTCCAAAAACGCCTCCAGCCACTCGAGCTCCCTGTTGTCCAGCGCATACGCCGGCACCGCCACCCCCCGGCATCGCCGCATCCTCCAGCGGCCACCTCCCCCAGCACCCTCAGCACCATGCCCAAATACCGATCATACGGCACGGGCACCCACCTCCCCAGATACCTCCACACCCTCACCACCTCCTCCCAGCGCGGCCCCCACATCCTCTCCCTCGGCACCGGCACCTCCAGCATCTTCACCTGCCTCCTCAACCTCACTAGCATGGTGGGTGGGGTTGGGTTTGGGTGGCTTGGGTTGGGTTGGGTTGGTTGGGGGACTTGGGACCGGGGTTATCTATGGATGGCATGGGTAGGGGACAGGTGTGGGGGACCTGGACTCGGTTTATATACTTTAGAGCTAGAGCTGGGCAGATGAGATGTAACGAGCCATTTATTGCACTGCCTGCATGATGATGATGATGATGATGATGGTGGTCCGCGGGGTAAGGGCAGGTATTGTAGGTACATGTGTGTGTTTTTTGGTTTGCATGCATGAGATTCACTCGGCGGTCCACCCACAACTGCCGGCCGGCCCTGGGCCGCATCGATGGCCGGACATTAACCCCATGCCCATGCCCTTGTTTACGCTGGGGGAGAGCCGAGCGCCGAGAAAGTGCAGGAACCAAGTCTACAGTATCCGGTAGAATTATTGCGAAAGTCAGAACTAAAAGAGTGGGTTTCTTGGTCCGTGCTCACTGCAAAAATTCCTTTAAGGGCCAATGGACTATCTGGTCACGGAAAACCCACTTTCGCATTAATTCTACCAGAATCTGTACATGTATCCACACGAGTCTACAACACGCCACACAAGCCCACCCCCATTCCCGCCCCACCAATCACTTCCCCACTCACCACTCACCACCCATCACTCGGTCCCTCACACGCCCCTCACCACCGCCTCCACCTCCCCCCCCCCCAAAATGCTTCAAGAACCTCCCCCACACCGCACCACAGCACCCTCGCCGCGCCATCCGCCCACCCAATCGGACACTCCCCTCCATCGGCGGCACTCATAAAGCCCGGATCCACGCGCGCGGCCCATGAGCGGGAGCAGCTCGCGGATGAGCAGCAGCGGCGGCACGAACGAGTTGATGGCGAGCACGCCGCCGATGTCCTGGTACGGGAATGTCGGCGAGCTTCTGCGTCCAGGAGGAGTGGTGCTGCGTCGCCAGTGCGCCCCCCCCTCATCCTTCTCCTCCGGCAGCGTCTCGATTCTCCCGCTCCCCGCCCCGCCCCGCCCCGCCCCGCCCCGCACCTTCGGCCAGCAGTCCTCCAGCCCCCTCCCTCATCCTTCGAAAGTCCGCGCCCAGCACACACACCCTCCCCCCGCCACACCCCAAAATCCGCCTCCCCCCTCAGCCGCCGCTCCGCATCCAGCGGATACCGCGAACTCACCACCACCGCCGCCCCACACCTCAGCAGCCGCAGCCGCAGCCGCAGCCGCAGCCGCAGCGCAACCTCGAACCCCAGCCCCACCCACCCGCCCGCCCGTCACCAGCGCCGTGCGCCCCGCCATCGCCAGCACCCCGGGCGCGCTCAGGGCGCTCGCCGCGATGTTGAATGACCCGCAGGACGTGCAGGGGGGCTGGTAGAGCGGGTGCGGCGTGGGGTTGGCGTAGCGGCACATGTAGCACCTGTTCTGCTGCACCCGCGTCTTCTTCCCGGCGCCGGGGGTGGAGCGCGGCCGTCGGCGCCGACGCCCCATAGGCTGCGGAGCGACACGGTGACATCGCCGTAGTGGCGTGTCGGCGGTGGCGAGGGTGGCGGGGACGCGGGTGGCGAACTCGAGCACGCGGAGGGCGGCCTCGAAGTCGGCGTCCGTTGGGAGGATGCTGGATGGCACGGGTGGTGGGGGGTGTGGGGTTGTGATTGCGTCTGTGATGGAGGTGATGATGCCGTTGTAGCGGATGCGGAGTGCGGGGAGCGGTGGTGGGGTTCCAGAGGGCGGTTGCGATGGGGTCGATGAGGTGGTGTGGGATGTGTAGAGCGAGGGGGGAGGGGGGGAGGTGTTGGGTTGTGAGGCGGTGGTCGGAGAGGAGGTGGGCGGCGAGGGTGGTGGGCGGAGTTTGTAGGGAGGGAGAGGGGGGAGAGGGGGAGGGGGAGGGGAGGTGGCTATATATGAGCTCGAGGAGGAGGAGGAGGAGGAGGGGTGCTGTTTACCCCGCGGACTTGGGGTTTCAAGCATCGGCACTGACTTCCCCCCTCCCCACCACGACACTGACCACCGAAGGCCGCCACCACAGACCCGGGAGTTATGGTGCCAGGCAGGGATGGACGATTGTGCAGTAGAAGCACATTCCTCATGCATCTGCCCCACGCAGGTACTCCACCAACTACCGCTGCGGTTACTGCAAGTAAGCAAGCAAGCAAGCAAACAGCAAGGATACCCCCCCCCCCCCCAGATACGCCCAGCTCTGTAGCTAGTAGCTCAGTATGTATGTAGCGTATGTACATGTAGCTCTCGCAGTACCAAGAAATCCTCACCGCAACCCATCCCATTCCAATGACTCGCAAGCCCGGGGCTGAACCACCGGCGCCATATGCATGCATCGCTATGTCAGTATCGAGCCTAAACGCCATCGTCCACGTCCATGTCTGCACAAAAAGTAGTAACAGTGGTCATTGGTATTGCGTGCGGTACATAGTAGAGTCTGGGTAAGGGTAGCAATCGCCGTGCCAGGGTGGTGTGGAGTTGGTGCATGCAGCACAGCATGGATGATCACTCGATCGCTCGGATGGGTGACAGTTTAACTAGCCGGGACATTTGTGAAATATATATTTTTCTAGCTCTAGTTACATACCGCGTCGAACGCAACAACAAAAGTCCACAACCATAAAAACATGCCCGCGATAGCAACTATCGCCAGCTCCTATTGTACACATATTACCCCTACTCTCCACATCCACCCTACCCTACCCCCAAAACAACCCACCCCCAAAACAACCCACCCCCTAAATACTCAAATCCCCCACCCCTAAATCCTCCCTCAACGGCCCCAATATCCCCGCCGCCCCCGCCAACCGCCTCCCCGCACTCCTCCACAAATACCGTCCACTCCCGTCGCCACTCCCCGCCTCCGCCGTCATCCCCCCACCACCCGCAGCACCCGCACTCCCCGAGCCCAAATTCCACTCATAGAAAAACTCGCCCTCCTCCTCAAACGGCGGCCTCTCATACCTGGGCCCTTTCCCCATCTCAGCCGCCCTCTCCCACGCCCTCTGGCACCCCAGCAGAACCCTCGACGCCGTCGCCCACCCCGTCAGCCGCGTAATCTCCCTCAACTTCCGCACGACCCAGTCGCGCTGCGCCTGCTCCTGGTACTGCACGGCCGCAAAGAACAGCGGCATCGACGACTCGATGAGCCCCGCGCCGAGCGCGGGGTTAATCTGGCCGTTGGGATCCGTGGGGACCAGCCCGGCCGTGATACGCGCGATGTCGATTGCCATTCTAGTAGTCTTCGGGGCGGCGACGCCGGCGGCCATCATGGTGACGGCGGGCATGGACGGGTGGCAGCGCTCGAGGACGATCATGGCCATGTAGTAGAGCATCTGCAGTGTTGCGATGGAGTAGGTGCGGTAGTAGATTGCGGCGCCGAAGGGCGTGTTTTGTACCGGCATGTATTCGATTGGCAAGGGTTGGTATTCGTTGCCGAGGGACTGCTGGAAGACGTGGAATGCGTGTTGGATGGCGGACCATTCGCGCTCGGCTTCGAGGGTTGCGGCGGCGAGGTCTTCGGGGTGTTCGTTTTGGGAGTGGTGGCGTTGCGCGTTTTCGCGGGAGAGTTCGGGGAAGTTTTGGGCGAAGGCTTGGGGGACTCGCGGGGGGCCGGAGGGCGCTGGTGCCATGCCGTATTGTATGTTCTCACCGCTCATGCCCGGCATACCGCTCATGCCTGGAGGTGGGCCATTCATACCATTAGGCGGCCCTCCCATGCCATTTGGTGGCCCCATACCACTCGGAGGTCCACCTGGGAACCCCATACCTGGCGGCCCGCCCATGCCGTTCGGCGGGCCTCCCATACCATTTGGAGGACCTCCCATACCACCCGGCGGACCCCCCATTCCCATTCCCGGCGGCGGCGGCCCACCTCTCCCCCATCCCGGCGGCGGCGGCCCCGTCCACCCTGGCGGTGGCCCCTGCATCCCCCCTCTCCCCATCCCCCCAGCCCCAGCCCCTCTGCCCGCCATCCCTCTCGGCGGGCCTCCCAGCTCCGGCGGAGGAAGCCACATCCCGCCATTGGCCCTCTGCACCGCCTTCTTCCTCTTCAAATCCTTCTCCTGGAACGCGCACAGCCTTCCGAGCAGGAGGAAGTAGTGGTCGGAGCTGCCATACGACATGCCGAGCGTGCCGATGCGCGCGCGGGGCGGACACTGCGACCAGTAAATGTAGTCCAATCTATCATTTCCGTTAACAATCCCAATCCCCCGGTTAGACTCCCGCAGACAGAAAGCGACGTGGCAGGGTTAGGGCTGGCTGGCACCGAAGTAAGGCTAAGGCTAAGGGTGACAACTTACACGAGGGGACATCCACTAACAAGGCTCTGGTAGCAGTCCATCTTGGCAAACCACCAAAACATGTCTGCCTGCAACTGCATCACATCCAACTCCTTACTGGTGGTTGTTCCTGCTGCTGTGCCTCCCCCCCCTCCTCCTCCTCCTCCTCCTCCTTCCTGCTGCTGATAGTGCTGCTGTCCCCCTCTTCTGGCTCCGCGGTTCCGCGCAGCACGGCCATGCCCGGAGAGCATGGAGGCAAAGTTCTCGTCAGCGTCGTTGTACACCTGCTGCTTCCGCATCTTGCGCAGCCGGAGCATACTCGGCTGCTGCCCCGGCGGCGGGGGAGGCGGCGGCCACAGCTGTCCCTCTGTCTGCAGATGCTGCTGCTCACCACCCGGACCGCCGCCCTCGCGCTGCTGCTGCTGCTGGCTGATGCGGTCCTCCTCGTCCAGAATCTCGACCCGCCTCGCCACACGGTCGAAATCAATCTCCTTCAGCAGCTGCTTCGCGCCGTGGATGTGCGAGCTCCACTTATCGTGCTCCGCGGCCATGGTCTCGTAGTACCCTAGGAGGAGGGTTGCCGACAGGGTCGCGACATGGCCCCGGTGCTTGTCGCTCGCAATCGACTTTCCGAGCCGCCGCAGCGCAATGTGGTAGTGCAGCAGGCTGGGGTGCGAGGGCCCCTTGGTGAGCTTTGAGATGTGCAGGCTGCTCAGTGCCAGTATGGCGTGCATCAATGGTGGGTGGCTCAGCGACAGCATCGGGATCGTGTATGACCACACGTTCTGCGGGCCCTGCAGCCCGGCCCCGGGCGTGAATGCGACGTGGGGGTTTGGTGGTTGCCGCTCAAACAGCGACAGGCTGGGGCCGAGGACGTATACAAAGTGGCAGAAGATCTTTGCTGTGGTGCTGTTCATGAGCGGGCTTGAGCTCATTGACGGGTGGTAGTTTGTCAGTGTGTTCTGGTCGGGCAGAAAGCTCCTGAATGATATTCTGCTGTGCTCATTCAGATGCTTGCTGAGTGGGGCGATGATGTTGCTGATATGGGCTCTGGGTGAGATTGATTGGCCGTCCGGGTCAAGCATCATCTGGTCAAGTTCATGCACTTCATAGTCGTCGTCGTCATCGTCGTCGTCGTCGTCCTCCCCCTCGTCGTCTTCTACGTCGTATAGATCATCGTCCTCATCGTCGTTATATTCAACCCCACTTGCGCGACGATGAGATAGGTGTGCTGTCTCTGGCCCGAGAAAGTAGAGGTCGTGGCTAGGAGCAGCAATCATAGGTGGTTCTGGGTAGGACGTGGAAGTCGCTACATTTTCAGGGTCAGCGTCGGAAATACGACGGGATACCTTCGACGTAAGTTTGAGCTCGCAAGTAGCAAACATCACTACGTAATAAAGAAAACAAAAACAAAAGTACAATATAAAAGCCTTCTACGTGAACATGACGACGAAAAAGAAGAGGGAGAAATCGTCTAGCATAACTCATTGGGGTGGGCAGAGATAAAGATTTGAGAGGAGGAGTCACATACATGGATTTAACCACGCAGTCCCAACATTTACACATGACAGACAGGCGCGCACTCCTCTCATTGATAGAAAAATTCTACACGCAAACGTTCACAAACATATTCTTCACATAACGCGATGCCGTTCAAGACATATTCTTGGGAGAATCATGGGAAACAGAGGAGGGGAGACCTACGATTATCCGAGAACTCCTGCCCTGGTTGATTCATCTGTTCCATGGTGTACTTCGTAGGCATTGGTGGGTCGAAAGTACATGAGTTTGACGCCGACGGGTGAGACGATGGAAAAGAAGGCGCCAACGATGATCCGATATACTGAGGTGTTGGATAAAATGTTTGAGCACCAAATTCAGTAGACGATCCTGGTGGAAGGGACCTATCAACTCCTCTAGGGAAGGACCCCGTCCCCGGACCTGATACATTCACATAGTAAGGCGGGTACTGGCCCGTAGGGTCGTTGGACTGCGACACGGGTACCTGCTGCTGGTATGGATCGTGATGTCCATACTGCTCGGGTTGCACATGTGGATCCGACGGTGTCAATGGATGGGGAGGTAGCTGCTCATGGGCCTGGAGTGCTTGTCCACGTTCCGCATATATGGACCTCAGATGTGGTGGTTTGGACTGGTCTTGGGCGAGGTTCAAGTATGCTTCTGCCTGTGCCTGTGGGACCGGTGCAGGTCGAATTGCAATTGGCTGATGTGTAACAGACGACCCAGGAGCTGGGGCAGGTTGGATGGGATATGGTTGTATAAGACGTCGATTATCTGTTGACGAACCACCCGTACCTCCTGCCGCACCCAGCATCCCAGGCCTATACATCCCGTTCATACCGTCCTTGAAGACGACGCGTTGGTTGTATCCCTCGCAGTTACGTTTGGATTTGATGCAATTCCCGCAGGTTGGGCGTTCTTCTCCGCATTTTATGCGACGTTTTCGGCAGGCTGCATTGCTGTGTTAATAGAAGTCTCTTTCCACTCCATGTAGCAAGGGGATAGGTAGGCGACTGACTCAAACATCCTGTCTTTGTACGTTTCCTCGAAGCCTTCGCGGTAGCACTTGCTGAAGCCACCTTACCACTGTCACTCTTCTCACCGCTGGTGGCCTCATTCTGTAATGTTGAATTGGAGACGGTGCCATCTGTTGTTTCTGTGGGTGAGCCCCCGGTAGTTTGTTGTTGTTGCTGATTAAGTGGAGCTGCCCCTTCGTCCATTCTGAGGTACGATTTACTCTTGTCCGAATTATTTGGATTGCTTCAAAGTGTACGTCCGGATACCAACACAGTGGAACTTAATCTGCTGTGTGATGATGCAAACTCGTTTACTGAACTCTTCCGGGATGGCTTGGAGAAATCAGTCTGTTTTCTCTTCTTCGACTTGTTTTCCTTCCTTGGTGAAAGATACGCAGAAAGGAAAGTAAGGGTAGGCGAAAGAAGAGGAAGAAGGAAAGCACAGAATATAAATCCCACACTCCGATTCGCTTACTATCGGGCTCCTTGAATGATCTCACCACCACTCACTTCCTGGGAACCTATCACAATCAAGACAACCCCCCCGTCAGATTTTTTCTTGTACAGCCTTTCCTTTTTTTTCCTGCCAGCCACAACCTTCTTCTCGAGGTTTCCCGTCTGTGCTACCCAAGTTTGTGTATGTGGTAGATGGGCTGATTGCACAAAAAGGTGGAGTAACAGTGCTAGTGACACCAATGAAGACAAGTAGGCGCAATACTAATAGATAGTCTTTTTTTGGAGGCGTTATTGAACCGGGGTGATAAGAGATCCGTGGGGAAGAGAAATCCTATCATGAAACCATGGATAAAAGGAAGAGAAGAAGTAGAATCTCCAAGAGGATTGATATGTTTTTCTCTTTAGACCTGTGGAACACCAAGCTGAATCCAATAGTGGTGCACGGTACTGTATCGTACATACATGAACGAATCTCTTTTCACCACTCTTGCTTTTTTTTTTTTCTTCTTCCACTCTCCCACTCAATTATATAACCCACCAACTGGCTGACTTTCTGGTTAGGAGTTGCGGAAACTGGGGGATGTAGATGCAAAAGGGCAACTAAAAGCGTTCCTTCCTACCTTTGGACCGGGATGCAGGGTAGAAAAACGGGATGTGTCCAAAGGTAGAGTACATGTAGCTATTCGTACAAACCGTGACCGAATTTAGATTACTATACTGTGGGGGGAGAGGGAGAATTCAACCAAAAACGGGTTAAATAGGATGAGGGTACGTGTGTACTATCACTAGTAAGTGTTCTAGTGTCAGAGATAGCTCTAGAGATAATGGCACTTTCGTAGGAAGATGGAGAAGCTCAACTTGCCGATTTATCATACTAGGCCTCGCTATAGAAATCCTCGTCCCTTCCAGACGCCAAGTACCTGTAGAAAATATAGTTTTAGGAGAGACATCTATCGGCGCCTCCGGGCCATACATACCACCCTCCAAACCCAAAAGTTTAAACCCATTCATCTCCCTCCCACGGGAAATGGAAGCAAGTAGACCCATGTCTTCTAAAAAATGTTCCTTCTGCGCAGAACAGAAACATCGATATATTGCGCCTCAATTACACAAAGAAGCGAGCCAGGACGAATGTTCCTCCGGCAGCTTCAGATTTTGCTTTTTTCCATTGACCCGCGCACTATAAGGCTTGGCAAAGACAGTCCAAGTTCAATTCAGCGGGGTTAACTGGCAACCGTTTCCCATTTCGCCGTGACATCTGAAACTGAGACATAGACCGGTCTCAGTTCACAAGAATCCCTGACGCCTTGGGATGCGAGTCAATTGATTCCCAGGTAAGATGTGGTGTGGCAAACCGCAGAGTTATTCCATGGAAAGCCACAGGCTGTGGCACCCCTTCAGTTGATTGTTGGGGTTGTTGGGAGGGTTTACAGACCCGTTTGGGTTTCCCGGCTGACGTGACCCCATCGATTTTCACCTCTGGATATAAATTAAATGTCCGTCGCAGACATAGAACGCAAAGGCACATTGTTTTCTCTAAAGCTTCACACGCAGGTGAGTTAAGATAGTAGAGCCCTAGATGCACAGGTTTCTGGTCCTATCAACTGTTGGATTAGCACTCGCTACATAGCAATCAATTGCGCGTGTTGCTAGCCTTGCTCTAAAAACGGTTCGCATAGCAGATTATGCATTCGGGGTAGGGCTATAAAATTAGTTGTCTATGAACTAGTCTTCATGCACGATCTGCTCAACTTCAGCTGAAATCTCGGGGCTTTCCGTTGCTGATACATTGATGAACAACCGGCTTAAGAAAAGCCGGGCAAATAGAAAATATTTCCCCGAACCAACGGGAAAGAATGAAAAAAAAGAAAGACCGGACTTTCTGTAGGCAAATGTCTGTGCAGTAAACAATCCACTTAGTCGGCATCAATTGACTCCGCGTACTCGTATTCGGCGGGGGTCCGTACGAGGAGAATTTCATGCACTTTAACCTAGAAATTGATACCCCCAGGAGAGTAAGATGTTGAAAATCGATCGATGTGATATCGCGAAACCCTTTCTCGGGTCGACAACGTGGACCTCAGAGTGCGGCGCTGGAACGTGCCGAACGTGGAAAAGAAGCTTAAGTTGGGGATGTGCAAGCCCCACTTGGAGCAAAGGTTTCTATATTTAATCCACACCAGAAGGGCTGCTAATAAATCGTAGAGCAAATGGAGTTAGCATATCATATTCTAGAATAGCAGTTCTTAACCTATCCATGTCGTGATACTCGAGAGCAATTGGTAAGAGTGAGAATTTTCTTTGTGCAACCTCCCGGCCTTTCCGCCGCCCCGTAGATGAATAATCGATAATAGGTGCAGGGAACTATATGTACGTTACGTATCATTCTGTGCAGATATAAAGTAAACGGATTTTCAGCCCGGCGAACAGAACTCTTTTTCTCAATCAAAAATAGCATTGGGAAGCTGGGCGTGGGGCATGCCAGATGATTGTAAGGTTTTACCACTAACTTACATGTAGTAATTGTTTTTGTGATATACATCCTCAAGAATTTGTAGGAAGAAGATGTTTCTAGAGCTCGAGCTCGCGGGACAAAACTACATGTATGTTTACAAAGATGTATGTAGTTTTTCTCACTGTCTTTCCTTACCTACAGTACTGTATTCTACATGTATGTACCTACAAGTACATGTAGCTACAATCATGTATTGTACTTGTACTACATGTACTGAGGCATTGTCTCTACATGTGGTCCTTGAGGTTCAACAGGCCGTGATTTCATGCCTTGTTTCTACCCTGTAAAGTCGGGCTACATATGTACATGTACATGTATCCATTCATTTGTCAACACAAGAATAGTATCAGGCTTAAAGTGATATCTCCTGTGATATTACTCTACAGAGCCTTGTAGGTTGAGTACTCGTAACTTCCTGACGTTTTTGAACGCGACTGATATTGCATACCATACAAAAATACGCCAAGATCCTGATTTTGGGTGTATGCAATAGTGGCCCAGTCCAAAAACGCCAAGAGACTACGAGTACATGAGAAAGGCATACATACGCCCCCAAAGAACGTGAGACCTAAGGATCAGACCATCTATACGTATAGGTAAGACTCCACCCCACTCACTCTACTCTGCACCTGTCCCGTGCTCATGCGCAGTGAGTGATTCTAGCACACCATGATTTGTGTGGCTTGTGCATACTACATAGAGGATTACATGAGTATACATACAGCCACTCTGCAAAAGTGTTCGTGATTCCGATTTCAGAGTGAGACATTTCTCTATATGTAACCGTGGCGGACCATCAAGAACCCCCAAGAGAAAACTTTCCCAGTGACCAATGGAGCCCGGAATCAATGAAGAATAAGATCAATAACATATCTTCTTTTATATGTAGTCACAAACTACATTACATATTTTTCTTTAGCTTGAATCTCTCCATTAATAACATCAACGTCACGGGTGCGCCACACTGCGCACTGACATTAAAACTAAATCACGAACACTTTTGCTGAGTGGCTGTAGAGTATGTACAAGGCTCTGGCATTAAGTGAGCGAACTAAATGGGTGTTGACAGGTGAGGACCCGTTCACTCACTAAATCCCAGAGCCTTGTACCTATGCTATCATACTATCAAATCAGATAACGGGTATGTAACACTCGCCAAGCAACAGCCCTGCATGTTACACGAAACAAACAACGCCGAAAAAAAATTCCATCTCTCATACGGCAGTGACCTCAGTGAACACCTCCGACAACAACAACAGCACAATAGCAGTTGTCACCATCATCGCCACCAACACACAAAAACCTCAGCAGATAGGCAATCATGTTTGCCGTCAATGGCTGGAACCTAGCAACGGCTCCCAAGACCCAGGTCATTGAGACCGGCAAGGCCTCAAAGAAGCACACAAATAACCCCAAGAAGAAGAAATCTGGAAACACCGCATCCGATACCAACGCCATCCCACTTTCAAAAAAACGGAATCTTCCTGGTACGGATGAAGCTGTCGAGGCTGCGGAGCCAGAATCCGAGCCAGTCCCCAATAACAACAACACATCTGCAAAGAACACAGTGGTGACTGCCGATAATGTGTTGGCACTCTACGAGAAAGTAATTGAAGGCAAGGCAGCCAAGAGGTCTCGCGACAGAAAGAAGAGGAAGGAGAAGAGGGAAAGGATTGCAGGAGAACAAGACACTGCCACCACAAAGGAGGATGATCCCGTAGCACCAGCGAAGGAGGAGAGCCGGAAAAAGAAGCGCAGCAAACCAGACGACGGAGAGCAATCCGGGATTCCCAAAGACGCAGCATCAGACGAAGCGGCGCCCCCGAAAAAGAAGAAAAAGCAAGACAACAAAAAGATCTCAGACCCCGCGACGACCACTCCCGCTGCGGCAGCCCCCGATCCTCCCGCTGCACCCGCACCCGCGCTCTCCACAATCCCAGCACTGACCCCTCTCCAACAGAAGATGCGCGCTAAGCTCACATCTGCGCGCTTCCGTCATATCAATGAAATTCTCTACACCACACCCTCAGACTCTTCGCTCTCACTCTTCACCTCCCAGCCCGAAATGTACCAGGAATACCATGCCGGTTTCCGGCGGCAGGTCGAGGTGTGGCCAGAAAACCCCGTAGATATCTTCATCAAGGCCCTGCAAGACCGTTCAAAAATCAAATTTGAGCGAGGACACAACAAGAAATGGAATAACACTGAGAAAGGGCTCCTCCCTCTGCCGAGAGATCGCGAGGAGGGATGGTGCACAGTCGCAGACTTGGGGTGCGGTGACGCAAAGATCGCCGCAACGATCAACCACCAGAAGCCTCGCGGGAAGGGCAAAGTCAAGATTTTGAGCTACGATCTGCAGCCCTCAACTAAGGATGTAACAGTAGCTGATATCGCGCACCTCCCATTGGAACCCGAGAGTGTTGATATTGTCATATTCTGTCTCGCACTCATGGGGACCAATTTCCTAGATTTCATTGAGGAAGCGTATCGCGTGCTGCGATGGCGCGGGGAGCTGTGGATCGCGGAGATCAAGAGCCGCTTCCATCGCCCTGCGTCAACCAAAGGCATAACAGTTGGTAGCAAGAAAGGCAAGAAAGAGGAAGAGGATGATGGCGAGAGTATCGAGCCAGACGGCAGCAAGAAGCCGGATACGGAGACATACAAGTCATTCATCGACGCACTTTCCAAACGGGGGTTCACCTTGCGGGGACAGGTCGACTCTGGAAATAAAATGTTTGTTCGTATGGAGTTTGTAAAAATTCCTGAGCGTGAAAAGAGGATCCAAGACGATGAAGAAGAAGGCGAGAAACAGGGACAGGGGGAGACCTGGAAGGCGAAAAAGAAGAAGTCAAAGTTCTTGGAGGGTGAGGTAGATGAGAGCAAGATCCTCAAGCCATGTGTGTACAAACTAAGATAGTCGAGGTCGAGGACAAGAAGGAAACAGAATACTGCAGGTAATCACGGCGATATGCGTTGTAATGTTAAAAAAGCATTGTTTTTTTCAATGGTAGTTTACCATCTACCGAGTGATAGTCTGTGTTCACAATCTTGTTACTACCATTTCTGGTTACCCTAACCCTGAATTAACGCCTTGGGACCTAGCCATGCATCTAGGAACTCATGAATTTACATAACCCACTGTCAGTGCAACCAGAGGAAACTCAAACTCGGTAGATGGGAATACTGTCACAACGTACTTCCTAGTAAACTCTATGTACATGCTTACCACGTGGCTGCTGTGCTTATATCGGTATGTGCACGCCGCAGGTAGGTTTGTACGACCTTATATCTGCTAAAAATATCCTGCAAATATTATGTACTCTAGAGTAGTCAATATTCACAAGGGTCTTTTTTTGCCTTCTTGGTTCTCTTGATTTTCTTGGGTTTCTTGGGCTGGGGTACATATGTGGGTCAGTATGACGTCGGCCTTTAATTCGTTGCACTATGCCCACCATGTAAGAGGGGCAGCATTGTTGAACACGAGCCAATTTTAGTGCTCTGTTCTAATCAATCTCGAATTTCTGCAGAGTAGAGCACTCTTGTGCATGGTGTCAAGGTTTTATTTTAAGCCGTGAGACCCACTTGTGTCAACGACTGCATCAACATTCTCATTCTCTACTGATAGGGTACGATCTACCATGAATGACTCAATCATCCCATCACCGATAAGCTTACCGGAACATGATAATAATCTTCATTGGAAATCGATGTTTGTATGTATGGTTTATCTGGTGGCCCCCGCGTTTAAGCCAGTTTGAGACGAGTCCGAAATCGAAGCAATATAAGCCGGCCCCATCCCAAAGTCTGAGCCTTTCGAGCTTGTTTGAGACTGCCAAGATATACAAACAGGTGATCTTCAATGACTTTAAAATCAACTTTTTGATATAGCACCATCATTAGATACACGACTTTGGGTTTATGAGGGTTTGGGTCCTTCTGCAGTCTGTATTAACCAAAGAATACTGATGCCCCGGGCCGGCATCTAATTTATATATAGCCTGGTTCTAACTACTTATATTATCAATCATTGACATACTCAGCCTGATGATGATTGAAATAGTCTGGCCCATACACGGATTAGGCTCATAGTTACTATAGAGCGAAAAATATTTGTCGATTGTCCCCTTCATTGCTAAAATATAACAAAGATAATGGCTCTTGATCTAGTTACAGTATGCTATCTACATGTATTCACAAGATCGTGATTACTAAGATACATGAGCTACATGTATGTACGTACTACTTTTGAGTACATAATTCTGTATCATTAAAACTGGGGCTGCGCTGCGCTTAGCAACACCGGCCTGAAGCTCAAGTAGTATCTATATAATGGAGCTATGGCTCGTACGTACGTACTAGTCCTACTCTACAAGGGCTCGAAGTCGGGCTCTCCTTTCTCGCACTTGTAGTCTAGCCGTAATTCTGGAAAATAGAAACCTTCCGAAATTGGGAACGGATAACTGCTTGACGGTCGACATTCAAGCTTGAGCTGCTCAGCACGATGATGACTCAAGGATGACTAAGTGAAGTCTGAGCGAATATGCCTGCTTAACCCTGAAGTAAACTTCAGGGCAAATACGTCGTCTAAACAATAGTACTCTTCGTGATCATCGGCGTGGTCAGGAAGATTTCTGATTGGTTGAATAGTCTGTATGTATACAACAGCTAGATAGAATCACATATATAGATAAAGAACTGCTCCCGATCCAGGAAAGGAAGGGAGTTGACATCGAAAGGGCAAACATTGATATAATTGTAGGAATAGTCTGACACTAATATATTAATCTTGAACTATAGTACATACTATCTACTAGATCTTCAGGAGAGTAAAGTTAAAACTATTATTTTTTTGAACTATATATATAAGATTAGGAGCCCTTTGTTGAGAAGGAAGAACCGAGATATATCATGGACAGTATTATTTCTCTCTCTCAAGCTTTAGCGAATCTATAGGCGGACAACTAATTGGAACTGATATTCTAAATAGTATTATCCAATCGACCCAAAGTCAGACGAGGAGACATATTAAAACTATAATAAACTACATATACGGAATCCTATTTACTCACTACATGCATATTTGCGGCCGGAGGCTGCACTACACTTGTAATACATAAGGTATAATATTTGTACTCAATCGTCATCGAGATAAGTACATAATAAAATAAGGCACATGTAGTTTCGATAGCTTTCGAATTCTGCATGTAAATTCAGCGCAAGGATACACAAGTATCTAGATTGGATCGCTGTTCATGTACCATAAATAAAATCAACCCTTTATAATTTCTCGAACGATTAGTGCATGTTATACTACACCTGCTAAGTAAGTCTGTTGACAGTGAGAACTATTGCAATTCTTCCCTGTGATCCTGGCATTACGTCCATCAACATAGATGTCCCGTGCCCATACTGTTTTGTGTGTCAAGACAGCGCACATATAAGATAAAAGTCTAGGAACGAGACCACCATCAACATTAGCATTACTTACTACTACCGTAGTAGAAGCATCCAAAAATATAGTTTCTATCCCGATGCGGGGGTCGAACCCGCGACCTTGAGGTGAACTTCCAGAGGATACAATCCCGTAAAAGCCACACGCTCTACTACTAAGCTAACCGGGCCTTAACACTGATAGTAGCGTGTATTTCCAACGAATCAAATTCATAATCCATGCAAGTAACCACCTACCAAAGTCTTCGAACAGATCAACCTGATCCTCTACCTGTTATTTTCATGAGTACATCTGTTCTTTTCATTAGTACCCCAGGTAAGTGTTATGTAGATAAGTACGTGTGTATACCTCATATCTGTATACTCCCTCAACTACCTTCATACTCTGCATCTATCCTCTACAGCCACGTGACGGCCATAAGTGACGACCGTTATTCAACCAACACAACCATCAAACGTATGTATACATCTTGACTGAAACTCTTTTCAAGAGCAAGCAGATATATGAAACCCCCATTAACGTTTAATATATTTGCCGTTTGGAACATAGGAGCTCGGCCCAAATATGACCATCGAGACGGCATCTAGTCGGATCGAACGAAAAACTGAACGAACTTCAGAACAGGCAATCACGCTCAGCCCCGAGAGAGAAGTGAGTATTTAGCAAATCGCTCCAAGCAAGATCTTTATACCAACTCGAGAAATAACAATTCCAAGGCTAGCTTTTCCGGAGTCTCCGTGTCTCCACTCGAAAATCGCTCCGGATCAGAGCCAGCTGCTGTTGAAAATGTAAATGCAGCAGCACCTTCTGAATGTGGGTCCTTAAAAGAAACTTTGACTCCATCGGCTGGGTCAGAACACCTGAATATGGATGCAACAATCGGAATCACCAGGGTACCAGATAACTATTTTGATAGTTCTCCAAATACTTACACAGGTCCAACACTTCAACCGCTACTAAAGCTTACCTCTGCTACTGATAGCTCTTTGAACCGGGAGCACTACATTCGTGTCTGTATTGACACAAGACTGGAGGTGACAATTATTTCTTCGGATTACGGTGCAACAGTACCATGGCCGGATTATACTGTTACATGGGAACTCTTTGGCATTAATTTTATGCTTGAAGGGACTCAGATATGGCATCGAGCTGATCTTCCTACAAAAGGAGTCGATGGAATATTTGGCTTAGGATTTCTTCAAAGATTCAACTATATGTCCTTCGTATCCATATCAGAAGGATATATTATGCCATCAAGATTTTCGCTCTACCCCCTACTCCCCTATGATTCAAGTGATCAACGAACACTGAGAATCTATACGGATATTGCAGTGATCGGTCTAGGAGAGGAGCCATGGAGACCCATCCTTGGTATCGGCGTCTTCCTTGGGCCAGAAGTATCTTTAAACACATGGATTCCCTGTTTCGGTGACCACCTCCTATTCTTTTCAAAGTCAGAGAGGGATAGACGAAAGATGTGTGAATTAGTTACATTTGAGACCTTTTTGGAAGTTATTGAATCCTTGAGGGGGAAGTCTAACATAACTCCATTTGTTCGGGTTGAGCTCTATACAGACCAGGAGCCTCTCGTCACCTGGTGGAATTCCATATCAGATATTCAATTTAACCCAAAATGTGGGCCTTATCCTAAGAGCTATGATCGATTTATACGCTTAAGAAAGCGACTTGCCATCGATGTGGGTTCCAACGAAAATGACTGTCTCGAGATACTATCTTACAAAGATAGCAACGATTCAAATAGGGCTCAAATCCTACTTGGTTATGAACAAGCTAAAGCTCTTGCAGAACTTGCTATAAAGAGTTCAAAGTCTCGAAATGTGTCAAACCACGACTGTTACCTAAGATGTCTTCCCTGTGGTCACATTTGGATTCCCAAAGAAATCATGGACATGGCAATGGATAAAATATTACTGGCCTGTCAAACACCCCACACAGAGGGCGATAAAGCTGGGTCGGTAGAGGCCAACTCGTCCAATGGAGCTCCCACGGGGCGTGCTCCGGGAATATCCCACCTAAGTAGCTCAAGCGATAATCTTAATTCGAAGGAACCGAATAGCGCGAAATATATCGTGTCAAGTGCAAGGACTAGTCCAGATATATTTAAGAAGGAAGGTTCAAATAGCTTACCGCGCCCCTTGAGATTGACTGATGGAGTTGAGGATCGGCCGCTCCATAATGGGATACCTGAGTTCGTAGTAGATCATGGAACAGATATTGGTGAGCAACTTACGGGGATAATTTGTTCTAATGGGGCACATAAGCCAAAGGCCAAGAGAATTGAAATTGTCTCTCAGGTTAATTCTCATGACTACCCTGATGAATTCTCACGGGAGACGTATGAAATAACAGGTCTTGAAATACTCGGGGGGTATCAGGTACGTAAACCAGAAATAAATAACTCAAGGGAAGTGACCACAGATTTCTAATTGGAGAAAAGACCGTTAGAGAGAACCAGCATTGTGATCAGTTAGCTAGGACTCATGCAAATGAGATAGTCCTAAAGGCTCAGGCTGAGGCAGACAGGATTGTCTCACAAGCTAAGTTGATGTGGGCCGAGGGGATTGACTCCCATATCATGGCTTCAGCCATGGCGACCAAAACTCGCTTGGACGCTGAAGCGGATGCGCAAAATATCTGGTTAAAAACTCTTGGAGAAATTCAAAACATGAAATCAAAAGCACTTCGGGATATTCGTTATCACGAAGAAGATTTAAAAAAAAGGTTCGGGGTCGCACGGCCAGATCCTGACCTGGTGGCACCACAGCTGCAGCATACCGGGCATTATCCTCCCAAGCTGATTATCGATGAAGCAAACGAGAAGGCAAATGAAATTTTGGAAAGTGCCGAAAGAATGAAAAAAGATATACTAGAAAAGGCAGCTGAATCAGTAAGGCTTGCAGAAGAAGGAAAAGGTGGAGAGGTCTGTAAAGCCATCACCAACGGGTCGCAAAATATTAAGTTGGTCAAGACGTACTTCGCCGAACAAGCTGGAAAAGTGAAATTTGCCGAAGAAGTCCGGAAAAACGCCGAGGAAAGGATGGATGAGTTGGAAATAGAGACTGAGCAGCTCATAAAGAATAAGGCACAGATACAGATAGAGACTGAAGAAATATTGAAGAAAACAGAGGAGAGGATTTCGGAAGCAAAGAAGGAAAACGAAGCAATTCTAGAGCATAATAAAAGGTTGGAAGAAGATATATTGGCGAAAGCAATGGAAGTTAGGATGCGCTCCGAAGATATGACCAACGAAGCTATCAAGACGCAGGAACGTACAATAGCTCAAGCCGAGAAGATCCAGAAGGATGGCGAAATTAGTAAACTCCAGGGCCAAAGAATCGTTGAAGATGCGAAGGTGGAAGCCGAAAAGATAATAAAGGAGGCTTCCGTGATTATGCAGCAAGTAATGAAAGAGAGAGTTAACGAAGAGGAGCAAAGAGCAGCACAGAAATTAAAATATGATCAGGAGATGGAGGAATTGAAGAGGGAGCATCATATGTGCCTCATGGAGTCGCAAGAAATTATCAGGGTGCAAGGAATATTGATTGAAAAACAGACCAGGGATCTAGCAGCCAGGAAAACTGTTGCCGGATTAGTACAGGAGAAAGCTGAGCTTGTGCAGATCGACTTAGACAAGGGGAAAAAATACACGGAGTTTATAAAGGCGAAGAAAGAGGCCGACAAGGCGAGGAAAGAGGCCGAGAATGCGGAGAAAGAGGCCGAGAAGGCGAAGCAAGAGGCTGAAGCGGCCAAGAAAGAGATTGAAAAACTGAAGAAGATCGCCGAAACCTTGGAGCGAGATATCGGGGCTAAGAAGACAGAAACTGAGGAAGCAAAGAAAGAGGCTGGTGCGGTGAAGGAAAGCGTTGAAAATGCACGGAAGGAAGCTGATTTGATCAGGACAAAAGCAAAAACAGATGCGGCAAATATTACAGAGCAAGCCTTAAAAGTGAAGAAAGATGCTGAAGATTCAAAGTCACGTGTGGTGATAATCAGTGAAAAAATAAAGGCTGAAGCCAGAGAAGAGGCGTCAAAAATCAAGGCACATGCAGATAAGATCATGCGAGAAGCGGAGGCCAAAAAACGGGAGGCGACAGAAATGTCCAAAAAAATCGTTAGCGAGGCTGAAGCGAGACTTCAAGCAAGTGAAGACGCTGAAATTGCATTTGCAATAACCATGAAGGGCGAGCAAGAAGAGGCTTTGAGAGTTCAAAAAGAGACAACTTCGAGGAAAATAGCGGAAACAAACAAACTCTGCGAAGATATGAAGAAGAATAGTACAGAAAAGATCAAGAATGAATATAAAAAGATTGAGGAAGAGCAGGAGAAGATTGGAAAAGCGAAGAAGAATTTACTCGAAGAGACTGCCTCCCAAAAAAAGAAGGCAAAGGACGAAGCACGTAAACTACTGGATAAGGCCAATGAAGAGGCAAATCAGATTATTGAGAACGCCATGAAAGCGCAAGACGATTATCCAATTCGTGGCGATGTCCTTGGTAGTGCCCTTCCTCTTACTCCTGAGAGATTTTACCAGATGTTTTTAGAACCTAAGGATTCAGAGGACGACGGACCACTGTCTGCCGAAGATTTTACAGAAAGATTGGAAGCTGCTGAGGCAGAGATTACTCTTGGTCAAATTATAAATCACTGTCCCGATGCAGCGAAAGCCTTCTTTAGGGAATGTGAGCAAGAGGAGCGTTTCGTTCATAGAATTGAGCTCTATAAGGATGCCGTTGATGAGCGTCTGAAATTCAAGAAAGGGGAGAGAATAATTCCATTCACGAGATAGGAGCTGATTGATACCATTTGGTTCTGGTGAGAATAGGTCTTTTTTTGTAGCTTACGATTAGCTATACTGTTTTTCTTTCTTTGCTCTTGTTGTTTGAACCAGCTGATCCTATAGCTATAGCTATAAGAAATAGCAATAAATTTTAAATTTCCTTTAGCCGTCGTTAATTTCTTGTGCATATAGCCACAAGACAACTAACGAACTACCACTCAACTAATTAACCAGTTGTGAATTAATGCAGCCCCTTGGTCATAGGATATCACTCGTATGCATTACAATGAGTACTATAACCTGTTTATTATTATTATTATTTTATTGGTTGATTCATGGGCACAGTCGGGAATAGTTATGCGCTTATAAGGTTAATATAGTATACAAAACATTTATCAGCCTAAAATGTACCTATCTCACGCTGGTGGCGTACATATTAAGTGCATACATGTAGTTGTGCATTTTGACGGCTCATTCTAGCACCACTAAATTTTTGAGGTTAGGTAGGTAATAGTACGTTGCAATCCTTTGGTTGACCATACATTTATGGACAGGTACGTACCACGAAGGTTAAATCCCGACACGTCATGTGTAAACTACAATACGGTGAGAAATTCATGAAATGTGATGCATGTGTCAAAATATTGTTTCTTTGATCTCCCCCCCTCCCCCCCCCCCTTTTCCCAGAAAAAAAAAACCCCAACCAAACTCATCATCAAAGGGTAACTTAATATCCAATCCGTATGAAGTTCTAAGACTCCCAATCACAGTTACTGAACGTTTCATCGCTTGGGTTTCCGCCCCAGATATCAATATCACTTTCTTCGGCGGTCTCGCCACGTATCAGCGAAGATCGGCGCCGTTCATCCTTCCGGATGTTTGAGTTACTCCCTAATCCCTGTTGCTGCTGTTTCTTAAGTCTCGCAGCATGCCTCAAAAGATGGATATCTTTTTTATCTAGAGCAATCGAAATACCACAGCTCACACAATCCCATTTCGGTGTTATTTCTTTTGGGGGCGCTTTTTTCTCCAGTGTTGTATTCCTCCATCCTCCAATGCGGTCTACCGGAGGCTTTTCTACTACGCTGAGTCTCCGTATTCCTACACTTTCCTCAAGTGCTCTCGCCACGACTGATAAATGATCTATCGGTGTTTGATTTACCAGAGATTCCAAATTTGTTGATTCTGGATCTCTCCATCTTCCGGCGGCATGACGCTGATCTGCCTGGGTTGTTTTTGCTAGAGTGAGGGTAATGTTATCATTTGAATTTCTGAACATAAAATTACTCTATTCACGGGGCAATCTTCTTACGTGGTCTTGCAATGCTAACTCTAATATTTCTACCGCAGACGTTGACTCCATTAAGCTCTGTGGCTGCAATCAGGCCCTCCTTGGTGTTGAACTCGACGTAACCAAAGCCTTTGAGGCGATCATTTAGTTTATCCCGAACAAGCCTCACCGTTTTAAAGTCGCACCCCCAGAACAAATCCGAGATCTCTTGGGCTTCGATATCAAAGCTAAGATTACCGATGTGGGCAGTATAAGGTGGGTTGTCGGGTATAGGAGTGATTTCACGTTCGGAACTGTTATCTGGAGTTAAATATTAGAAAGATGGTTTCCAGTTATGACTATTATGGCTTGAAATTGGCTGGCATACTGTTGGGGAAGCTTCCAAAGTCGGCGGTTGGTGGGGCCGAGTTTGTAATATCTCCTTGTTCAGGCTCGGTGATCCCATCGATAGCGTTCTCCCCATTCTCCCGGAGCCAAACTCTCCGTGAAGAACGATTACCGGGTCTAGATCTAGACTTATTGGGCTCTGAGCTCTTCAGTGAGCTTTCTGGCCCTTTTCGAACAAAATCTCTCCCAGAGCGAGTGGCACTGGTTCCTGTCTCAGGTCTCCGCCCGGCTCTAGAAAGCTCAAATCTCTGCAATGAAGTCATCATATTTAGAGGTTGGCCAGCTACCGAACTTGTACGGGGTTTTTTGATTGTACTAGACAAGGCAGTAAGACCAAGTGCAGTGCGAGCGGCCTCCGTCAAGGGTGCTCCATCCCCGAAAAGTCCGTATACCTTTTTGTCCCAATTCAAAGGTTTCTCCGTAAAAATATTCTCAAACTGCATCAAAAAATCTTTATTGTATTTAAAATTCCCAGCAGAGTGTTGAGACAGGCCTGGTGACAAAATATCGGCGGGGTAGTTTAGGCTCTTAAAATCTTGAATCTGTCGAGCTTCTTTCAATGATACTAAAGCTGCAGCCGGGGGTGTAAAAGGGATATCCCGATCTGTCAGAGGGGCAATATGTAAACCGGGCTTTTTCCGGAGCTGAAGTGAGGATGTTTTTGCCAACGGGATATCTGTAGTGGTCGAGTTACTCTTACCAGATATATTAGCACTCGAGAGGTGGTGAACTTAAATAAAGAACACTCTACATTTTCGTCACCTTCCCGCTCCTCGCCATGTAATTCTGTTTGTGGGTATACAGCTCGTGTATCACGGGCGGAGTCTTCCTTTCCGCTGGGCGTCTTAAAATTGGTTGTAATTGTTTTGGTTGCAAAGCCACCATATAACTCCATTTGTTCTTTCATCCTCAGATACGAAAGTTTCTATGGGATTAAGTCTTAGCCTCCGGGAAATTCGAGCAGAATAGCATTAATGACTCACGACAGGGCCCGTTATTACTTCTCCCGCTGGAGCTCCGGTTTTTGGAGATCCAAATTCCATTAGATTTCCATGGACGCTGGAGGAGTTTTCATCGCTCGGCTGTTCAATTTTTCCGGCCTTTGCCTTATGTTTCTTGCCTGCCAAATGGCTCTGTTGGGACCTTTCTTCCATGGGATGGTTGCATATCTCACAGGTCCATAACCCCTGCTTTTTATCCTGAACTGCGGTAGGGGCATTTGAGATGCTCTGAATAGTCGGTTCCATCTTCTACCTGTTGTTTGTGGGTTTCGGGTAGCAAAAACGAAAGCTGAGCTCTGTCTCCGCCTCTTTTTGTAGTATTGACAGCACTGCAGCCTTGCTAGGTTAGTCAGCAATATACTGCGCATTAAGGCGTCCAACATATGTCACGAGGCTGTGTTCATCATGATTGTGGAGTTGCTTTTTCCCGAGAAAGACCTGCTGGAGCGCAGATCGCTTGGAAGGTGTATTGAGCACATGTATACATGTACCCAACAGGGGAGATGATTTGTTGTCAATAAGTTTATATATCACACTGTACTGGTCGAGTCATACAATTAATGAATTAAACAAAAAAAAAAAACAATGGTCGAGTCTTTTTACCAGTTTTGAGGACGAGTGATGTTTGATATTATTTTAAATTGAAGATTTCCTTGGCATGAATTTGATATACTGCTAACATCATACCCTATATATGTACACCCGCAGGAAAAAGGTGAGGAAACAACGAGTGCAACCAATCAGAACCCTAATGAAAAAGTGAAAATGGAAACGAATAGAAGTAATATGACTACACAATGAGATACAGAATAGATACTATGGCCTCTGAACTATATTTACCACTTTTTATGACTTCCCTTGCAGCTTGTTCTTTACTACTGCTGCAATTCTCTTTGGTATGCTGTCAATGATTTTATATACATTTTCCCAATCTAGCCTTTCCCACTCTTCCCTAGCTGGGGCTTCAATAACTTTTATGTTTTCATTAAGAGTAGCCTCTCTTCACTTTCCGGACTTGTCAAAAGGCATGGCTAGGGAATACTCGTGAGGCTGTATTGCGGGTGTGGGGATGTCAAGTTAGACGCACTCGTTGTCACGCTACTCATTGTTTCCTCACTTTTTTCCTGCGGGTGTACATGTATTGTTGGGGATGCCCGCTATTTGTCTTCTTGAATTACGGGTGGGGGTATATTTATTGTTTGTTTAATTACTGGGGTAATTATCAAACCACTCAGGAACCCAGTATATACCCGCCAGAAGGTTGACGTCACCCCCTACATTGAGTCCAATGTGCACTAAATTTTATACTTCGAGCCAGTTGTTCGAAAGTTGAGACATACGTCTGATTTAAGCGGCAGAATTAGCTAAGAAGTGTCCTAAGTACATTTGTACTTAAACACATCTCTCCTTAATGTCATCATACGCTTGTTTTTAATCATCATCGATCCTCATCATCAACAACAATAACATCCCCTCCATTCCCCTCTCACTATCGCTGATCCGTGATCACTCATAAGTCGATCTTCTGTCTGAAGATCCCTAAAGCTTTGCTACGTTCCTGGTACCAGTCTAGGTATGTTTATCATTATTTTAATTTGTCTACTTCTATATATATGTACTGACTCCTGCTAGTTTAGAATGAAACCTACTACTCGCCAAGTAGCTCTTTTCAAGAGTGCTCCTCGAGAATACGTGAATTTGTCTATCAAGCCTCCAGTTGTTGCTGCGTACTACATAGATGAAGGATTCCACACAACTTGGGTTGTACGCAGCAAGACCAAGTTTCAAGATTTTAATGGGAAAAGAGGGTTGAAGTTCACCATCTCTGATTACCAATTCAAGCTCCCTGAAGTTGAATCTGTATCTTCTAGTGAGCTAGTTGATTTCTTTGGAGAGACAGGTGGCGCGGTGGACCTCATTCTTGGTCAGGATTTCATCAACGTTTACTCGTTCCTCTTTTATAAGAGAAACAACAATGGACTGCAGTTGAGCAAGTCTTGCATCAACCGCACTATCTGGCCCGATAAGCCGAATACTCGTCTCGAAATATACACAGCGTCACATTTGAGTAGCACCAAAGGAGGTGTTGCAGTCTATACCAACATATGCACACCTTTCAACATTTGGCGCCCGTACAAACCTAGTTACTGGGATCCACGAGAGGATATTGGTCTCTTCGCTATGATCATGGCACTCAGGATTGTAAACCAGATGCCTCCTTCTGAGACAGCTCCAACAATCCAGCTTATCACAAGCGATAAATATACCTGGGAGAGATTCTCCCCCTTCGTGAAAATCAAGAGCAAAGAATTGAAGGTTAGTCAGGATTTTCAAAACCTGAAGCTGCTTCCCATGAAACAGAATGTGGTGTTATTCCTTAAATACCGCAAGAGTTACGCCGATAGAAATTGCCTTGACGAATTGACATGTGTCAATGTCGAATTTAATGGGATACCCGAATATATGGAGTACGCCAGGGAACTTGCAAAGCTGGGTAGCAAGATGTCTCAATTACATTTTAAGGGCGAGCTCCCGTCTAATCCAAACGACGAGCAGTATTACCATTTCGACAACCATAAAGATGTTTTTGTTGTCTCCAAAAAGGAGGTTAATAAGACGATCAAGAGGATCCTAGAGTCCTATCAGGATTATACTTCTCCTAGCGAGAGACCGACAGCTATCACAAAGGATTTGGATGATAAGTTAGTCTCCACTGAGAAATCTCCCATCAGAAGTTCTCATGAGAGAGAAACCCCGATGGACGTCAAGACACCGGTTATAAGTAACTCCCCAGGGAAGACCACGACACAGGACAAGATTCCTCTTACCAATGGAACGCACAAAGACGAAGCTCCAGTAAGGACCTCGGTTGCAGCCCAGTCGACCAGTTTAGATCTAAACATTCCCGATACGAAGGAAATCACGGACAATCCAATATTCTCCCAAATTACTTCAATGTTCAACCAAGTGATGGCAGGAGAGGTAACACTCACCGAGAGGGCTTCTATCGGAGATGAAATCCGAACTAAACTCCAGGAAGTTGTATTAATGGAAACCGAAAACGCACTGCAAACTATCGACCACCAACGCAGGAGGTGTGACTCAATCATGGCAGGGGCTTATCAAAAGTACGATAGAACCATTGAGGTTTTACAGAAGGTGGGAAACCTTCAAGGATACCTCGAGGGGTTTTTTGATGGTATGGGGAGCCATGGAAGCACCCAAAATAATAAAGAAAACCTCGCCCGAAAGATCGTCAACCTCTTTGTCAGCGATGGAAATACAGAACAAACGTTAGGCAAATCCACCACTGTGAGAGACGCGGACAACCTTCCTATGCCAATCCTAGCCTCGAGAAATGTCGAAGCCGTTGATGCCCATGGTTCATATACATATGATCAAAGTACCTCTGCCATTGACGTGATGTATAGCAACACTGCATATCACAATTCGAAGGCAAACTGTATGATGGAAAACACGGATAAAAGTCTTCAATTTGCTAACGGATTTAAACCGACATCGGAGATGGTCATAGAGAACCATGCTGCGAATCTTAGCTATGAAACTATATCTAGTGACAGCGACGATCGTGAAGACACAGAAACCAAGGATCTATTCGCAACTGGACACGAAAATAATACGAGGCCAGTAACCCATTACAACTTAAGAAGTAATACAGCGCAGCGTGAATGGTTAGGCAAGCAAATCGATCCACATCCGGCTCCTCATATGCAAACTGGGTACAATGATACTAAGTTCAACAAACCGTGCCATATCGAGTATGCACCAGATAATCTTACGGGTGATGTCACAGCCAAGCAGCGTGCAGAAATGACCAATGTGGCAGGAGGGCTTGGAGCGGAAGGGAGTTTGGAAAAACCGATTATCTCACTTGTGCAAGCACTGGCGGCCAGCCCCGATCTAAGGGAAAGACTTGGGTTTCTCTTGAATTCCATTGGGGTAGATGTAGATATCCATAAAACCGCGAAAGGCTTAAAGTGTGCATACCGTGGATATGCCCTTTCGGAAAGTTCATGTTTGGGTCTAGAGTCCTGCTCAGAGTCAGAGGATTTTTAGCCTTGCGTCGATGAAAGACAATTCGTATTATCAAGATAGTCTTGATAATTTTTCATAAGCTTATATTTCAGATTCAAAGGTTTCTTTGTTTGGCTGCTTTTTTTCTTACTTAAAAGTAGATCGCTGGGAAAGAAATACCAAATGCTTTTTTATACATTAGCCATGAGAGATGCCAGTTACATCATGAAAATGGTTTGAGTGCGCCATTGAAGCACATGTTATTGTTTTCGCCACCGCGTGGTTGATTCGGCATTTTCTTGATCATGGTATTACGACAACGGCAGTTAGCATAGACAATTAAGCTTGAATAAAATGCTGTAACGTCTGAACCAGGGCAGAACATGAATCACCGCTTGAAAATACAGATATACAGCACCCTATTTAAAACTAGTACAGAGATTAAAGCGCAAACTATAGCTACATGTATAGGAGGTCTCAACCAAGAGGTTTTTTAACATACCAAAGACCATAGCTAAACTAATCCAACAGTCTTGTGTACCTTTCAAGTTAATTGGTTTAGTTCAATTCAGAATACTACACTAGTTAATGAATTGTGAGATCAGTGGCCAGAAGAGACCCGACTTGTACACACAGAGAAGAACTCGTTAGTGCTTTGTCAGGTCATTCCAGAAGATTTGATGTTGTATATGGAACGGTTAGGGATACTAAAAAGCTTTAGAATATCGGCTTGTGTTAGAAAATACCTTGCCGGAGGTGAGATATCTGGCTGGACCCTTCTACGTACATACGTGCGCCAAAAGGATTTCGAAGGGCAAGTATGTACATACTTGCTGTGCACGTGGAAATGGTCTGCATTAATTAAAAAATATTGTCAGAAGCATCCAGCTGGCCTGGCGATGATGTGACCTAGTCTATTAGTTCGGCGGTACTCATGCCTAGAGGGTGTGGATCAATTGATCAAGTATTCAATGTTCTCTTAAATTTGGAATTAAATTCCCCTCAGTCAATGACATTCAAATCCACGCAATATATAGCGGTGGTTTGCGCAGTGCCGGCCGCGGGGAATTCACAGGCTAGCAAATTTGATCTGAATTTTCAATGCCTGTATGCCACTCTTTGCAGGGTGGTTCAACAAACCTCATAGTAATTGTCATTGTATATTACCCGCGCAGGACCTATGAAACAAATTTGTGGTTGGGTGTTGGTTT